ATAAGAGAGAGTGCTTGTTGCTTTCGTGAATAATATCGCAGGAAGTAAAGAGAGAGAGAGAGTAGATGAAGGGTGCGAGCGAATGTTTTATCGTGGAAATGGACTTTCGGACTATTGGGATACGCCACAAGAGCCGTTGCGTTTAACAGCGGGAATCCAGGCACATATAAAAATAAATATACGATACATGCTATATACAAAAACAAAGAGATTATGGTCCTCCTTCTTACACGGGTCCCGCGTCAGCTTTCCCGTACGTCATTCTGCTCTACCGTTGCTATTTTTTATTATTCTTTAGTGGCTCTTTTGTTCTTTTTTTATTCCTACGCTCAACACTTTGGAACGATAGAAGGAGAAAAAAGAAAAAAAAGAAAAGAGGAAAAGAAAAAGGAAAAAAAGGATGTAAAGAAAAGAGAATAGGAAAGAGCTACGTTAAGCTGGATAAGGGCGAAGCAAAAAAAAAAAAAAAAAAAAAAAAAAAAAAGTTTATTATTGGAGTAATAAATCCCGAAACTACAGAGAGGGCATCGCCCCCTTTGCTCATAAATAAGGAAACGCGTCTGAGCGCATGCAATAATAGAAGAGCATGGAAAACTGCCTTTTTTTTTATTTTTTATTTTTTATTCTTATATGGACCAATAGCATAAAAGCATATACTGACAGTGATACCAATATCCAGTCCATTCTAGTGATGTATGCCCGTTAAATGAAGAACTATAAAAGTAATACAAAGGATGCTTAAGGCGACCAACGACATATTCTTGCTCAACGGAGATCCTTCATAAGAGAAGCACATTGTGAAGACCACTGTGAGGTCAAAACTAGCGAGCGATAGTAGCAATTGCTCTGGTAGCAAAGTAGGCGGCTGCTCTGTCTCTTTTGGTTGAGGGATTGGAATATTACTATTGCACTCGTTGTTCTCGTACTTGTGAAGGACATGTGCCGGCAGTGGTATCATTATAGTGCTCTCCTGGCTTTTAGTCCAATGATTGGAGGCGTTAGGATAATCTTTCAAAGGTTGTAGAGGGAGGGAGAGCACAAAAGCAGGGCTAAGGACAGAGATATTGTCGATAGGCATGATGACACTGCACAGGGGAGGTGCACTTGTGGGATCCACAGGCCTTGATGACTGTAAAAGATCATGATTGGTGGCTGCTACAATAGTTTCTCGAAATGGACTTGATGAATCAAATCTGAATGTCTGCATCTTTTTGCCTTGTCCAGATGATGCTACGATTATGGTATGGTCAAGTGATTGCTTATTTAGACAGCGCCCGGCCCTTGCTAAAAGTCTAAGGGAAGAATTGAATATTTATGAAAAGTCGATAGTAATGAGGAATGGATGAGGAAGGATACAGTGGTCATTACGCAAGCTGAGTAGCGTCTCTAAATACATGGATGCAGTATGGTCGTTCCTAAGATATATCGAGACTATTATTGGAGTATTATCATGACACAGTAGCAGTTAGACTCGATAGAAGGAGTTTTGGAGAATTGGAGTTGGGTGAATTCCACATTTTCCACACGGTAATTCGGACGTACAGTTGGCGAAGTGGCTGTGAGTCACGAGCAAAGCGCTTATTTAAGATTATATTGATTATATTGATTGATTTAGACAGTCCCACATCACACAGAAAACGTTCTGCTTCATTGTTTGATTTACATGCATGATAGACAAAAATAAATATCATCGAGACATGAAACTTGAAACTTACACATTCGATCCGTTTACATTCTACAAAAATAAAACTCAGACACAATAATGGTGCGTTGTGAATGCCGCCCATCTCGCCAGTCAGCAATAAGACTACAATGTCGCAATTTCATTCACTCATCCTCGCAGTTGGCAGTAGTTGTCAGGCATCATTAGGTTAATGAGTTGACATTTAAAGTCTCTTTATTTTTTATTTAGTTTATAACTTGACTTAAATTTGTGGTGTATTGATCCAATGCTTCAGGTATAAAAAAAAACTTTTTTTTTTTTTTTCTTTTTTCTTTTTTTTTTCTTTTTCTATTTTTCTATTTTTTTTCTTTAAATAAATACGTCTTGGGCAGTCAAGTCTCTAAGACCGTTCTTCAAAATTATTGCACGACAAACATGTTGGTCGGATCCTTTTGATCTGTCGACTTAAGCAGGAGTCTGATCCACCCAAGCATTGTTATTGCTGCTATCAGAACTGTCACTGCTATTAGAACTGTTGCTACTGTCAGCGGTCGTGCTGTCAACTGAACTGGCGATAGTGGTCAAAGGTGAAAAGATGGAAGATGGAGTGATATAAGGATCAGTTTTACGGAACAATATTGATAGTCATAGCATAAGTCTGCGTATCTACATTGGATATCTTGTCAGCATAGGATTTACCGTCGGGAGGCTGATTCAAGGCGTGATCAGGAACCTGATCGACTTCTGCTTCGAGAATATTGCCGTCGAGGTTACGGTCCTCAGCAACACCAATGATATCTGGGGGAAGCAACTGTTCGTTTGAAGTTTGTGGGGAGACAATCCTACGCATGAATTTTTTGGTACTATTCATCATGTTGATTGGCTTGCTGTGGAATGAAGGAGTGGTTGCTATAATGGAGTGATGATGAGATATTGGCCCTGGATTGATAATAGGAGGAATGATGTCGGGACGGAGGGCCAAGGAGGCAAGTAGGTGGGGTGAGTGAGGAGCTATTTATACTGATGATCAGAATGAAAAAAAAAAAAAAAAAAAAAAAAAAAAGGTAAAGTTGGAGAGCCACAGGGGAAGGCAAAGCACGGTCATTGCTCATGGACATGTGGAATGAAGTTGCTGTGAACAGTGCTCAGTTGTTTAATTTTATTACTCTGCAATCCTTTACTCTCGCTCTCGGCAGGAATTTTACCGTTTACCATATTGCTACCTGGACTAAAAGAAAGAAATAAAAGTTGGAGTTGGATCCCTCTATCATTCTATTATATGGGATGGTCCCCTTTCTCTTTTGATCTTGTAGTTGTGATGGTTTGAGTGGCAGTGACAAGTAAATATAGCAATTGTGCAGTTGTTTCAAATGAAGCATTTAAGCATAATGTCTGACCTCATGTCATACGCGTACGAACTCAAATTGCTCTAGTATAAAAAAACTAAGAATGAAACACTCTATACCATAAATAGTCGAGCAATTGAGATCGTTCAAGACAACGACACTCCCTCCTCTTTCCAATACAAAAGTTACTGTCCACTTCCTCCCTCCCACCACTTCCTTTTTTTTTTTTTTTTTTTTTTTTTTTTCCTGGATATAGAGAGAGAATAGTTCAAATACCGAGGGGGCAAAGGCAGCTAGTTAAATGAAATTGCTCTTGGGAAATGATGCACTTACAAATGCATACTGTATACAATGTTTGTTAATCAAATCAAGGAACCATTTCCGAAAAGACCATTCACTTTTTACTCCCCTTGTTTATTTATTTGTTTTTTATTTCGTTATTATCTTTCTACTACCATTTTAATCATTGCTTTCAGCTCCCTCTAGGGACATAAATAGATTTACCATGTATGCCTGTGATTAATATCTGACGTGGATACCATACTACTTGAAGTATCGCTACAGGCTCTTCTCTTTCCCATCGAATCCAACATGACACCCTCAACAACACCGCTGTGCGCAATTATACAAATGCACGTGTTGCCTTTTTTTTTTTTTTTTTTTTTTCTCCTTCAAAGAGTTGTTCAACTTTCACAAGCAAGAACGCATCAACGATGTCGCAATTCTTCGTGATCACTATCCTATTATTATTATTATTATTATTATTATTATTATTATTATTATTATTATTATTATTATTATTATTATTATTATTATATATTTCTTATTCTGTCAACGAGCATATTTTGCAGATCAAGGTTACAAAATCGGAAAATATACTGTTCTTAAACATGCCATTGTATATATATATATATATGATATAATTGATGTTACCAATCTGGCAGGCTTTTTTGTTTTATTTTATGTTATTTTATTTTTACTCTTAGTCTTTTCAATGGGCGAGTAAACATGACCCCTGCGTCCAGGTTATCGCCGTTTGTAAAATAATGTTTGTTCTATCTGTGTTGCACAGTTGATGAATATGTAGACTATTCAATATTGTGGTTACGATAAAGAGCAAAAAGGAAAAATGCTGACAGACACTAACTACTTTCCTCCTCCCCCACCAATGTTTGTATAAACATCACTTGTGCGTTTTCACTCACTCTCCCACACGGGGCTCTTTTTGTTTATTTTTGCTGTAGTAGGCTATTGTGTGCCTTGCAAAAAAAAAAAAAAAAAAAAAAAAAAAAAGCATTAATGCAAATATACAGGTTAATGATAAAAATCTTACTTTAAAACTTTAAAATGATTACAATATTAGAGTTCAATTCCCTAAACAATACATATATATTAATACATGCAAACCTCTAAATGGATCTGTTGCAAAGTGTGAATGAACTCTTCATGTTTTGTAATGGATCCTTCGTGTCTAATTCAATGAATATATCTTCAATACATTTGTGTAATTGCGTGGACTAAACAAATGTGCAACAGGCATGTGTTAGTAAACAAAGGACAAGGGGATTTGTTTGTTTCTTTTATTAAAATGTGTGCATTCTTGACCTTTATTCCCCTTGTTTTGTTGCTGTATTATGGCTCTCTAGCCATGTACGCGTATATCAATCATCCTATTTAGCTCTCTTTCCCCAGCAAATAGAATGAAAAGGTGATCGCGCTCTCATCCTGTCTTATTAATTTTCCTTGGGAATGTCAAAAAAACGGCCAATCCCATCAATTACACATTTTATTCAATTGATGTTTGAATGGCTCATGCATGGTTTACAGCATTATTATTGGCAGACGTTTAAGCCAATGCTAACCTAGTATTTGAGTATTCGGTTTCTTCCTCGGCATACGTGTTGCTGTGCTTTTTCTTTTCTTTTTCTTTTTCTTTTTCTTTTCTTTTCTTTTTAATTTTTTTTTTTTTTTTTTTTTTTTTTTTTTTTTTCCTTTGATCGATTCTTAAATTAGCCGAAGCTGTCCTGGATCTGACTTTTATTAAAAGCTGTACGACCTTCTCCTATCACATTTCTAACTAATTGTTGGCTTTGGCTGTCGCTCCTGTAACTTTGCAGCAATTTCACGTTGCATATCCTGCTGTTTCTTCATCTTTGCTAACGATTCAATTGACCTTAAATCATTCACAACATCCTTTGTTTTACCAAAGTAGACATCCTTGAGCAGATGACGCATCTTGATTTCCATTTCCTCCACCATTCGTCCAATGTTTGCAACATGCATCGAGGGGTCATCCACCACATAGTCTTGCTCTGCCTATTGTATTATTATCATTGTTATTGTTAGTGTGTTACCCTCAGTCAGTAATAGCCCAAATATCAATGGAAATAAGCATGTGTCAATTGAAGAACACACGACGCAAGGTATTTCACATCTTTGAAACAAATGACGTTTTCAAATAAATAAATAAAACCCACAAGTTCATGGCTCAAAGCTCAATGCCATTTCTCTCGATCCTTTATGCTCTCATCTCCCACACTCTCATAGCCACAAAGGTTTCTTTACCTGACGTGTCATACTTCCTGAGAGATTCATATGGCCCAAATCTGGCTTATTGGTCACCATGTGCAACATGACAGTGGATGTGAGTCGGTAGTGAGAATTGCGATTTTTCTCCTGTACCTCAAACACGTGAATCGAATCCCATGCTCCTTTCATCCTACGAGCGCCATCGCCAACTAAATGGAAGAAAATAAAGATTAGAAAGAATATATTGGCGAGAATTGAACAGTTGAGTAAATTACACATTTAAGGAAAAAAAAAAAAAAAAAAAAAAAAAAATTACCTTTTTTAATCAGTACAACTCCTGCAAAGCCTGGGCTAAGGTCCCAAAAGTATACTGATGAAACACCACCTTCGAAATAAAGTTCTCTGTAAGCATCAAATGCATCGTTGGCAGAAATCTCCAGTTTGCGAAGCCTGGCTGAAGGGTAGGTTGCATCTGCCAATGGTGGAGTAAATTTATTTGACCACGGTGACCTATACAAGTAAAGCACATATACACATAGAAAAGCATTCATAAGAAGGTGTCTTTTTTTTTTTTTTTTTTTTTTTTCATTGTTGTTGTTACTACTACTATTATTTATATTTACCTGTAAGAATCTCCATCACGGTTGTATTCACAAAGCAAATACTCTTTCCCAGTCTCGGCGCAGGTTTGGACTTTGAGGGGTTGGTCCACTGTGTTGAGAAGGTCCTCCGTCAAGTCTGGAAGAAGTGTAATAAGTGATAGTAAATTTTTCTCTGCGTTTTGTGGAGGCAAACGACGCATCAGGTCAAGTGCAAAGTTCACTTGTGGGTTAACCTCTTCTTCTTCCATATCCTATCACAATTGATGAAAAAGAAGACGACACGCGTGCCAATGAAGCTGTTAAAACGTATTTTTTTTTTTTGTACCTTTTTTTTTTTTTTTTTTTTTTTTTTTGAGACTAAATAATGAAAGTCAAGACGATTTTGTCATTCGTGTTTCAAAAATGAGATGACCCTGATGTTCATCACCTACCATGGTTGTTAAAGTGAGTTGTGAAATTGAAAAACTATGTTGAGAGAGAGATAGTTCAGTGTTTGACTAGAGTTCATCCATCCACAAAAACCTGACAGATGACCGTTCTGGACAACGCGTAAAAGCCAATCGCATGTACTACAATCACGTCACGAGCTTTTTTTTTTTTTTATTTTTTTTATTGGAAAGTCTAAATGTCTAAGCTAAAAAAAAAACTATTGGAGATATTCTGCCAAACGATCAACCACATAAGACATACTAGGTCTCCTCCTTGGGTCCTTACGCCACATATCCTGGATCAATATCAAAAGTGATTGAGGATACTTTCGCAACCGATCTAAAGGTGGTCTAACCTCCTTATCCCTGACAGCTTCATACAACTGATGCTCTGTCAAGTTGTGATAGGGATAACCTAATTCGGCCCAAGACAAGATCTCCCAGAAGATCAATCCACAGGCATAAACATCTACTTTTTCAGTGTATCGTGGTTTAGACGTCCAAAACTCGGGTGCTTGCCAATTGGGTGTTCCACATTGTGTATGCATTGATGCATTAGGACGAGGTCGGATACGTGCTAGACCAAAATCATTAATCTTAGCTCGATCATCTGATGAGATCTGTTTTTTTTTTTTTTTTTTTTTTTTTTTTTTTTTTTTAATATAGAAGTGAGAAAATTGAAGTCAGACTTTATGGATGGTAAAGTACATGGAAATAACTCCTTTTTCTTTTTAAATAAATAAGGCTCTTACCAAGATATTCATGGATTTCAAGTCCTATAAAATGAAGAGTGGGGAAAATAACACATGTCCAAGTTAGATGACAAGGGTTTGGCTCATGCTCTTAATTTAAGAGACCGACTATTAATCAGAGTCTAATCACTTACTCTATGAATGATGCTAGGGCGACGTGTGTGGAGATATGAGCATGCCTGTGATTAATAAAAAGTAAAAGTTAAAAGTTAGAATACATTAACCTCTTGACGTTCTGCATTAGGATTTTTTCCTTTTTTTTTTTTTTTTTTTTTTTTTTTTTTTCCTTTGGCTTCTTACAAGAGCAATGTCGTGCATATACATAATCTACAAATGAAGGCATGTATCGTTCAATGTACATTAGTTAATTGATGCAGAGCAAAATGATCTTGATTGAATGAAGAATAGTAATTTATTTTTTCTTAGTCATTCACATACCATGCGTCCAAATGAAGGTTTTTTGGTCCTGCGCATATAATCATACAAGTCTCCATGCTCGCAGAGCTCTGTCACAATGCAAAGATGTCGCACGTTTGTGCAAACACCTACAAAACGGACGACGTTTTCGTGCCGCAGTTGCCTTTTTTTTTTTTTTTTTTTTTTTTTTTAAAAAAAAAGAACATGGTTCACGTTGGTCAATAAGAGGTTAGGGTCGATCATGGTAACAAACAATAAATAAATAAAATGATCGACCCTTACTTGAGAACATCGATTTCGTGCTTCATTTCCATGATGTCGAGCTCTGTAAAGTTTTGAACACGCAACTCTCCGATCGCCACATCCTCCTATCCATCCCAGAGAAAAATAAACATTTTTTTTTTTTTTTTTTATAGTTGAAGATTGACAAACACATGTAGAAACAAATAAATAAATAAAGCGTAAAGATGGAATAAAATAACATGTAGTAATAAAAATTGATCGCCCGCAACATGTATATTAAAAAAGAAAAGGAATATATTAAAAAAAAAAAAAAAAAAAAAAAACAACTTACACCCATATATTTCCCTGCATAGCAGTCTTTAAAGCCGCCTGAGCCCAATTTGCGACCAATCTGGAGCTGGTCAAAAGTAATTTCACCTTGAAAATTAGCGTCCATTAATAAGGAATTGAGATAGATTGTGTTGATTGGTAGCTTTTTCACAATTGCAGGGGGGTCAGGACAACAAAGCGTAGGAGTTGATGGTCCTGGAACCGGTTTTGTATTTTGCTGGGCAAATTAATATAACAAAGAAAGAAATGGTGAGTAAACAATATAAAAATAGAAAATACAAACTTGAACCATGTCATGTCATGGTATTGGTAAGACATAGTTACAATAACAGCAAACTTCTTTCTTACCCAGTTCAACAAACGCTTGATCAGGTCCTTCTTTTCTCCATCTGTGGGCAAACCTACATAGAGAAAAACAGAGCAAACAAACAAATAAACAAACACAAAAAGAGTGGGAAAGAAAAAGAGAGTGCATGCATATGTTTGTGAACATGTGAGTAAAAGACACATGGTTAAATATTACAGTTTTAATTGCTCTGACGTTTCAAATAATTAAAAAATTAATTGCTTTTTTTTTTTTTTTTTTTTTATTTTTTTTTTTTACCTCGATCCTGGCACATTACTACAATGTCTGCCTTGATTCGTAGATTCAATGTTTCCTCAGTCTCGTTCTCAAGCCCCTCATCCAAATGCCGCTCAATCGTCTGAAATCCCTTGGGCACACCCACGTGCGAGATATGCTTGGGTGTCATTGGCCTCCACTCAAAGTATCCATTCGCGTTCCTCAGCATTGTATATATATATATATGTGTTTGTATCTCGTTATCGGATTTTGTACACGTGCGCCTAGGCAGATTTTCTCTTTCTCTTTTTTCTTTGTTGACAAATCATGTGGTGCGATAACGAAAGTGATATCATCAGAGGGAGGAAGACGATATGAAGTTGAAGGAGAGCCGATGTAAAAAGAAAAAGAAAGAGAAGGAAAGTGTGAGATCAAGGAATAACGCGTCTCATTTGTTTTTTTTTTTTTTTTTTTTTTTTTCTTTTCTCATTCCTTCAATATCTTTAACATTGATATTGAAAAGAATTAAAGGATGGAGTACAATACGTTCTTTGCCACACGTGAGTATAAATATATTTGAACTCAGTGTTACCTGAACAGGGAACACAAAAAGATAGTGGATGTAGATTTAAAGATGGGCTTTTTTTTTTTTTCTTTTGATGGGAAAGTAATAGAATGAAAGAGGAAACGAATGAAGTTAGGAGAGTGAGCTTGATTTGTGCTATACAGTTGATAGAAAAGTATATAGGAGAGGCATGCGAGTGGTAGAGATGGTGAAAGAAGAGTTCACGGATTTGGGAACCAGAGTCGCCTTTTTATATGGTTGCACGACAAATATAAAAAGAATGACATGAGATAAAGTGAATGAGTGCATGAGATAAAGAGAAAGTTGATGCGTAGGAGAAGGAAATGACACGGTCCACAAGTAATCACAGTGGTGATTGTCGTAATCGTAATAGAACCTGGCAGTGGCTGCTCAACACAGTTGGCATGTGCACTTGGAGTTACCCTGACAAGTTGGGTAATTCGCTCTTTCTTGTTTAAACCTAACCTTTCATCAAGTTTAACATGCAAATGCATTGGCATAGCAAACAAACGGAGCGTGAGCAGCTCATGTGTCCTTTCTTTTTCTTTATTTTTTTATGCGTCTGTTACTCTGCTAGTGTCTATTCATTTAAAAAACACGCCTGTTCACAGATGATGAGTCAACGGTTGTCTAAATGGTCATGCATTTTTTTTTTCTTTCTTTTTCTTTTACAAGCCTCACTGACTCCTCCTGACCCTTGAAATATGATTTTAGCGCAATAACAAATCCTCAGGGCAAATTCATTATATGTATACAACAAAGTCATGCGGATTTTTTTTTTTTTTTTTTTTTTTTAATTTTTAATTTTTATTTTGTAGATGCTAGCCGAGATTTCATATGCCTTTGATGAAGAGTTGTTATTAGGGAGGGAAATGAGTCAACATCAACATGAAATGAATGAATATGAAGCAAGAGAGGCTGAAATAAGGTATGAGCCTTTCTATATGATGTTGATCTGGGTCCTTCTTCATTTTTTCGCGTCACCCTTGGAATGTCAGATGTAAGGGCACTAAAATGCGCTCTTTTTTTTTTTTTTTTTTTTTTGAATCAGTCTTCTCCCACGTTTTCTGTCCTACAAGACTCAAATGATGTCACATTGCATGGTTGTCAATTGGAAAAGGGTGTGGGTGCCCTTGTAATTTTTTTAATTTCTTCTCTGACAACGAGTCATCTTGACGAACCAAAGCATTTTCATCCTTCTAGACCCACACAATACGTATGAAGCCATAGTATTCTATATTAGATAGTAAGACGACGCGTTTGGCTTGAACATGACTCAGGATTGTTTTGGAAGCAACAGATAATTTATGCATCCGAAGGCCGAAGGAAAAAAAATAAATTTCAACATTTAAGTCCCAAATGAAATATATCACGTGGGGTACATCAAGAAAATGTAGCGCTCAAGATACTTTGATGAAATACAAATATCGAGTCTATAGGACGTTTTGATGATTTTATTGTAAATTAGCGAAAAGAAAAAGAAAAAAGCAAAGTGATAGATGATGTGGGCGAAGTGAAGAAGAGAGATAAAATGGAAGGAGGAAAAAAAAAAAGCCTGTATTTTAAGAGCTTGCTTGTCGCGAAATCTCGAGCTTTTTTTTTTTTTTTTTTTTTTTTTTTAAATCTGATGGGGAGTAGTGTGGAAAGGTGACCAGATACCACGGACAGACTCTGTAGTAGAAATAACAGGCTTCTTGAAAACCTTCATCCTGTTACCAGCAGACTCCTTCAACAATTGAACTTTGCCTGCAATATCCTTAGGCTCCATATTGCGTACGCACACGACCTTGTCCTTTCCATTGACTAGTAAAAAAAAAGTTGAAATGAAACATAAAAGAGAAAGTCAAGATAGAGTTAATTGAATAAAAATATTAGAGATGTTAAGAATAAAATAATAAAATATACTCATATCTGTGAACACACGCAAAAAAAAAACTTACGGTATAAGCCGCGGATGACGGGGTGTTTAGAGGGTCTAGGTGTAACAATGACTTCAACGTGTGGGTGCTCTTTTGCAAATTCAATCAGGTCTTTCTTGACATATTCACTGTATATATTTTGAAAGCGATAGACAACCAATAGCATAATAAAAAGATAGCGAGAAAGTTGGAAGGTGGATCAGCAAATGGTAATCATGTACATCAGAGTCGACACAGCTCTCATTTCCTGCTTTAATTTTGGCGTTGATCCTGATGTCTTTGATCGAATTCATCGTTTCTCTCCTGTCCATTGAACTATATCCGAAATATGCAAATATCGAAAGACTTTTTTTTCCTTGTCATGTAGCAGCTTAGGAAAAAAAAAAGGCATCGCCCTTTGTCTTCATTGTTCCATACTTCTAATGAGACAAATGAAGGTTTCCATAACTGTCCCGAATATTCATGTTATCTTGGAATGATTTTGAAGACAAAAAGAGACTAATTATATCCCTTTAATGTCACATACATATATATAAATATATATTTGTCCATGGCATTGCCGCTTCTGAATCCTGACCATAAATCCTTTATCCTTTCCTCCGAATAGAAGAATAGAAAAAACGACTTATATCCATTTTTTTTTTTCTTTTTCGTTTAATTGTTTCATTACATCATGCCACGAGAGCTCCCGCTTCGTTCGCAGTAGTGAAAGACAAGGCGACGGCATTGAGGGATAAATGTTCCAACGCCATTCTTGAGGACAGGATGGGCCATAGGTGCCGGCATGTTGATTTTATAATGAATATAATAAGGAAAAGATTTAAAAAAAAAACGATACACTTTGTTGCATTCAGGTTCCTTGATCAAAGATCTGTTTGAGGCGAATTGTGACTGTCTTCATCACGTTCCTCCGAAGTGGGCAAACAAAAATTTGAGCTGAGCTTGTCACCGCCACGCGAGCTTTTTTTTTTTTGAGCTGTGCGGCTGAATAGCATAATCGAGCTGATGCCTATATGCTTTTATTGGTATTTTACCCAAAATTAAAGTACAATTACAAACCCTTTCCCCCTTTTTATGTTTCCACATGTTCAACCAATCCTCGGTATCCGGACCACATCTGCAAGCGAACACTCACACCATGCACATGCATCACATCCAACTGCCCACAAGTACCACAGTAAGTTGCCCCCTCGCTTGGAAGTCCTATTCGATCTCTCCATCGAAGCTGCCGTTCCTTGTATTTCAATTTCTTTTCTTCCTCCAACTCCACTGTTCTTCCCATTCTCTTTGAAAATGACCACAGACATGGATAGCCCGAATACCCAGCTTCTGCGTCATCTCTTTGGATCTCTTTCCAAATCCTCTTAATCCATTCTTGTTCTACAACTGTGGTGATGCCCTCGAGGCCATCCCAGCCTAATGCGAAAAGTCCTCGGATTCGTGTCTCAATCACTTCAAAGAACTCGGCTGTTGAAGCTAGATTATCATTCGAGTTGAATTGGGGCTGAGGCGACGTCCAGTATTGAAGGATCTGACGCGCTGGTCCAAGCTTGAAATGACCATCAGAAACACGGATATCTAATCTATGCCAACGACCCTTATCTTTGGATGACCTCGATACTGAGTGAGCTGTAGCTGAATTTGAACTCGAGCATACGTATCTTGACTGTTGACGGCGGCAAAGGTCTTCTTGCAGCTCTTTAATATGATTGAGTGACTCGAAATGGTCTTCATTAACCGTCGAATCAAGTGCGAAATGGAACCGAGGCAAAAACACGTCTGTAGAGGGTGATGTTGTCGCTTTATGAGTTCGGTTATCGCCTGAACCACCTGTGCTTGCAATCTCTTGCTCATGGCTAGGTTCTTGCAGCTGTCCATAGTTCCAAGACTGTTCGCAGTTACTTTGACCATCGCCCCTTCGTTTCGGCCGACGATCACATGAAAGAGTCAAGAGCATCAAGAAGTGGTTTTCCCAACTTTGGACATCCTTAGTTTTTTGCTTCCGGGCCTTCATACTACAGTGGACGCCTTTATCCGATATAGGGATACCGGGTTCAAAGCGGTACAGAAGCGGCTCGCCCCAAATAGCTAGAGGATATGCACGCAAAAAGCTCTCGCCCACACGGAGGCCACCATAATACTCAATACGACTACGCTCAATTTGAAGTGAGAGTGGAAGCAGGTCTTGCCATGTCGTTAGCGTCGCCAAGGGCTTGGGCTTCTCGTTGTTGTTGCTTGTATTAGCTTCAATAACTTGAGCATCTTCCGCAGAGAAGCCTGAAAACTTGGGTTCCACAGAAACGGCAACCATCCGTTTTGGAGCTGTACGCTTGGTCCAAACGTTCGTCGTCGGCAGGCAGCACCACCATATAAAGCCTTCATGACAACCTACAGATTCAAGCCCTGAACCCATTTCAGCCGCAATCTCTGTCAGAGCGACATTGGGGCTCCAAGAGGGGTTATTGACTTTTGAAATTGGAACCAACTGCTGCTCTAGAGTTTTGTTATTAGTGGTAGCGAGGATGCCACTATCGTGCCTAGCAATAGGGATAGGGGAGGCCATATTTGGTACTGCTGCTACTGCTGTTGTATGTGTGAATTCAGGCTCAATGAATCCGTTTTCGGGCTCGCACCAGACACTAAAATCTTCGCCATTCCATCGATCCCCCCACTGGTTTGAATTATCTGCACAGTAGTTCCAGAGCGTGAAGCTAAGCATACTAGCATCCATGGCATCCAATAGCAACCGCATTGCGAAGCTCTGTTTAGGGTGACCATGTCTTGACTTGAAGCTAGTTTTGTTATGTAGGTCAATTGGCAACCCTGTTTCTCCCATGAGGATCCCATGCTGAGGACCCATTGCTAAGCGGATATCGGACTGAATCCCTTTCACCTGATCCTTCCATGCCTGGCCGACTCCTGACCACCCAAACTTGAGTGCTCCCAAGACAGACGAGTAAATGCCCCGTTTGTAGCCCATGAAGTCAAGCGTGAACGGGACAAAGTCGCGGGTGATGTTCGTATAGCCGTCATAGAAGTGTGGTGCGACTATGATATTTTCACTCACATCACCCATTGGGTCCAGACGAGGTTGTTGACACGCACTCTCATACAAGTCATCGGTTGTTCCAAAAGAGCCTTTTCCTTTGTAGTCATTCTGCCTATTTTTATTATTGTTATCGTCAGAGTTGCCACGACCATCGGCTGACTGAGTAGCTCTTGTTGACGCTGACTGCCTAAGGATCGCAGTTGTATGTTGGTTGGGGAATGTTTTTCGTGATTTCCAGCTTATTACGGACCTTAACATATTCTTCAGTCCGTCCTCCGCACCTTCGACAAGGACCTTCTTTAGCCGGAACATAGGAGGCGCCTCATTAATAGGTGGCTCCACAAAGATAATAAGCCGACTATCCTGTTGCCGAAGTCGCAAAGAAAATGTGTTGACAAATGGTAACCAGAAATCATGTTTCCACTCTACTTCCTTCCCTGGCTGGAATGGTGATGGTATATAACCTTGGGTTGGTATCCGCTGGAAGTAGTTGGGCTTGAGTAATTTCCCCGTTCGAGGGTCCCAAACCTTATGTTCTGCCCAAAGGCAATAGTCACTATACCCCGCGGGCTCTGGCCATAACGTTTTGGAGATATGGGACTCTGCCAACTTGGAAGGAGGAGTAGCCAGTGCGTCCTTGGTGCTATAGTTGGCTGGGGAGGCTGTCAGAGTCATTGGTGAAGCCAAGGGCATCCTCTTGATTCTGCTATTGTTGTCATCATCAGCCTGAGGTTCAGTGATTCCAAGCTGTGAGACATCATCAAAGGTCGAGGTTTCGGAGTAATATGCAGGCAATGGTCTTGCTGGCGGGATTATGGGTTCTCCATCAATAATAGTGTTACTGCCCTGCTGTTGATTATTCGTTTGTTGTCGCGACCTCCAGTACGGTCGCTTCCAAAGATTAACTTTTTCCTGATTGACTTTGATTGTCCGCTTTTTCCTAGGACCCAATGCACCAGTCTCCCAGACCTCACATTTGACGGTCCTACCCTGAGCCAGCTCCATCCCTTGAAATGGTGTAGGACACGTTCCAACTTGTAGATCGGCCAGCTCTAGCAATTTAGTCAAATCCGGATGGTTCAGGTATCCAGGGGCAGGCTCATTCATGGTATCGTATCCCATGACGGTGCCTGCTTCAATTAGCCCGGGTCCACTCCTCGCACGAATTGTTTTAGAATCGTCTTCACGGATCCGCTGTGTAAGATGCGCAAATGCTTCTATGAAATGGGCCTGCAAGTAATGTTGAATGTTGACTTGTCCGCGCTCCACAAAATCCTGGTCGACCTTGGGGATAGGAGTTAAGTTTTGGACAGGAGAGGGGGCCCTGGCGCCATTGGGGAGGCCACGACGGTAGGCTTCATCTGCCACAACGCTTGAGTGGACAGTGCGAAGATGAGACAAGACAGTGGTCGAAAGTGGAACCATGGTTTTAGGTGCAAAGATTTGGCCTGCAAAGAAGAGTGTATACATGGTAGCTGCTGCCAATTTGATACCGTTGGTAGCCCAAATCATCTTTGGATAGTTTTCTTTGTCATGATGCGTCTATGAAATAAGTAAGGCCATCTAATATTTTAGTATCGATCAACTTTGATTCTGGGACAATAATGTTCCCTTGCGTCGAAAAAAAAACAAAACAAAATAAAATAATAATGCTCACGTTCTGCTTAATGGCAGCCCCTGTCGCATCAAACTTTGTGATGTCAAGTCCTGCCAATTCAAGTGTCCACCCTGGCCTGAGAATTTGCAAGTTAAAAAAAAAAAAAAAAATAGGGGTCAGAATTGAGTGGCACAAAGGGTCATTCGGATAAAAATGTCTGTGCGTTAATTGGCATGATTGGCACGATTGACAAGCGTGACATTAACAAATATGACAAATAAAGCATGTTTTTTTGCACTTACATTCCTGAACCCCCAGTGAATCGACTCCAACAATCAACGTGTGGATCCAGAAAGCATTTCAGTCCGTATTTCGAAGCGACTTTCAATAGCTTGATTACATATATGATATAATCTTCATCATAGATACCACTGTTTACATGTAAAATAGGGGGAACCAGATCACATCACGTTCAGGCCCATGCACAAGGATGAAAAAAAGGGTTAAAAGTTATTACAGCATCCGGAGGACATATGAACTGAATTTTACAAACGAAGAGCAGAGAGAGAGAGAAGTGTAGAAGCACTTACGGCCCAGCATGCTCCAATGCCTCCCAGGGTATTAGTAAACGAAGACATTGACACCCCCATCGAGCCAATCGTTCAAAATGTAATTCTGCATCCTGTAGTGTAAATGGTCGGTTCACAAACGAGACCTCACGGTGATTATAAAAGTGGTCGTCTATATGAGAATATACTACACCAGGGATTGCGCCTTTATCCTTAGTCCCGTTCGTCTCTGCTTCACTTGCTGCCTTGGCTACAGCTGCTTTTGCTTCTTTTACTGATATTGGTTTCTTTGTAGAGGGTGGCGATGACGATGATGACGAAGATGATGTGGTAGAAAAAGGTGGCCTAGGCTCAGCTCCAAAGAATTCAGGTTCTGGTAACGATGATGCAAAATATCCAACATATTGAGAAGGTGCATGGACCGCGGCGGAGGCTGTGTAGAATGGCATTTTGGTCCCTCCAGAGACATTGATGCCATGTAAGATCACAACTCTGTTCTGTGCATCCAGGATCCACCCTTCCTTCGAGACCAGTCTTTCGGATCCCCATGCATTGCCAAATTGCGATTTTGAAGTCAAGTCGGGTATCTGTGACGATGATGATGAGGATAACATGATAGATCTTTACTTTATACTAAATAGGAGGCGGAAACGGAGAGGCGTTGAGAAATAAGAATGAACAGGAGGGAGAGAAGAATGAAATATTATACAATGCAAGAAGAAAATGTAGGAATATAAAGGAAGAGACGCAAGTGTTGAAACCAAGGAAAAAAAAAAAAGGGGGGGGGGGGGTTTGATATATTCCCACATGGAGCCAACAGGCGACAGAAAACATTAAATGGGAGTGATTGTGATGTGACCTCTTCCTCGTGTAAAAAAGGAGAGCACAACTGTTGGTAAACTTCCAGGCGTAGGATACAGAGTTAGAAAGAAACAAGACACTAACTTACATATTAAGCATACTCACGGCGCATTCGAGACAATCAAATTATATATCAAGATGTTTAAGGTCACCAGTGTGCTAGGTCCAAGATCATTAGGATCACCAAAATTACCAAGATTACCAAAACCACTAAGATCATCAAGGTAAACAAGCTACGAGGCACAGATGACCTAGGCATTTAAGCCAAGCAGGGCATTTGTTTTAGTCAGGCGAGGTCTTTAAGTCAAGGAAGGAACAAGGTCTACACCTCCTGCAATTTGGACCAGTGATCATTTTTTAAGTAGCATTTGCCTTAGCAGGATGCCACGTAGTAAGTCAAGCCGCATACAGGGGAGCACGGTAGCATGGTAAATTGCCAAGTCCCGCTTCTTTTAATGGCCTTAAGCCCCCGTTGTAACGCCTGACACCTGTTGTAGGGCCACTTCGCATGTGGGCCCCTGTTGACTATAGGGGGCACCGTCATGTTCCTGAAATGAAACGTCAAGCGGGAGCCTTATCGGAACCAACAGAGAGTCGATCCTCAGTCTTTCTTTCGATAAAAATGTGATAAACAAAAAAAATCTAGGAAGAGGGACCAAGCAAAAAAAAATGTGGGTCTACATATCGCACGCAAGAGCTGCGTGTCTGGCTATGGGGCAACATGTTCAGGACGAATATATGTACAGTAGGTGCACGTATGTGATTTTGTTCAATGGCCAAATAGCGCGCTTGCGTTAGACAGAGCACATACCATAGTGTCTTTCACTAATCGACAGCAACTTCATCAAACGTGAAGTAAATGGTACGATCCATGACCTCGACCGTATGATTTTTGACAACATTCCAGCGTAGGCAATCATTAGAAATAAATAAACAGCGTTCAAAACAGATTTATTGTTGTAAGTTGGACCCTTTTTTTTTAAGTTTACACACCGCTGTGCTTCATGTTGACCCAAAACAAATAAGCTCATTTGACGTACCGCTAATAATACTTTTACTGTTGCTGTTGTTGCTGTTGCTGTTGCTGTTGCTGTTGCTGTTGTTGTTGTTGTTGTTGTTGTTGTTGTTGCTGGCTGTGTAGCAAAAAAAAAAAAAAAAAAAAAAAAAAACGATTTAGAGCGTCAAGACAGCATTTACCATGCGAATTTGTTTGATGAATATTTCCCATCAGCAGCAACAGTAAGGCAAAGTTGCGCAGCAATTAACAATAATAATAAATGACCACATTATCCGAATATGGATGCATTTCAGTTCTTGTTCCCACACATCAAAAGTTCACAAAGTGGACATGAAAACAAGTCACCATGTCCCGAGCACGTATAAAAGGATATCTTTTCCCTCTTCCTTGAGTCCTAGCCGCTAACCGCGCTTTCTCAGGTTTGGAGGATCAAGTGTATTAGTACTGGTAAACTGGCTACGGTCGGTGAACTGGGAACTCGCGAAGTGACCCCCGAGCACGGTGAATATGTGTACTGGGAATGGTGTTGTGGCTAGAAAGAAACGACGCTTGGGCTGTCTGCTTAGTTGCAAACAGGCGAAGAGTCTGATCTTTCTTACATATTTTTATTTTATTCTATACCAGTTAAATTGAGTGTTGGGTCCATTCTTTTATTCCTGGTGAGCTTCGCTAGTGTAAACATTCTTCTTGCTGCAGTAAAGCTCCTGCAGCAACTATTTTCCGAATGATGAAGTGGATAATGAGGTACACAGGGGAGTATGAGGGAAATGGTTGGCAATGATGAGTTAATTAGCTTACGTGAGCAGGATTCAACAGGCGCTCTAACAGATGATTGAGTTGAATTGTTGGAATCACTTTTCCAAATGTATCGGCATGGATATGACTAAGATAAAGGTATGAATAAGGCAACGTCACTTACTTCAAGGGACAAAAATATGTTTTCTGAATAACTGAAAGATAAATGTATTATAATATGTTCAATGCCTGTTCTCTGTATCGCTTTGTAGCCCAAGGCGGAGGCCCTGCGCACACCTGCAAACAAAATGACTCTGTGATCCCTGCGTTCTTATCTCTGTGCTTGTTATTCTTTTTCTTTCTTTTTCTTTTAGAGTCAGGGCAAAAGAAATTAGACCATAGCCTCTCTTTATATAAGGGATAAAGTGGTTTTCATAGTTTCCTCATGTTGTGAAAGAAAGAGCTGTACTATTCTCTATCAGTTGGTTGCAATAATTGGACATTCTTTGTTTTTTTTTTTTTTTTTTTTTTTTTTATTGAAGCTATGGGGAAAAAAGATACTGAGGTACATAGTATTGCTTTACTGTTTGACATCCGAGATTTCGAATCAGGTGAATATACATCTATACACCCATATTTTTAAGTGATGAATAGAAGTTGTTGGTATGGTGGCTATTTTACATTTTTTTTTTTTTTTTTTACTTCAAGTTGTTGGCGGTGTAGAAGGCCTGAATATCGGTGACGATTCTACGAAGACCTCCCAGATAAGTGGTAAGATCCTGCTTAACTGCTGCTTGGTCAGAGCCCAATTTGTCGTAGAAGTCTGCGCGATATGGACAAGCCTTCATGGCCATCTATTTTTTTTTTTTTTTTTTTTTTTTTTTGAATGTGATAAGCGAGAGCAACGAGTTAGACGGAATGAATGAAAACTCATTAGCTTGTTAAAAAGGGAGAGAGAAAGAAAAAACATACAGTGAACACGGGACGAACGAGCATTCCATGATACTGGCGGAGAGTAGCCTCATAACCCTTAGTGAAGGAAACAGAGAGTTCCTCACCAGGGTTAGCCTCGCTACGCTCCAAGGACTGGAGAGTGAAATCAAGACCACTAATTTTTATTATATTTTTCAATGCATGGAAAAAAAGTGAGAGCATAGGAGAGAGCCATCAATTAGAAATCTTCGGAAAAGATTTTAGTTTATCTGATATTCACCCAGATAAATACTGAAGTTCGATGTTTGATAATTGTTAACATACCGAGTGAGCCACAAGAGACCCTCAGTGGCGGTCTTCTTCTTCTCAGCGATCTCACCTTTAACCAGATTCTGAAGAGTGGAGTTGACAACTGGGTTCTGGAGGTAACGGTCACGGATTTTCTATTAATAACATTAATGAAAACAATAGGTTATTCACAATGGCATGATAAACAAGAAACTATGCTTTAAAATATTCCCAACCAAACAATCCCTTTCCAAGTTGGAATGCCATATAAAATAACTGGTAATTGGCAACAAACAAGAGAAGAGGAAGAGAGAACATGGGCAATTAACGCGCGTATGGATTATCCGATAATTCTTCTGCCGATCTTTTTTTTTTTTGTGCCAATCAGAAAACATTCATGCATTTCTTTCTACTCTTTGTTACCTTGATGTTGCCATTCATATCGCTCTGGACAACGCCAAAGACTGTGCCGAAGAGGTCTATAAAGATACGATTTTGAAGTGTCAAAGATAACGAATGAATAAAGAAAATTATAGGCCGAGATAAGTCAAATAAACAGTAACAAGTTGAAATGTCTGCGCTTTTTTATCATTGAAATGAACCGAGACATAAAAAGGAGACGCGCACGTATGAGAAGGAGAGAAAGAATTGATTATTACCAAAGATCTTGACGAGACCTTCAGTAGCCTCAAGGAATTCCTGAGTGTTGATGCCCTCGTCAGTGATAGTGACATCAGTATAGTTGCGAGTGCCCTGGAAGTAAGTAGAAGCCATAGTGCGGAGTCTTGTAAAGTTGAGATGAGGAGGAGATGGAATGAGAAGGAAAAGGAGAAGAAAAAAAGATGATGAGAAACAAAAGGCGACTGAAGACAAATGTGACGTGTTTTTTTTTTTTTTTTTTTTTTTTTTTGAATGTGGGGAATGGCGTTGTGTACGCCCCCAAATAGGATGGTAAGCATAGCAGGGCAAGGTAAAGCAAGACATGTCAGATCCTGTTCAGACTCTGACTGTAAATGACTGCAATGATTGTATGCTGCGAGAATACATAGAGTATAAATGGTATGGAACGATACAAAGAACACGCGCTTGAAATGTAAATGTAAACCGACAACACAGCATTGTCATAGCCCCTTAGATTTGATCTGGAACGGCATACGCGTGCACAAACAATTTCTCCTCTTCTACGGGTAATCTAAACAGAGAAATGAAAGGAAAAAAAAAAAAAAGGAAGGACTCTTCTAATTGACAGCGCTGCGGAGTGACCGGAGAAATAAGGCACTCTATGATTGACTGGCAAATATGGTTTTGAAGATCATCCAGCATTTCCCACGTTCAAGGTTACAGAGAAATAATTTAGATTTTGTGAATTTCTTACAAATAGCTGCTGTCCTCTCTCTTCTTTTTTTTTTTTTTTTTTTTTTTTCCTATTCATTCATACCTACCCGCTCCCATCCATCCTCATTAGTTTGATATCTACCTCAACTACTCAACTTGCCATGGAATCATATCAGGAACAAGGCAAGTAAACTTAATGTGTTAGAGTAAAAAGGGAAAAATGCAGCTCGATATTATACTAACGTTACTTCGCAAATGATCTCAAACATTTTCTCTCTCTTTTAATGAAGTCAAGAAGCCAGACGGATGGAATGAGCTCTGGAAGCATGACATTCATCCATGGGACAACCCCACACCTAGCCCTGCATTGGTTGAGGTCATCGAACAGAAGCCTATTTCTGCTCAGATCCCGAAAACAGGCAATGTTCTTGTCCCTGGCTGTGGTCGTGGCGTTGATGTCTTTTACTTGGGTAATGAGCACCGTAAGGCTATTGGATTGGATATCAGTCCCATTGCTGTCCAGCAGTGTAAAGATGTAAGTCCTCTTTTTATCTCCCATCTATCATAATTAGTGACATGATCGAATACCAATTTTCATTTTTTTTTTTTTTTGTTCTCATTGTTCCTTTTTGAATATATTAGATTCGAACTCAAAAGGGTATTCCTGAATCCCATGTTGACTTCATGGTTGGTGATTTTTTCAAGTTTGACATTCCTGCTGGAGGATTCAAGCTTATTTATGACTACACGTAAGGACCTCTCCCTCAAAATATGCCAATGCTTTGATACCGTTTGTCGTACTGTTACGCTAATTTTAATTTTTTCAACTGTTCATTGGAAAAAGTTTCTTCTGCGCAATTCAACCCGAGCTGCGCCCTGCCTGGGGCAAAAGAATGGCTGAACTGATCGCCAAAGATGGCATCCTGATTACTCTCATGTACCCCATTGGAACCCATACAGATGGTCCCCCTTTCGCTGTCAGTGAGGCCGCTTATCATGAACAGTTGGATCTTAACTTTGAATGTCTGTTAATCGACGACTGTACCTCATTTGAAACTCGCCAAGGCAGAGAAAAGATCGGTATCTGGCGTCGTAAGTAAAGACAAAAGTGGGGGTCGTCTATAGCCCGAACCCATGTCTCGACTTTCTTCTATATATTTCTAGAAGCAGAGTTGTACAAAATCAATAAAGTGACAGAACATGCAAGTCATATTGGTAACAGATTTTATGCATCCATGTTAGAAGTTAAATGTACACCAATACAATAAAAGTATACTCTATCTCGTTTGGTCAACATTTATTTGATCTTTTCGTAGAAGATGCATGTTCGTCAATATAGGAATTATGTTCATCAATATAAAAACTGAATAAATACTTCTCGGGCATGTAGATCCACATCTTGTTCTCACTCTTTTTCTGTCCTATAGCTTGTCCAGCAAAAGTTTTTACTCACATTCTACAGCTTCCAATGCGATCAATTGTTGCTCTACATATACCATCTGAAGCTATTACTTGTCACCTTACTACCTACTTCAGTATATCAACTGCCTCTTAACAGCACTGGATAAAGAGTTCTTCAATAATGGGAGCGCCAACTCTTTGGAGTAAGGTGAAGAAAAAAGGCTACGACCCGCTAGAAGTCCTGCTGCCTATGGGATATTTTGAAGGATCCCCGTTGATGTACAAGGAGCTTTTTATGGCCTCGTATGAACAGCGTATTCGACTCATTTGACAGACCCACATCAAGTTGTGGTGGAGGGCATTCGCAAGGCTCTGGGCCCTTCCAACTCAGTACTGTGCTTTGATGGTGGTCAGGCTCTAGCATACCCATGCAGAACGAGGTCGATCATGGTCGGTATCATTGAATAAAGCGAATGATTGTATACAGAGGCCCAAGGCCGAGGCGCAAAGTCCTTGTCTACAATCTCGACCTAGTGCTCCTCTCGCTAAGCGTTATACGTTAGCAACTAAAAGTCATGTGTGTCGTTAGCCGGAACGACTACACACGCAATCGACTATCGCTCGGGCTTGCTACCAATTTGAGTGATACAAATATGTATGACATCGCGCCCCAATTTTCTTTATTATTATCAATGTCCTTTTCTCGTACTATTCCTACATCTGTTTCTTAAAGTCTCTGGTATTATCAAGGAGAGGGTTCTAAAATTGAATAAAAAAGAGGAGGAAAAATAAAAATAAAAATAAAATAAAATAAAAAGGAAAATAAAAGGAAAAATAAAAGTAAAAAAGAATCACCATTCTCCATGTTTTTAATATTACTAGAGGCTCAAAAAAAAATAAAAATAAAAATAAAAAATAAAAAAAAAAAAAAATACAACGTTAAAAGTAATCTCAATTAATCATCTGAGAATGAAGGAGGCACAGGAATTGAGCTCGTCTTCTTCTTCTTAGGCGGCGACTGTCCTGGCGAGCTCTCCAAAATTGGCGCCTTCTTTTTCTTCTTCGGTGTCGTTGGGATCAAAGGTAATGAGCTAAGTGGATCCCCACTACTTGATCCTTTGTCTTTGTCCTTTGATGATAAAAACTTCTCCCGATCCTTACTACCGCCCCCCCCACTACCATTCTTATGATGTCCACTGCCACTTCCAAGACTACCGCTGATGCTGTTAGATATAGGTCCAGATCCGCTATCGCGGTCTCCACGATCGTTCCTGTCTCGGTCCCGATCACCTCTCTCACGGTCCCGGTCTCCACGCTCTCTATCTCGATCCCTGTCGCGATCACGTTCACGGTCTCTTTCGCGATCCCGGTCGCTACGATCTCGGTCGCGATCGCGGTCTCTATCACGGTCGCGTTCCCTGTCACGATCGCGATCACGATCCCTATCCCTATCTCGCTCTCGGTAAGAATCTCGGTCGCGATCTCGATCGCGGTCGCTACGGTCTCTGTCTCGCTCTCGGTCACGATCCCGATCGCGATCCCGGTCCTTGTCACGGTGATCACGGTCACGGTCTCGATCTCTATCACGATCACGATCCCGCCCACTACTACTCTTCTCACGGTCCCGATCACGGTCGCTGCGATCACGATCTCTGTCGCGGTCACGATCGCGATCGCTACGATCACGGTCTCGATCACGATCACTTCGGTCACCGCGGTCACGATCATCACGATCTCTATCTCGCTCCCTGTCCTTCTCCTTGTCACTGCTGTCACGATCACGGATACGATCACGGTCCTTACTGCTGCCGCTGCCGCTCTTATCTTTAATCTTGGACTTGGATTCCTTATGGCTACTACCGCTACTACTGCTCTTGATGATTGATTCTCGGTCTTTTTCCTTTTCCCGATCAGAAAAACTCTCACGGTCAGACTTGTCCTTATCTTTACCACGCTCTTTGTCTTTACTGCCACGTTCTTTCTTTTCCTCCTTTTCCTTTTCCTTCTCCTTCTCCTTGTCTTTTTCTTTCTCCTTCTCCTTGTCTTTGTCCTTATCCTTTTCCTTGTCCTTATCTTTGTCCTTGTCCCTCTCTTTACTCTCTTTACTAGACTTAGATTTGGATTTGGTCGCAGATACCATGGGCGGAGGTAATGTTTTGCCTGCAACATTCGATTTTGACGTAGATGAGGAGCCTAGTGAGGCAAATGTTCCTGGTAATGTTTTGCCTGCTACTGAAGGCTTGACAAAATCATCTCCAGATTTCGAGTAGGTCCCTGATTGTTTTGGAGGCAGCATCCGAATTGCGCCGCCTCCACCACCACTCTCCATCACTTCCTCTTCCATGTCATCGCCATCTCCTGAATCCAATGAGCTAAGCATCGATGTTGGCGGCGCGACAAACACTGGTGTTGACCCCGAACCTAAAGCTGGTGTTGTAGAGCCCTTTGAAGTTGCTTTGGGTTTTTTGGTTTTCTTAGGCGTTGATGTGGGGAGAGCAACAATCGCAGACGAGGATCCACTGGAACTGGCAGTTTTAGAAAGTGGTATTGTGGCCGGTGGAGGCATTGGGTCAGGCGTCTCTTCAGGTTTCGTCTCCATGTCACTATCATCTTCATCCCCCTCTCCAGGGCCTTCTGAAGTACCCTTCTTACCCTTTTTTTTTTTTTAAAAAAAAAATAAATAAAAAAAAACAAAAAGAAAGCGTAGAATAAGGATGAAGGTTTAGTAGAATGAAAATAACTTTTGTTGATCATTGACTGGAATGTTGATTTTTTTTTTTACCTTCTTTGTTGGCTTTGTTAATTTCTCTTTAAGCTTGGATTCCTCCTTCATCTTCTTCTTCTCCATCCTCTCTTGCATCTTCTTATCCTTTGCATCTTGTTTTTGCCTCTTGCGTTCAGCACGTTCAGCCTCCTGTGCATCCTTCTCCTTTTTCCGTTTCCGCTTCTTAGCCTCAGCTAATGCACTTAGTTCACCAGGCTTATTCGCTCGATTCTTCATTGAGCTCACAATCTTGCCTGTTGGAGGAATCTTAGGCCTCATTGCTACCCTGCGTGATACTGGCATGAACTCATCCTCCAACAGGGACCCCAATTCCTCCATACGCTTCTTAAAGAATGGATGGAGCAATCCAATTGTCTCTGTCGGGTCTGTTAGTGGAGTAAACGGCGGTGGCGGTGGATAGGGCAATTCTTGTTTTGCAGGATCTTTGCCTTTGTTCGGTCCAATGCCGTGGATACCGGGTCTATAAGGAATATTTTTAATGCCACCGTACCAAATCCGTGCCGGGATAGCCAATGAGCTTAGGCCTACCTCTCGATCAATACCCATTTCGCGAAAGCCAAAAAAGTCATCGCCAAGTTCGTCAACGCCACCAATAAGATTACCACTCATAAAAGCTTCGTCATTTTCCTGGAATTCGAAATCAGTATCAATTACTTCCTCATGAATGTTGTTGATCGTATCTGTATAACTACTCTCGAGTTTTCTATGAACCTCTTGTAATTTGTTGCCATACCGCTCCACATCCTCGCGGATATAGCCCTCCAATTCCCCTACACTACTGACACCGTTTTCGTACAGAGTATGTAGTAGTATTTCCTATAAATTGCGTGTGGAAATTAAAGCAAATTGATTAGTATCAAATCGTTACTATAATTCACAGAATTCTAAAACACTCCATGAGTGATTGGCAAAAGCATTATTCCACTTAAGCCTTCTCTTACCTCCGCGGTCATGCCCTTGTTATACAAATCCGAGTATCCTCTTAATGTTTTACCAATGTTCAAGAAGAACTCGACAGCGATATCAGTCATCACGGCCAGCGCAGATGCCTGAGCTCCTTGAAACCCTGCATGAGCCAAAAGTTTGGAGGCCACCCTAGAGAGCATGGCATTTCCTGTGGCATGGTTCATGACAAGTGGTGGTAGCGGACCATCGTACGGCGGTATAGGCATTGGTTCCATTGGTTCTTCAATCTGAATCGGCTCCTGTTAAAATACCCAAAACATATTTTATCAGTCAATATATCTCTATCGAAGGGGGAAAAAAAAATAAAAAAAAAAGAGTATAGGCTTACTGAGATTGTAGCCTTGGCGGTAAAAATTTTTGTGTAAACGTGCCGGATTTTGCGCAGCTCCTCAATGTTACGCTCGATTCCAACTGCCAGTTGTCCTGATGTTGCATTTGCCGTAGGGTATAGGGATAGTGAGGGCTGCTTTTCTTCGAGCCTATGTGTTTTAAGATAGTAGTGGCATTGAAGATAGGGTAGAAATGGCAGAAACTGTTAATACATATTATGTAGGGCAAAAATAAAAAGAAAAAAGACAAGAGCGTGATGCTTACTTTGATATTTCGGACTCGTCAAACAGTTTACGCGCCTGCTCATGGTCATCCAATTGTACGCAACCTGCACCAGGGATTTCAGGCAAGCCTGATCGGATCGCATACTCTGGAAGAAAGATATCGTTCATTTTCTTGACTTTCTTCTGCTGATTTTCCTCTTCCTCCTTCGGCTTTGGTGGCGCAAACAGATCACGAACATAATCTTCCTCATCATCATCTTCGCTGCCACTATCGCTGTCGTCATAAATATCTTCATATGGGTCCAAGGGCTCCTTATCCTCCTCAGCATCGGTCGACGTAAATGTGCCGTTATTATCTAACAAACCAAAGCCACGACCTTTTTTCTTATTCTTCTTTTTCTTCTGTTTCCCTTGAAGCAGTACATGAAACACATTCTCATGTGCAAGGTCGATTTCTCGAGACTTCTTCATCTCCCATGGCGATCTTTCTAATGCGAAATGGTCTCCAAACGGCAACTGTTGCTGACTTTCCCGTGTAGAGCAGATTTTGGCACGCGCTTTCTTGGTCTTTTCCTTCCATTCTTGGAACAGCAAGTCTCCACGGTCTGCACGCAGCTGTTCCGCAATTTCTCTCTCTTCCTGTTCCAAATCAATCTCCACAGGTACAGACGCTCTTGCCATACGGTGTCGCGCTGGCGAGCTATGTATAATCCCATTAGGTGTTCCGCTCCAGCCGAGTCCGCTTGCTCTTTCAAATGAGCCAGAGGAGAGCATCGGTGCCTCTATTGAATCCATTGTCGAAGGCTCTCGGCTAGCCTCACGCGTTGGAGTAGAGTTAGCCATCGTATCTAGATCCATGGCCATTTTTGGAGTTTCGGACCCGAGTGGAACAGCAGTCGCGCCACGTTTCGAGGAGTGATCTTTGGTATGACTGGACGATTCCCCATTAGTCTTGTGTACTGTCTTTGACGACTTGTCCTTTCGTCCCATTCCTTTAGATGATTCATTTGGACGACCGGCCTGACTCTCTACATCATCATCACTCTCTTCTGCCTCGGCTTCTACCTCTGCTCTGTCGCGGATAACTACATCCTGAACAGTCTCTAGTAGCTGTTGCGTCTTCTTTTTCATAGCGATAGCGTGCTTCCGGTAAACGCTGCTGGGATCTGAGTTATAGAGTAGACAATTGGAATAGATCAGGTAAAGGTCGTTGGCAAATTGTGTCTTGCTCTGGTAGGCAAATGATTTGAGCTTCTTTAGGACTGTTCCAAGATCCATGGGATGCTTAATGACCTGAAAGTAATCTGGAGCCTCTCGCTTATTCACCTTATTAAGGAACGGTGTTGAGTGTTCTGTGTAATTCCTGAGTTCCATCAAGACGCGCTCACACCCCTCATAGAGCTCCTCTTGACCTACTTTATCTTCATTTGCCCATTTAGATCGGTTAGGTCGAACATCCGACAACAAAGTCCGGAGCTCGCGGTCAGTTAGCCCCGTAGCAGACCTATTGGCTTCAATCGCACCCAACAAATACTTCATGCTTAAACTCCCTGTACCAAGTTGCGTCAACATGTTGTCTGTGATCAGGCTAGTGCCTGTTTGACTCTCCTGCTCCTGTTGAATATTTTTATCTGCCTCCTCAAGTTGTTGTTGCTCGATCATAGCATCCATATCGTATTCCAGTGTATAATAAAGGTGATGGATAGGAAGCCTAATAGGCGTTTTGCCCGATTCTACGGTTATTATAGGATTGTTTGCACTTTCTGGTTAGTTTTCACAATCTAAACATTCTTCAAATAATAGAAAGAGATAAAGGAAACCAGGAAGTAACAGAGTACCACCTACTTTTATCTTTTATGTTATTGTCCTTGGACGGCGCTGATGCCGAAGTTCCATCATTACTTATGCTGGTACTCGCAATATCTTTCTTGGATTCCATGTCTGTATCCTCATCGTAGTTATCATCCTCAACGATCCTCCTCTGTGATCCAGCATCTCGAGACGAGCTATCTGTATTATAGGGAATGGCTACAGAAGTTCGACGACCCTTGTCCTGCGTTAGCACGCCCTTCTTTTCCAACGCGAAAACATCGACAGTTGGATGGCAACATCCTCCACGAGCAGGAAATATCTTTGGTAGTAGTTGTTCAAAGACCATAACACGCGTTCGGAAAGCCGTCGTTGGAATTGATACAGGAATTGGGTTAGATTCTGATGTGGAAGTCGAGGGGAAGCTTGACGTTGACTCAGGTTGAGGGGAGGATCCATTACATAGTTGAGAATCCATGGTATTTCGAGGTGATGGCGACCTTGCACGATGATTAGGGGTATTTGGAGCGCGCAAGTGACCATTTGGAGTCGTGACTGATGGTGTAGATACAGATGGCGAGTTTTGAGCCGAAAAATCCTCCTTTTTGATAGTTACTGAGGAGAAATCTGATCCTGACCGATCTTGATCAACTTTGATAATGTCGGGCACTCGGTTATCAGCTCCCTCGCTTTTGGTCTCGCCATCAATTTCCAAATTATCTTTTGATACGCTATCTTGGGATATTGAAGCCGAAGGGACGTTTTGTGTTGACTGAGAATCAGAGTGTTGTTGCGTTGCCAGTTGATGTTGCAGCTGTTGTTGCAGTTGTAATAATTGTTGCTGGTTTTCATGTTGCTTTTTGATATCCTCAAATTGTGACCCGAATTTGCTGTCAAGGGAGATGAAGTTATGCCAGGTGTCCAAACTTGTCAGCGCAGCCTCGAAAACTTCATGCTCTTCCTCTGTCAAGTAAAATCGCCAGAGCTTTCTAGTGTTCATTTCCTGTGCGACATTGTATGTAAGACGGATCTGGCCATTGGAAGAAGAGTCATTCAAGATCTTGAGAAGTTTTTCCCGTTGTTCGGAGGAGGGCACTGCTACTATTGATGACGAAGAAAAAGTATCATGGGCTCCGAGGTTTGTATCCATGCGTTCAGTTTCACTTTCAAAATTTAAGATGGACATGGGCGATGACGGCAGCGACGTGGCATTATATGGCTGTTCCGACTCGCCTTCAGCGAGAGGTTCTCTTGAAAATAAACTCATTGGATGGCTGTAATGGCTGGAAGAATGATCATTCGTTGAATTCTCCAAGAGGGAGAGATCCTCCAGCGATGTGAAGCGGAAGACTGGAATGTTTTTTTTTTCTTCTTCTTGTGAGCGATGCGCGTTTCTCGTAACGAATCCTGCCCTGTTAAATACTCCTGTTAATTTCTTTCTATTTGAGTAATGGACGAAAGTGCAGCAGGTTACCCGTGTATGGATGAAGCGTTGAAAAGGGGTTTCTCGATTTTGAAGAAGAAAAGGAAATAAAATAAAATAGGCGCGTTCGAGGGGTAAAGAAAAAGGAATAATGAATAAGCAATTGACGTATTGAATAAGAAGGGATGACAATGCTGAAATGAATCTAAACTCTTCCTGCTCTGCAGTCCTGGCGTCCAATTGAATCCTTGGACTTTAGTTTATATTTCCTCGTTCCTTTGATGCGTGGGAAATTAACGATGTGGGGATCAATCTTCAATAACTGACAAGTGAAGGATGGAGTAGAAAGGAAAAGAAAATAAGAAAGAAAGAGATATTTTTACCTTCTGAAACCGTCATTTACCTGCTGCAGAAACCAAAGCAGGGACGTGAAAACGTGAAAAGTATCCACGTGATTACTACGGAGAAGCCACCTTGCAACAATAAAACGAATGCTCTTCTGTAGATTTGCAGTGAATAACTTAAGAAGGAACCCAGTAAGACAAGTGAATGCTCCTTTGGCTACTCCTTAGGCCAAGATTCAGCCAGTACCAAGTAGGATGGCCTGATATATTGTAAAGCGATTTATGATATGGATATTGTTTTGGTGTTTCTCAAGGCTTTGGAGCGACTCTCAAGAGTAATGAATACAGATAAAGATCTCGTTTGGTTTCTTTTCTTTTTTTGCTTAAAAGTAAGGCCAAATACATACATAGTTTTATAACATATCGAAACGCTTTACAGTCTTTATTTTCGATATGGTACATATTCATCGGTAGGCTTTACAAGCGCGACGAGTGAGCCTAAGGATGTGAACAAGGATAGACTTTTTTTAAAGGGGGTATCTTGGTAAATGAGGAACTTGGTTAGTCCACAATGGCCGCAAAAGATGCATGTGAAATCTTTATTGTATTTCAAGCTTTCAGAAACAAGGCCCTACACAGTGATCTCAGTACCTGTGCACTTAAGTGCATAAACGACATACGTTGGGGTTCCGCTTTTAGCGGATCCGCATATCAAGGCTCTAACGACGAACCAAGAGGTTTCTAGCAAAATGATATGCTTACGATCGAGTACTTCACTCTGTACGATTATCAAATGGAATAGGACTGATTAAAAGAATGAAAGAGTCATCCGGAACGATGAAGGTACCATTAATCCAACGCCATCCTTGCAAGGTTGGCATTCGCTCTTTTTTGTTTTTTCTTTCTTTTTTTCCCTTGATGCAATCCATAGGGTTATTGCAAAGAATGTTATTATCCATCTATGTCGCTCACAGGCACTTTTTCTTTTATTCACATGCAAGATAAGAAAAAAGTGTTTTCAACACAAAGACAGCCTTGTAGAATGTCGTTGGCCTGAAAGGCAATAGGAAACCCCCAATGCTCATGTTTTTGTCATTGATGACAAGAAACAACTTGTAAGGTTGCTAATGTCTTTGGCATCAGTCGTCTTCTCTTCACATATGCGTGTATGGAAAAACGGGCATTCCTTTGCAAGCGTCCCCTTGTTTTCTTATGATTATCATTCCACCTCCTGCATAGCATAACAAATGCCTGTCTATCATTCGGAGAGGAAGCGATTGTATTAATATAATTATAATAGTTTTTCTGACTTTAATTGCAACCTTACCAAGCTTGCTTCTTGTCCTTAAGAATCTGCCCAGAGTCTTGGAGATCAAAAGCCTTTTTTTTTTTTTTTTTTTTTTTTTTTTTGGCTTGACGTTTCTTGCACAACGCCTAAATGAAAGCGCACCACCAACAGTTGCCACAAAATCACTCATTCACTAGTTGAATCCTGCTTAAATGAATTAATTAACCTAGCATTACCAGCCATCCTCCTGAGTACTTCATTACTCACACCAGCATTCGAAAAGAATGGTCGCTGCAGAAGAAGCTTTGCCTCAAGAGAAAGAGGAAAAGATTACACTAGTAAGACGAGGCGGAGCTATGTATGCCCACCGTGAATAAAGCCCATGCCTTTTTTTTAATTGATCCAGCACTCAATTTGGTCAGTAAAGAATAAAATAAAAATATGTAAAGGTGATAGACGCGACATTGATGATATCGAGCATAACGGTCATAGAAACAAGGAAAAAAAGCACACCCTTCGCCTTGCGCAACCGCGTATACCAAGGGCCCTCCTCGGCGGTGATGGGTGTAGCAAACATTGTAGTCGCTGTAGCTGTGTCTGAATCTGTGCCTGGCATTTTATGAGGTTTGTCTTATTAATTAACCGAGTTGATGGATCTGCAAGCCTTGTTTGGTTAAGGTTTTTAGGAAACCAAATTACTGGGTTATGATCTCAGAAGCAAAATAAAGGAATCAAAAAAAAAATAAAATAAAATAAAAATAAAAATAAAAATAAAAGTAAAAATAAAAGTTAAAAAAAAAAAAGAAAGGACAAGGTGATTGAGAAAAAAAAGAAGCCAAGGTTAACTTGAGTACTAAATAAAAAGAAGAGGTATTGTATAGTTGCTGTTAGAAGAGTACGAACGGGAACCCGCCTTAAATACATTTTTTGGTGCGCAAGCTCAGTTGCTTATCGCCAATTTTATTTGGTCACGATACCTTATATTTTTAATCTAAAAACGATGATTGAATTGTTCTGGTGGCATCTCACTACGTGACGGACTTGCAACAATACTCGTAACAAGCGAGATAATTGGCTGCCAATACACTCGAAAGTATTCAAAAAATATAAGGTATCGCGACCAAATGAAACGGGCTATATATATAAATATGCCTCTTTGTCCAACGTTGAACTTTGCTTGTTTACAATATGCCTCTTGTCCAACGTTCAACTGCTCAGACTCCCCTACTTGAGGTTTTTTTAATGGAGCATTGTGCCATTTCACAGCCCCAATAACACAAAGAAAATTGGCAAACCAAAAAGAAGAAAGAGCTCCCATTCCGCCGCATGCTCTCTTTTAGATGGCACTTCAAGTATTAAAAGGCAATTCTTTAGAAGATCAGATTTCAGCTTTCTATGTATTGCAAATCTTTATTTTAGTTTGCGCAACGTCACAGCGTAAAAGAATGCGGGAATAAAAAATGACAAGAGCATTTCTAGGCTCTATTGCCTCTTATCGTGCTCCTACCCTACCGTACAGATATTGTACGATTGCCCTGTGTAAAAGAGAAATTACATTAGTCTTCAACGAGATACTCATCTTTGCTTTTTGATAACTTTATTAGCTCGAAAAAAAAAAAGAATAAAATAGAATAAGCGCTATTTGGTTTGAGGGAAAGGCTCGTAAAGGCACCTAACAGTACTTCTTAGGGATGTTCTCCTCTAGTAGGGGGATTGAGAACTAAGCAATGAGTCTTTTGGCAAGTATGGTAGCTAAGATCATTAAGTTATGGGATACAGAGAACCGCACTAAACCATGTAAAAAAAGGAGGGTGTTCGGGCCGTTTGTGCCAAGGGACAGGGCCTATACTAGCTGGTTAAAATATTAGAGGGCACCATTTTCTTCGTGATCATTAATGAAATTGATAACTCACAACGATTCGCTCCTTTGTAAGGACCTTATTTTGGTTGCAAATGCTTCACACCCGCTATACTGACAGGCTCTTTGATAGACATTCGTCCCTTTTCACCGGCCTCACAGGCTGCTGGGTCTAAATGTTGCTGTGCATGTCCCCAATACCAATCAGCAAGCGACAGTGGATTTTAATTTCCATTGAGGTTGTCACAAGGCAACCCAATTTTGACGGCGGGGTATTCCTTCTTGGGTTTCTGCGCTGATTCATTGAAATTTCAAGCTCCATGGATACTCTCCATGGCCATCTCTAGTTTCTATGGAAGGACGAATGATTGTACTTTGGGCAGTGTATTTCGGTTGAGGCTTATTGTTAACCGGCTATAGGCGAAAAGACAAAAGAACGGCGGTTAAAGACAATCCTAAACGGGAAAGCAGAGCTATAATGAGAGAACGCTTAGTATACACAATGATTACCTCTTTTTGGGGATGTTAAGGAAAAGATACAACAGAAGAGGTAATCTTGGCATTCATCCCTTTAGCGATGAGGTTGCTTTTATTTGACTGCAACTGACTAGAAATGAGGAGGATAAGAAAAATACCCAGTTGGGAATACAGTGCCTAATGTTGAAATGGAGTCGATAGTTTTTCGATTATTTTTTTTAAATGGTCGAACCAGTCTGTCCCTCATCAAGTAAACCAAGTACCGGAGCTTCTTAATTATCGAGCGAGGCCCTCCTCATTTAGGGCCGCGTTGGGCTTGAACGCTTCTGAGAGTGCTAATGTGCTCTCTTTCCGAATCGAGTTGCTTCTCAAGCGCAAGGTGGTCAAATTCGTCTTGGTCTTGAGCGCCTCTGACATTGCCAGAGCCCCTTCATTCCCAATTAAGTTGTTTTTCAAGCGCAAAGTAGTCAAGGCTGTGTTGGCCCTGAGTGTTTCTGAGAGCGCCAAGGCTCCTTTCCTTCCAATTGAGTTGTCCTTCCTTCCCAATAAAGTTATGCTGTAAATTCAAAGCGGTCAAAGCCGTGTTGTGCCTCTGATAGTGCCAGAGCTCCTTCATTCTCAACCGAATTGAACGCTAAATTCAATGCTGTCAAGGCCATGTTCACCTTGAGTGCCTCTGACAGCGCCAGAACTCCCTCATTTCCAATCAAATTGGGCTCCAAGTCTAAAGAGACTAAGGTTGTGTTGGTCTTGAGCGAGTTTACAAGTATTTGAAAATCACTAGCTCCTATACATCGAGGCTTCATCTCAAAGGATATATGAAAATATGGCTTCCTAGGTTCTAAGCTACAGAGCTTTATGAAATCCTTGGATAGAACAATATGAATCGTCTTCATACTGGCAAGTCCAATGATACGGACAAGGATTTCATATCGGGTGGATGATAAAAGTAGCCTCCTGCTGATGCTTTCTTGATGCCGTCCGAGGTCAAGCCGAAGAATCGATACACTTGACACCTTTTAGGCACTCTCGAACGTTTCAAGGTCAGTACTGGTACAATCCCAGTCGAATGTGACATCCAAGTCGTAAACACATCTTGCATTGGTTAGGGCGCTGAAGAATTCTTCTGCTCTGGTTCTGGATCTCAATAAAATGGTTGCTTTACCGAGTTATGAGTCATAATTGTCGTCATTTATCTCGACCGCATTAATGAACGCTTTCTGTCCTTTTTCTTTGTATGTCAAACGATAATGTTCGAAACAAACCCATTTGCATTCCCGAGTTTTTTAAAGCAGGTAAATGGATAACGGTGTTGCTGCTACTGCTGCAGCAGTTGCTGTTGCTGAATTGCGGTGCTTCTGTAACGGCGTCCAAGACCCTTTCAGGATAGAATGCGATGCGTAGAGGCTCAATCCTAATAGAACAAAGCAAAGGCAAGTTAAATTGAGTTTCCCATTTTCAGGAGCTGACAAAGTACCATGAACTGTTATATATACCTGCTGCCATTAGAGTCTACAAGGAATGGGATGGGAAGCTCATCTAACTTGAATCGTAGTGCATTCGGAAACACGTCTCAAATGTCATGTAAACACACAAAATATGGCGAACTGCCATTACTTGCGGAGATGTTTGCATTCCTGACGCAAACTTTTTCAATGAATAGACGAATCCAGAGGCGGCTTTTGCTTATACAATAAAAAAGGCATATCACCTCACTTGATTGCCTTTTATCTTTCCATTCTTGCAACGTCAGAGAAAACTGTGAGTGAGCGAGACAAATTGCAAAGACGCCTTTTGTCCCCCAACTTTAAAAAAAATGGGTACGGGCACACAACCATTTCCTTTTCGACTACATTCAAACTTATTTGTTTATAGTATCGAAGCAACAAAAAAAAAAAAAAAAAAAAAAAAAGGCTGAAGACTCATTGATAATGAAGACATTGTGCATAAGGCTTCGCCATTGAATGAGAACACGTTTATTATTGCTCCTCGTGTCTTAACGTGCACCGTATTTGTATGACTTGAACTTTTCTATTTCATTTTTCTTCTTCAATTCCTCGTCTCCTGCTTCTGCCCCTCATCACTCCCTGCCTTGCCATTTCCTTCCAAAATTGAGATGCTACTGCTTTCAACTGTAGCGGGCTCCCCTTTCTCTTGATCTCCCTCAACAGTTTCTGGATCAATGTCCAAGAATTCAATAGGATCCTGATTTGAGGCAAAAATCGCTGTCAGGATCATGCCAGTGCCCCCAAAGACCGCAAACGCATAGAATGCGGCTCTATATCCGCTCATCAGAGCCTCAGGTGTTCCACCTATGCCTTCGAATGTTTGAGACATAATAGTTCCAATTGCAAGGCCAATAGGACCACCCAGCTGTATGGCAACGTTGAAGACTGCTCCAACCACGCCTTGGTCCTCATCCTCAGCGTCAGCGACTACATTGACTTGACAACACATCCACGTCGGTGAGAGGCCCAAGCAGTTCACGATGAAGGCAGGGAACGCAAAGTGCCAATAGGTTGTACCAGGTACAATTTGAGCAAAGATAATGGCTGATGTGATGATCAAAGTCCATCCGATCAACATAATGAACTTAGTACGGATATACTTGAATAGTCGGGTGACTGTATAGAGCCCAATGACAAGGCCAACGCCGTGGACGATGTAACAGCAGGCTGTGATTAGAGGAGAGTATTTGAGCACATTCTGGAAAGTCAATGAGGTGAAGAAGATCATGGTGTTGTAGCATGCGGTCACACATATTATCACTAGGACGCTTGCTGAAAATCGACGGGAACTCCAGATACGGAAAGGCATGATTGGGTACTCGATCCGACGTTCCCAAAAGATGAAGCCGGCCAAAAGAACCAAACCCACAATAAAGGGCGTCAACGTTTGTGCAGATCCCCAGCCGACAGTCGTGGATTCAGAAAGATAGTAGATTACCATGACAACACCGGCCATGAAAAGAGCGACGCCCAAATAGTCAACACGGCGATCTGTATTGCCAGGGTTATCATTGACATTGGAGATGATAAAGAAGCCAGCAACAGCCATTGTGATCGAAATAATGGCAGTGACAAAAAAGATCCAATACCAACCAATAGTAGCATCGAAAATACCACCCAGAAGGACGCCAGTCGTCTGGCCAATACAACCTGCACCACCGAACATGGAAAGAGCAAATGTCCGTTCAGGCCCTAATGGATAGGTTGTGGTGAGCAACGCAAGGGCTGAAGGGATTGTGAGCCCAGCACCAGCTCCCTGTAGAGCTCGTGCGATAGACATGAAGATTGGATCCCTAGCGAAGCCGCAGACCAGCGACCAGATTCCAAACCAAGTGGTGCCAGTCAGGAACACCCTACGATGACCAAATAGATCTCCCTATAAGGATATCAGCGAATCAAGTACGGAAATACCTGTCAGTACGTCCACTACGATCTTTATAGTGCAGCAAGCTTTGAAGGCTCTATTATGGTTCAATAACTGGTGTAGGAGCAACTGTTTCTGCAGAATGAAGAAAGAATAAAAAAGCCTTACCATCCTACCGCCAACTAAGAGGAATGCAGCATATGTAAGAGCATAGCTACTCACAATCCTACAAACGAGCAGGCAAAGCAATATGAGGGATACAAGTAAAAATATAAAGATAAAAAATAGGCGGGTTAGTAGGCAGCTTGGAGCACGACTTTCCTGGTACAGATACACAGAGGAGGAAAAGAGGGCGATATCAGGTAGGCATATAAAACGATACACGCGCCTATTTCTTACCATTGGAGCTGATTTGGCTCATAATGAACATCACGCAGAATGGACGGGAGGGCGATGGTGACAGAAGCGACATTGATAATATCAAGCATATTCGCCATAGAAATCAGGACGAGCAATAAGCCCTTTTTCTGATCTAGCGTCCTATACCAAGGAAGCTTTGCTTTTGCTGGTTGTGGATCCAAAGTATATACATGATTACTTGAGGTGATTGTGGATGCGTCTATATCAGCCATTAGTTCTCTTCTTGGGCTATAGACTCAAATACAGCGAATGGGGTTCTAAAGTCTAGCAGGTAACTTTGAAAACAGTAGAATAAAAAAATAAAATGAAATAAAAGGTGGTGATAAATGCAAGAAGGAGGATAAAAGAGAGCGGAAATGAGAGATGGGATAGAATGACCTGTTAAAAAATAAATAAGGATGACTATTCTTATAAGATTATTATGCTGAATTGCAACTGAAGAAATGGAAAAATAAGTGCAGATCGGATCTAACAGAGAAATTGCATTCTTTTTATACTTTTGCTGGCCTCCATCCCCGGGCAGAGCATTTTGCTGTCTATATTTTAGTAATTATGGCTTTCAAATTGAAATTGCGTCGCAATCAAGGTTACGCGTAGGCTTTTGATTATATTCCCGTTATAATATGTTACTCCAATGTTTGGAATCAATGACGACTTAATCAAAACATTAAGCAAATAAGCATTCGAGGAAATGGCTGGATAAGATTATGCTTGATTTCTAAGCATCCTCTTGACCAAAACCTAAATTCAAAGTACACACACCTTATTGGTTTAGGAATATTCCGCGCTAGTGTGCAATGGTTTTCTATTATTCATTCGGATTTTTTGTCATTTTGTTACATGCCTTTCAATGCGGAAACAATTACAATTTGTTGTACACAAGTCCAGGGTGATAATAAAGGCTCCTGGTTAATAGCTTTACGATAGATTGCCTGCACCTCCCGCCTTGGAAGGAAACTGCGCATGAATATCACTTGCCGAAGAATATATAAGTAAGAATAAAAACTGTTCATTGATAAGAATAATGGTGCGTGTAGTGAGCACTGCTCTTATACGCTGAGTAATGATGCTCATTAGTCAAAAGATCTGCGCTTGGCAATAGCTTTAGCCTTATATCGGAACAGACTTCATAGTGCATCTTTTCAAAAGTGCATGCATATCCGTTGCCGCAGTATATTTTGTGAAAGCTTATTCTGTTCTTAAACCTTGATCCCACTGCGCTTTTTTTTTTGCTCCTTAAACTTTAAGGTAGCTGTTAAGGAAGTAAAGATTTATTCGCTCCACCTATTAACATCTATACTTATTAACACACCAATATGGCACAATTGATGTGGTAGCGAGATACCCAAAAAGTGAGACAAAAAGTGGGACAATTTTTCCAAGTAGAAGCCAATATAAAAAAGAATTAGCCGTACCAGCATTCGACTCAGAATTGTATCAAGAGTGGATTACCTTGAACAATAATAGTACCCCATGATTGGCTGCCCTCCTCAAATCATATATCGGCTGATTTGGGGCGGAAAGACTTAGAATCAAATAAAAGTTTTTTTTAAGAGCATCCAACGGGATCGCTCCTATCCCATAAACCGTAATAACCGCAAATTTCTCTAAAACTTTTCCTCAAAAAATTAATCCACTTCACAAAGCCAGATTGAAAGAGCGCAAAAACTACATCGACTGGGTTTTTCTTCCATTCTTATTACCACCTCATTACAAGCAAACTGATTGACTTCAATACATGGACATTCAAGATTACTCAAAAATATACGGTTTAAGCGATAGTCTATTCGCCTGATAGCCAGTTCATTGCTTCAGATAGCAATGACTATTGAATCCAATATCAGGCCAGTGCTCAATTGCCCTTCCTTCCGGAGATCGATATTGATATCCTTACGAGATCACTCGATGAACTGAAGATCATGCTCGTCGAATTGGCCCTACAATCTGTTAATATTTGGTTGGAGGCCACCAAGGTGCCCAAACAAGGGAAAAGGTTCAAGCTCCTTAAATCAAATTAAAGCCAGAAATAGCAAGACAATTAGGTTGTGAGAACTAAAGTCAAATAATTACATCAATACAACCACACCTCCGAATAAATCTGGAATTTTGCTAGGTAGACATCCGTTACACTGGAGGCAAATGGTTGTGAGTGGCAGGGTCTGGAACCGTGGTGATAAATCAAATCATTGAAAGGCAAAAGGGAGCTTCGTAAATCCGCTTGCTCCCCATATGCATACGCGAAGAGGATATGACTCCCCAAATCTTTGCATTAGGGAATACAATACTGCCACAGCTACCCTGGTCATACATCATACATCATATTGGTCAAGTACACTGGTAAAAGAAAATGCGGAGGAGAGGGCTCGAAATTTTGAAACTGAAGGCATATCTTTAATATTAACAATAACAGGGGTTTATTAATTTTGGTATTTTGGTATTGTCCACAAGGCTCAATTTTGAAGATTGTTGCGCCGGTATACTTGACTTTTTTTAACATAATAACTCAATGAAAACTCTTTTCATATCTCTTTGGTGTGTTTCTCACCATTTCCCCTTTCAAAGCCTTGAGTCGCATGTCCAGAAGCGCATACTGCTCTTTATAAAGCTTAACGAGATTTTGCTTAGCTAGGATGACTTGCTTAATCATCTTCATTACCCGGTCTACATATGTGCTTCCAGCACCAAACTCGCCCGTAGGCAGGATTAGGCCCATGTTGATCCTCTCGGTCATGAGTTCTTGATAATCAATCGAGCTAAAGCGACCGGACTCTACCTTTTTACTCAGTTTGATGTGATAGCTGAGATCATCTTCACATCTGGCAATACAATCCACGACGGTAATCATCATCTCTATAACTTGATGGATGCTGGGGGTGCTCATCTTGAAGGAAGAGGGCTAAAAAATAAGAGCCAGAGTTATAAAAATGTAACCGTTAATTATTTAGGGGCAATTCAGGGAGAACTTTAGGCGCAGGATATGGAATGAGAAGAAATAAAGAGAAAGAAACAGTAAAAAGCAAATGATATGGAAACTGACGTGTCATCTTGTCTGTATCCCCTTCCACTCTCGACGTTGTTCTATCGACAAGAGCATATTGATAAGAAATCCCATTTAATGGAAGTAAAAGGATCGATGAAACCATAATATGATCCATAAGGAGCTGTGAGGCTAGCCAGTGATCTGAGAGGCCCTATATTGTGGGAATTCAATGAAGTGCGTTGAAGCTTAAAATAAAACAAGCCCTTAAGGCAATAAGGCAACAAGGCTGAAAAAGCGTCAGCATAATTTTCAAAGCTTCGCGACGCGTAAGTGTAAACATTAATTATCACGAATTTTACATACACAAAGCCCGGTTTTGTAATACAGCAATGAAATAGAGTTTGTCTTTCATTTTACATCCCTATGTCGCTTATGAGAGCCTAGTTGAAGATGCTTCAACTGGTCCTCATATGAATTTATCTTTTTCATGAACTACAGAGTGATGAGCCAAGCTTAGCTTTTAATTCTTTAAATGCTATGTGCCACCACCCCCTTTAAAGGAGGGGAGTTTAAGGCTCTCCAATGATTGTCTGGCAGACTCTTGGTTTACTGTAGCTCCTTAAGTATCTTTTCAAGTCCCTCAAGTTGTTGCTTATAACGCGCAATGGCGGTCTTGTTTACTTCAATAACCTCCTCGACCATTGATACTAATCGGTCCACCAGTTCGTAATCTCCGTCGGAATCGTGCTTACCAGCACCAAGGTTGATGTTGGCTCTCTCGAACTTGAGCTTGTTGCGTTCGATTATATCACAATTGTTAAGTTTAGCTCTGGCGAGTAAGGCAGTGTGGTATTCGATATCACTGTTGCATTTGGCGATGGACTTATTGGTCGATTCAATACCCTTTCGGACGTCTTCAATATTTGATGTGCTCATCTTGGTATTGGAAAATACAGGGGACCTAGGGTATGAGTAATCTTCGATCGAAAATAAGAGTTATTATATCACTTGAAGCTCGTGCGGGGCTTAAGAGCGCAATGGAGAGATGGGTAGAAGGAAAAGTGTTGAAGTAGAGGGCTGTTGAGCAGTGCTATAAGATTCCAGGTATTTATACGCGTTATTCTTTTTATACTCCCTCACATCATCTTGCTTTTGACAGTACAAGGGGACTAGAAGTATCATTTTAAAAAAATAAAAAAATAAAAATAAAAAAAGGCTGGAAGAAATGACTTTGAAGCCTGGCAAATCGCCGTATACATCATAGTATAAGATGATAGGAAACATAATGGTGCACCTGACTCTAATGAATGATCAACACAGATATTAGCCTATACAAAAGCTGATCCACAATGGGGGGGAGGCCTCTTGTTGGAGGTTATAGGTACTACTTTGATAAAATGAATAATTCAGCAAACAAACGTTGCTCAGTCATTAAGGATAAAAGGCTAGTTACGCGCGAAGTGCTGTCGCTCATGATACTTTGTTGGCATGTAATAGAAAATAGCCATGAAAAAAAGGATCCATTATAGAAGCGAGAGATACGAAAAGGATTTAAACGAATAAGCGAGATATCTCTACCGCAAAAACGGTGGTGTTCGGCTTTTTGCCACTAATTTATGCTTTAAATATGCTTTACAGCTGGTTTTCTCGTTCATATATTCTCCCTCAACTCCTTTTCACCATCTTACGCACCGGACGCGTTAGCACATATTTTTCTTGCTCCATTGTATCCATTACTCTTCATCATAAGCAACCAGAGCGCAAAGCAAAGAATAAAAAACATGGCCGATTTTGAACACATCGATATCTCGGAGAGGTTGACTCGCGTCGCGAACGAGATTAACGCCTGTGATGAGCGAATCAACTCACTCCAAGATATGATCAACTTCTGGGAAAACTCCTTAGCGGGAGACCAAAGAGGACCTGCACCTGCAGAACCCAATACAGGCTACCCTATGACTGTGTCCCCTGAAGCTTTGGATATGTCCCAGGGACAGGCACAAACAATTGAAATATCCGAACAACAAGGCCTATTTGAGCAACATGGGTTGCCGGAGAGACATGGGCTATTTGAGCAATACAAACCATCAGATCAATATGAATTGCTAGAACAGTGCGGACCAGTAGAGCATGGTGGATCGTCAGAACAGCTAGGACCATTCGAGTGGCACGGAGTAGCTGACCAATACCGGCCATCAGAACAACAGGATCCTTCAGAACAACATGTGCCGTTAGAACAATATGAAACGTTAAAACAAGAAGAACTATTAGAGCAACAGGAAGCATTAGAGCCTACGACTTCCGATGGAATGGAGCATTTGTACGATTATTCGTTACAGGAGCAAACTGAGAGGACCCTGGATGAGCTGAATTCCTTCTTACGGGAAGCAATAAGAACAAAAGACGAGCTGGAAGGTGCCATGGTTATTCTCATGACTGAATTTATGCTGAAGGAGGGTCCCGATAATAGCAAAGATAAGAGTAGCTAACCGAGCAAATGACATAACTGCATAATGGAAACAAATAGAATAAAGATTTGGAAACAGTTGTTGCTGTCGATACGAGGGCAAAGGTTTGTCCTGCTGGCAGTGTGTGGATAACTTTGCTTTTTTTAATCTTCATTGCTCCGAACCACAATGTCGCATAAAAGCGAAACGTCTTCCTCGTTACGTATCAAGAGCTTAGTTTCCTCAGCTCCCTTCTTTGATACGGCCTTGCTTCTTGGTGGTATCCACATGCCCTCAATTCGGTCACAGAGGCGGTTATTGTTATTGTGTTATTGTGGCATGTTTTTCAGGATGGTTGGTAGGTTTGCCATAGTGCCAGAATATTAGGTGCTTTTTAATCGTTTAAAAAGAGAAGGATAAGAACCTATATAAGGCGTAGGGATTTCCTACTTCATCCCTGTCTGTCCCGCTTTTACTTTGTACTCGCAATGATCCAAGGAAATCTACTATAATAACCCGCTTTACTTCAAGGTGACCAGACTCAACCAAGCAGGATCAACAGTACCGGGTATTTACAAAGCTCGTAGATAACTCATATAATGCTAGCTGACTCCCCAAACCCTTGGGCCTAGAACTGAAGGTTCCTCCTCCATGATAGATGACCAGGAAGCACCCCAAACCCCATCTCATGCTCAAGGATGCCCTCCATGCCACCAATCTTCCCACTGTTGGATTTCCTGTTATTGCTGGGAAGCAGTATCTCAGGTTCTAAAAGCGCAAAAATTAATCAAATCCCGTCTAGATCTCTAAGAGTTTTGGCGAGATAACCAAGTAAGCTTGTAACGGAAATACCTGAATGGGGTAATTTTACCAGTTAAGATTTGTTCAAATCCCCATGTATCCTAACAACCCTGGTGTAGTTACTGAAGAAGCCCAAAAGACCAAGGGAAGAGCTATTAACCCTTGGTTAACTATGTTTTCGTTTTTAAAGGATTATGCTCTTAACCCCTATATCCAGGAGAACACGCATTAGGATTGTAAGTCTTCTCTGAATAGGAACACAGTGGACAACATATACAAAGCCGAATGTGTATGTTCGTTTTTTCCTTAAGTACTTTTCTTTTAAAGATATAACTGAATTTACTAGAGTTACCATGAATTCTGTTCCACGAGCGCATGTTTTAAAATAAGTGTTGGACAATCTTGGACACAACGGCATTTTACATTAACTGATAAAATTGAGAGCTGCTACTTACTGATGGTTACAAAATAAAAAATAAAAAAGCTGGCTTGCATTCCTGATAGAAGTGAGGACATACAACAAACCGGTCGAGCAGCATATTGCTTTCTGAGCATTTTTTATTCTCGTTTCTTTGCTGTTTCTGCTTTTCTTTTTACTTTTCAACCATTGCAAGCTTTAAGCTCTATCCTTTCTCACCTGAAGAGAGAAAAAAAGCCATTTCCTTTACACCAGTTTTTCCACTTCCTTTGTCACCTTTTATAGCCTTATTTTCTTAAAAAAAAAAAAAAAAAAAAAAAAAAAGATGGCCTACAACTACAACACTGAGCGCGAAATAGTTGTTGGTAGGCGAATGGCGCTTCACCAACGGATTTTGGACTATCGTTCCATGATCGAGCTCGTAAAACAGATGTTGGATGACCAAGAGCGGATCGTGCACGACGTCGATCTTTACCTTATGTTCGAGAACGTGCTTCTGGGAGCGACCAGACTTTTGGAAATCCCCAGACTACCTACTTTTGCCGTTGGACGAGCTCAGGCTTCCCATCTCCAAGCGAGTACTCAAGTTAGTGCTCAAAACCAAGCTCAAACTGCGGCCTGGGTTCGGACTACCCTCAAGGTCCCTTTGATCGGACGACCTTTTAATGCTGGATGTGGAGCGCAACCGCTCATTGACGAAGTATTGGTGAGACGACAGCGAATTGTGGACGCCAGGGCTTTGCTGAGGGAATTGGAACGTATAATGGAGAAGGACAAGAGGACTTATGAGACTCTTGGCGAAGCCTTGCTTAGCATTGACGGTTAAAATAAGGCTGCCTCCGCGAGGGCATCCTTCCTTTTGAAACAAGCTTGCGCTTTAAATTTATTTTCCTGCTTGTCGAGTCGTCTCAAAAATGGTCTTCAAGTAGAAAACAGAAATGAAGGCGAAAATAAAATGCAATTAAGCATATAAAAAGGATCTACAATAGCTGCAGAGCGTCCTTTGATGCATTTGGATTTATTAAATCTCTCCCCTGTCTTTTTTTATCGTGTGGAATATGTTAGAAATGAGGCCTGCATGACTGAAAGGTTTTATTTTAGTTATTCAGGTAGCAGGGTCTAGTTTTTTTCTTTTTTTTTTCTTGCGCGGATCCTGATAATCTCGAGTCCGTTCATGAGGACAAAAAATAAGATAATTTTATCTGAGCTTCATGTAAAAAAGATAAAATAAATAATATATGCGTTTAAGAAACAGCTTCAAGTATACAATAAAAACATATCATCTGCAAGAACCTCTTTTACTCTTATTTTTTATTTTTTACTTTTTTTCTTAAGTCTTTGTGTGTTTCGAAGAGTCATTTCCACATTTCCACCGATTAGCAAAAAAAAGAATAACTGTCCCTTTTTGCAATTTATACCTCCCCTACTTTTGCCCTTGGTAAATTACCTCATTTATCTTCTCGCTTCGTGGGCCTTTAATACCCACTGCCATCCACATCCACACCCTAAAGCTGCTCTGAGGCAAACTAGCAGGGATATGTCCGAAGTTCATCTGACCAGAGACAGAAAGTGGTATTTAGATGCCAGGCATGCAATTCTTGAACAGCAACAAGCAATAGCTAGACGTGAAGTGCAGGCAGATGAAAGTGTCGAAATACTTCAAGAGATGATGAAGGACTGGGAGCGAAAAATCCGAAACTTTCTGCATTACGAGAGTCGTTTACAGTCGATCCAAGAGGCTATCGATGTCTTTGATAGCTCTCAAATGCCCCCTACCGTGGTGGAAATCCAAGGAGCCTTGCGAATCGCCAAGGCCCGAGGTGCAAGTGGAACGATTGCATCCCGAAGAGAAATGCTGCAGTACTGCACGATCCTTGTGTGGGATCTGATCTTTCTGAGAGCAGAATGTCGCAGGAAGGTAGAGTGCTTGCAGAAAGATTTGCAAACCCTAGAAGCCACCCAACGTCGCTGAGGATCCTTTTGGGCTCTAAAAAAATGAAAATGGCTTTCGCATTTAAATAAAGCTTTCTATACTTCGAAGTTGATGGAGCAGACGTCAGTAAAATAGACTTTCTCACTGAATCTTTGTTGCATCCTTACCCTGTGAGATTAAAAAAGATTAAAAAAAAAAAAAAAAAAAAAAAAAGCCCTTAGGGCAACTGTGGCTCAAATTCTAACGGACCATGTTAATAAGTACGCGCACGAGCACGTTGTGGTTGAATTTAAGGTTTCGGGTCTAATTCTGAGAACGAACCCAATCGAGACACAGCCTTGAATCGTATTTGCTGTTGTGCACAGATTGCATAAATACCAAAGGGCTCCTAATATTTTTAATTCTTTTTATCACGAAGTGGATCATCTTTTTTCTTTTTTGTGCTCTCGCCCACATTTTCTCCTATATCGAGCAAATAACCCGAATAGCCACCTAGCATGGTCCCTTTTCCCCTAGCGAGGATGTCTCCACAGAGAGTAAGCCATTCGTCCATCACTTCTGTTGCCAAAACTGTGCCGCTACTGACAACGTCATCAATAACAGTAACAGCCACAGCAACATCAGCGGCAGCAGCAGCAGAAACAGCTTTATCATCTTTATCATCAGCATTATCAACAACATCAACCTCCTCGCAGAGAACAACAGCAGCAACAAAGCAGCCTTACTCATATTCCACGATGATTCCAGTCGTTTCCAACCATTTCCCTTGTTCACACCAAGGCGCAGAAGCCCAACAAGACTATCGTTTTGAGGATACCCAGCTTACATACCATTCAAATCGTCAACGCATACACATACTCAAGACTCACGTGGATTCATTATGCTTCTGGCCAGAGGGGGCTTCCATGATGGGTATCCAAATCCTAAAGACGATTGATGGGACAGCAAAAGAAGATGTGTCTATTTTCACTACTGGGAGCTATGGAGATAGTAATGGCGGAGATACAAAACATCATCCTCACAAAGGCTTTAGTCCACAATGCTCTATTCAGCACGAAAAAGCATTCCCTCATGAGAAGCATCCCCACCAATACCCTACATTCAGCCCTCCTGCCCAGAGCAGCCTCCTCAAGCGCTCTTTTGGAAAACTTTTTAGGAAAGTAGTGAGCCCACTACCCCTTCTACAATTTACCACAACTTCACCGCCATCACTGCCACCACCGCCATCACCACAACCTCGACAACTACGACCGGTACAAATACCACCGCGCCCTCCTAGGCCCACAAGTCTAGATGTAAACTTATATACAACGGCCATACCAACAAAGGTATTCCGTGATGGCACTGTCTCACTTGTCGATCGACGAATGTATCGTCGAGCAAAAGCTGTCCATGGCATCCGAAACCGAGCAGCTGACACCAGAGTTGAAACTGGGTTCGATGGGGGAACTATAAGGGGCGACGGCATAAAAAAGTCATCAATACTGAGGTCCATGGCCCAGGCCATCTCTCAGGCAACAGCGAGGGCGAGTAGAGTGCTAACGTTGAAACGACAGCAGTCCTCATACTCTCTTCGTCAAGTATTTCCCTTTTCCACTACTTCTTTCTCTGTCTCATCTTCATCACCTATGTCACCTTCATCCCCTTCCGCTCCTTTGTTACCTGAAAGTACCATCAGCCTTGAGAATGATATTCAGGATTTGGAAAAAGGCGCTGTCGCCGAAGATACTGATCTAGATGAAAGTTATGATATGGAAATGTGTTGTCCGGTTTCAGTCAAAAATAAGAGCATATTACGTATAGGCACTAAAACGATCCTGAAGAACGTAAGGCAATCTCCATGATTGAGAGTAGAATTGGATATAAATACAAGGGAAACCCAGGTAGCTCCCAGACAAGATCGCCCTAGTTATATTATCGACGAGTACTGTAATCACGAGACCTAGGGACCTCAGAGTCTTCAGAAGGTTTCTCTTTGACTCGGTAGATCATTGCCACACATGAGTACTGTAGTCGAAGCAGATGTAAATAGCTATAATAAAATATCCATTTTTCTGGAGATACCTGAACATATACGAGTCATTTTAATATTCAACTATGTATATAATAATAATATCTATGCTCTACGTCTTTTTAAGATAATACATTATTGATCAAGGTTTAACAACGCACCCCCTATTTGCTTTTCCAGTAATTGCTCTTGCTCCTTCTTTTTTTGATTCATCAGCTCCTCTTCTTCAGGAGTTTTCTTTGTGTTTTGTTTGAATGAGAAGCCTGTCTCGGAGACCAGTGCGAATACACCGCCTTTTTCCTTCACCATTTTCATCTCTTCATCCCTCTTTGTCAAAACTAAGCCAGCAAATCCAAGTGAATTTATATTGATGGAGATGCCAGAGATAGCGTCCGGGTATGGGTTTGTAGCCTCCTGACGCCTTGGAACGATCATCATGAATTTAGAAGTCAAAAGCCAATTGTAAGAAACTTTAGACGTAACTTGGCGCTGCTCGTCCTCTGAGAGACCTTCCTGCTCTGCATATTCACGCAATGACGTGTGCATGGCATCCATGAGTGATATATAAGCGTCAAGAAGCACATCCTCTTGGCTTTTATTTGTGGCAGCAGGGTCCTGGAGAAGAGTGATATGATTGATGCAATTGAATGGAGCTGAAAACATGTCGCCTGCAAAATCGTGAGGAACAGATGATTAGCATCCAGGTTTTATACTTAGATGTCAGTAACAATATTAAAAAGCTAGTTCTTACACTGCATGCTTACCTGGACGCTTTTCCTTCCTGCCAGGTTGAGCTTTAGCAAGATTACGGACAAGGGCCGCAATGGGTGCAGGACGATCAAGTGGAATGACTTGCATATGCTTGTGCGGCTGACTGGCACCAGAACGCGCCCCACAGTTGTAGAAAGCGACAGCGTCACCAGGACACTTGACAGCATTCAATGCTCCCCAGACCGCAAGTAGGTCGTTGGGCGAGAGAGGATCCGTTTGTTTCTGAAAGTCTTTTTTTTTTTTTTTTTTTTTTTTTTTTAAAAAAAATAAAATAAAATAAAATAAACAGGAAGTTAACGCGTTAAGACATTGCTCCATGCTAAGTTTTGCTTCGATTAATGTATATTTATACCTTTTGTCACGACAAGGAAGTGCCTGGGGACAACACAAAATTTGTTCAGGAGGGCCATATGCTCTTCCCCAATATCCATGACAAAGAGTGTAGGGTCATGAGGTAGGAATGGGTTGGACTTTTTTTCGACCTTGGGGGTAGCCGGCCGCGATTCTGCTTCAGGGACTACGCCTTGAGGCTTCAATGCCAACGCAGGTGCATAAGCAATCTCACACTTGATTGAGCAAGTTTCAATAATAAAAAGTAAACAATTTAGTTAATTAGCCGAAAAAAGCCATTCATAAAGATATTCAGATCCGATGAGGTTCTGTTAAAGATGCGGAACAAATTGGACCTTCTATTCCTCTTTCAAAACAAAGCGTTATTAATTAGGCGAGTCATGTTGTAACTTACAAGGATATCATATTCAGTTTCCTGGGACATATGGGTATCCGTGGTAGTGAAAATAAGGCTGCCGGACTCCTTTGCAGAGTTGTAGACAGAGGTCAGCCGTGAGTCAAAGTCTTCAGGAAATAACATGATTTTGAGGAATGTTGAAATGAAGAGTGGAGAGTGAGGGGAGAAGAGAGTGGAGAAGAGAGTGAGGGAGCAAGTGCGAATGAGGAATAAGAAATGAGGGATGAATGTCATGTTCGTTGTTGTACTATTTTCCCGCGCTATGCTCTTGGAAGTCACGTCATGATTTTACATGGGCAACAACAATACTTCACCAACATGGCTTTCCAGTACACATGTACCATGAAGTATTGGCCGCTAAAGCCGACATGTAGGTGTAACGTCTTTCTATTTTAGCAGCTTGATTGGGGGAGATATTAATGGATCTTTTAATGGCTGCTTTCATGTTCTCGACTTTTGAGTTCTGAAGTAGGTCAGATTAGAGATTTCCCATTACTCTACCTTGTTAAGTGGTCCGCACCATTCATCGATATTCAACGCCATGATATTATTGTGATTGATTGCACAAGACGGGTGAACATGTCTGTTCTCAGATCTGTGCCACAAAAAATAATGTCACAGTCCATTGAACCCTGTTCGTTTTGTTTCTAATTTTATATCTTTAGTCTTTACTGCTCAATTTATTGAATGCCTTTTATTTCACCCCTTTCATTCCATTCATCATCGCTTCATCATCTCATCTTGCATACATCAATCGATCGTATAGCAGTATTTGTGTCATCACTGCCACCAGTGCTCTTATCCACATTATCATAGATAAACACCACCATGGCCCATCATAGCACATACAGCGCCGTTGAGATCGATGATGACGAGGTATTGCCCTGTTCTCACTCCTGTTCTTCGTCTTTTTCTCTTCATTAAACAGTCAATAAGTGTTAAAGGGTTAGATTGCTATATACGAGTAGAATTGGAAGGTTAATCCTTTTTTTGCAATATTGCTTTTTTTTTCCCTCTGATCGCGAATCCATAGCTGAACAATGCTACTGAGCTTCAATTCCAAAGTACGCTTTCTTTTATTGATGCCTCTACCAAGATCAAAAGCTTTCTACGAAATAGCATCTCATTCGCGGTGTACATATCAAAGATCGCGACAAGGAACATGAATGCCTTCAAACGCGATGCACAAACATATCAATGGAAGGGATTTAAACTACTAATCTATAGATCGATATACGTGGTAGTGTCTAGAACGATTAACATTGATCAGGACGGCATCCTTCAGCACAACAGTGATCATATTTATCGCAGCACGCCGAATGGCCATATCAAATTGATAAATTGCTCAAAGAAGACAGGAGCCTTCTGATTCCTCAGACCTTCCAGCATGTCGCTAATTCCTTTTCTCTCTTTCTCTCTCTTGCTCTCTTCCCATTGCGTTGTATGAATATAGACTTTTCTTCAGATTCTCGCACCACTGCTCCAACAGGGAATATCTCTTCACCACCCACAAATGCATCACAGCCACGCTCAGCTGGTAAGTTGGAGACCACTCGAATGAATTCATTAAGTGTTTGTTTTCAAGAGATAGAAAGTCAAACTACATCAATGAATTGACATCTATTATATCTGTCAAACCTATAGGTTTTGGATCGTCAGGGATCTTTAATCCCAGTCAAGCTGATACACGGGAACAGGATACAGGCAGATCGATCTGGTCTGCCGCATATTACCAAAGATTCTTTGACGTCGACACTTCTCAGGTACGTCGTTTCAATATTTCAACCATAAGCGGCAATCAACTTTCAACAATATACCTTATATCAACTCTATGTATGCTGATAAAAAATATCATTTTCGTTTCAACATGTTGTACAGGTCATGGAACGCCTCTTTGCAAGTGTTGTACCAAAGGACAATTTTTTGGAAGTGATGGGTGGTAGTCCCGATCTCTATGGTAAGAGTCTACAAAATGCAAAGTGACAGTGAATTTTTTTTTTTTTTGTAGAGACGCAGTACTGATCATTTCTATATTGGCTTATGACATATTATTTCTTTTTCTTAGGACCTTTCTGGGTCGCAACGACAGTCATTTTTGTGTTATTTGTCACCGGGTCAATCGTGGATTCAATTAATGCTTACCTTAGCGGAGCTACTTACTCCTACGATATTTTTCAGATGACTTTTGCATTCGGCACTATCTATACTTACGCATTCTTAGTTCCACTTATGGTCTGGGGAGCAACGAAGTACTTTGGCTGTCAACCAGATCTCTTGGAAATGCTGGCGCTATATGGATATGCGCTCACAATTTGGATCCCTGTTTCAATCCTGTCAGTAATCCCAATTGAGCTGGCTCGATGGATCTTGTTAGGCATTGGAGCAGGTCTATCGGGAGTGTTCTTGATCAGGAACATGTACCCAGTACTGTCCAGAGCCGAGGCACAGATCGCCAAAATCATCTTGATTCTGGTCATTATCTTTCACGGTGTTCTAGCTTTGCTCTTGAAATATAGATTCTTTGCATACAATGTTAGCATTGCACCACCTGGTACTCCTGCACCCGAGCCTTCACCTTCACCTTTACCTTCACCTTTACCTTCACCTTCACCGACGCCCTCACCTTCAGCTTAATTAAAATATGGCTAATGTGATCAAAATTCATATTACAAAAGCGCAAATAAAATACACCCCGTGACTGATCAGTAAAAAAAAAGTTCGTCAATGTTGTCTTTTAGTAATTCATCATTGTACAAATAAGACTAACATTTCCTTTTCATCCATGAGCAACTCTGGCCAAAATGAAATACCACAGCCAATTCACCCATTGCTGCTGCCAGAGATTCTCGTCCTTATTGGCCCTCATCTCAGCCAAGCAACTGTTTTGCAGTGCGTCCTTGTCTGTAGTATATGGAATGTCTACCTGACGCCCTTTCTCTTTCAGCGTGTCAATTTGCCCAAGCGAAAGCAGCTTTCTCTGAGCGGCAGTGGCAAGCGAGCTTCACGTCCCATGATATCAGCTTTACAACGTAATGGCTCCAACATACAAACCTTAATCTGCGCTGATAATAATACTATCCTACGCCAGATCATACCCTACTGCAACGCAATCGAGACTCTGGTGCTGGCCAAGATTACGACTGAGGTGGTCTCTATCTTGAGGCACTGCAAAGAGACGCTTACACAACTGGAGTTTACACCTGCTGCACGGCCCTCAGCTTCACTCCCTCTCCCAACATCGTCCTCCTCTCCAGCCTCGCTTTCTCCATTATCATCAGCACCATTACATTTCAGGACATCTTCATTTAGCAGCACTATTCCGCGACTGTTATGGACAGAGTCTAATGAGATATTAGAAGCTATTCTCCAGCTTTCAAAGCTTAAGCACCTTGTTTTAAGTTTCCTAGGGCTCAGAACTGCCGAACAGCTGACACCATTTTTCCAGTTTTGTCAACAGCATCTCGAATCATTAGAACTTCACAATACTGCTGTATTCGGGTGCTCGCCTAAGCCCATGGAATTCAACAAACTGCGATCGTTATGCTTAGTAGAAAGCACCATGAGTTATCAAGCCCAAGCATTATTAGTGGTACAGTGTCCTTATCTTAAGCATATTACTTGGATTAGTAGCCAGTTTGTTATACCAATGAGCATAATAGGAGGGATCCGGAGGGGCGACAATCAAGAGGATCAATATAGTCAGAGTGGTCACGATGATAGGCGGGCGAATTTAAAGAGCCTAGAGATCTCGAACGGGATTGCTCTGGATGAAGACATAGCCTGTGCGCTAGAACGACTACCATCCTTGGAAACGATTTTGGTCCGAGAAAGTCTATTTGGGTCGCTTTGTTTACAAATTGTGTTAAAGTATCTACAGAATCAAATCCAAGTAATTGATGTTGCAGATTGTAAGGCCGTGACGCCTGAGATGGTGTGTATGATGATGCTATCATGCCCAGCGTTAAAAAGCCTAACAGCGGATCGGATACGGGCCATGGATGTGATTGAGTTGTCGCCTACATCATCGCCGGCGCCAGCTGTATGGCTCTCATCACCGTTGCCAACGTCACCTTCGCTTCAACAAAGGCGGCAAGAGTGGGTGTGTCATGGACTGGAAGAATTACGTGTCGTTTTTGTGGGACCATCTTTATTGACACCGTACGAGACACAACATGCAATCTACAATCAAATCGCTAAATTGAGAAACCTGCGGCTCTTGAGTCTCGGACGCAATGCATCTACATCGTCCTACTCGGTCAAATCAGTATTAGATTTAACCCTGACAAATGGACTGACACAACTAGCACCATTGAGAGAGCTGCAGGAGTTTGACTTTTGCCAAATGTACCATAAGATGGGAATGGATGAATACAAATTTATGTTGAAGAATTGGCCTAAGCTAGAGGTAATGCATGGGTACCTTCACACAGATAGTGACCGAGCAGCATTTGTAGAGAGTTTTCTGCAGAATGAGCGCCCAGGGATTAGACTGAAGCATAACCTTAAATATAAACGCACTCTGACACGAACAGTTTGCTAAACAAAAAAGGAAAGCGCCACAAATTTTCTTGGAAAAAAGCCTCTGTAACGTGCATAAAAAAAAACTTTTCTCTGTTGAACTGTTAGTCAGCTTGCTTCTATTCACTATCTACCTAGAGCTCGGCTTCATCTGCGCTTATTGGCATTCATTTGGATGCTACATCTCTCTTCTAAAACTGTACGACTGCATGCATTATCACATTATGGAGAATACTGAAGATTCACAAGATTTATCCACTTGTCACACTTTCAGTCCTGATAACACCATTTCGTCACCTTTACTACCTATTACATCATCTTCACCTGAATCTTTAAGCTCGAGTGGCGCAGATCACATACATGCAGATGTCTCAGATGTGCAATATCAGCATTCAACTCCAGGGCGAAATCCAAGTTTAGATCCACCTTTTCATGGTGTACTAGCGAACCCAACCCATCCTAGCGTGGTCAAAAACGGAGTTGAAGGAAGCGAGCTGAAAAGGGGAGAAGAAGACAAAAGGGAAAACGGAGAAGGAAGCGAAGAGGAAGACGAAGAGGAAAGTGAAGAGGGAAGTGAGGAGGAAAGTGAGGAGGAAAGTGAGGAGGAAAGTGAGGAGGAAAGTGAGGAGGAAAGTGAGGAGGAAAGTGAGGAGGAAAGTGCAAAAGAGAGCGAAGAGAGCCAGGAAAGCGCAGAAGAAAGTGAAGACGATTATAGGCACTTCTCGTTACTAGACTGGATCCTGCCGTATAGGTTCTTTAAGAAAAGTGAACCAAAGAAGCAATATCGTTTCCCAGTCGCATTTAACAGGATTCATAATATCTCTTCATTGTTCTCAGAGGCTCGTGGGCTGACGCGTGATATGCACCCAACCCTGGGTTCGCTACCAAAGCAGCAGTCAACACAACGCCATGATGACTTAGAATCGATGGATGCGGAGGGTGCTTCTGGCATGTTGTGGCAAGCAGAAGGAGACAGCGATGAAGAGAGCGATGGAGACTGTTCTAGCGAAAATGATGAAGAGAGCGAAAGCGATGATGGAAGCAACAACAGCAACAGTGATGAAGTATATAATGAATCAGTACACCAGAGCCTCAAGGAAGTTAACGACAAGTATGATGAAATGTACGGCAAAGCTCTTTCCACATATCCAGCTTCAACAAGACCAGGGGAAGAATACACAGATGAAGAAGAGGGAGCAGTTGTTGATGATGTTGAGTTTGATGACGTTGAGCTTGATGATGTTGAGCCTGGTGACACGAAGGCTGCAATGCAATCCGAGGAGACAGTTAAAGCCAAGGATGAATCCGGCACATCTTCCTCCCCGGAGCAGCGGCGAATCCATTTTTTTGGTGGCCAAGATGAGGTTTGGGATATTCCTGATGTGAAGCAATATGAGCAAGAGAGTATGCCGATAGTATACCGCATGATGAGCCCTTCTAAGATCAGGGTGTATGTGCTGGATAATCGAATGGGGGAACACGAATATGCGAGTTTGTACAGCGGCGTGAAGGGGCTTGGTGGCAAATGGCTAAGCCCTTTACCCTATAATAAGATCCGCTCCAAAAAGGCAGCTCGCAGAAACAGATGCAATCCGTGGCTTATCACGCACATTGTAACTGACCTGAACACGTATAGGGAAGTTATGACGTTTGTGCCGATTAGCCGTCTTAGGGTAAGGAAACCTTTTTTTATTAATTATCATTTTGTTTGTAGCTGTACTCATCCATATCGTACGTCAAAGCAATGTGAATGATGGTTTTTAAAAGAAATGCGCTTAAACATTTTTTTTAAAATAAAAAACCAAGGTCAACATCATGATTGTTAGTACGACATGGCTTGAACGCACCATACGCGAAAAGAAGGCGATCGACCCACGACCCTACGCCATACTGAATCCCCGACCGCAAAAGGCGCTCAATGCTTCAAGCACGCCTAGGCCAAACCAGAGTGGAGCCAGCACTCCATTTTCCAATCCTTCTACCGACAATGATCGCAAGGAGCCACAGACCGCACACGGATGTGCTGATAAAGACACTACACAAAACGAGAGCTGCTTTACTCTTGAAGCTCAATATTCAGGTCATAATGCACCTGCAAGTCCAGCCGATTCCAAGCATAGCGCTATATATACAGGCCTGGATACTCCAACGGACATGATAAAGCCCAGTTCCTCCAAAATCATCGATCTTACTGATTGTTACGGCGTCTCTGGCCCTATTGGCAAGGATGGCTGTAGCGATCATAACGGTGTGTTGTTTAATTTCGTTTCTCAAATAACCGCGGACCGATCCTCTCTCTCTCATGTACCGCCAATAGCTGAGGACGATCGGCCCAAAAAGAAAACACGTCTTTCTAACCATGCACACACTTCACTAGCAACTTATGCATATTCAGCTGTCTCGACACCTACAACTGAAACCTCTACAGCCATTTCCAAGGCTACTGTAGATGAGAAACCTGTGACAGCTCCAGCAATGCCATTGCCATCTGATCGATCTAAAGTGTCTGATTGCCCTAGTGCTCCAAGTAGGCCAGCCCAAAATGATCAAGATCGGTCTCAGTTATCTGTGGGCAGCGCCTCTAAAACCGATGAATCCTACAGGGACGGCAAGCATCCTTTGGAATGGCTCCTTAGTCAATCGTTCCCATCTTTAATACTTGAAGATATCTTTGAACAGGCCTCTGAATTTGTTCGTGCAGGGATTGATGCGCTAATGTCGAAGAGACAGAGTTCTGTGAATCTTTTAAATATGACAGCTACAGATATCCACACGTGGAGCAATGATGAACAACCAGAGGGCTACTCATCCCGGAAAGCGGAGAGCGAAAGCATTTATAGCTCGGATGTGTCGGGATATGGGGCCAAGAGATGCAGAACAATCTCTGGACATAATAGTGACGACAATGAGCAAGAGCTGAACCAGGCACGCAAGGTCCACATTTCGGAATCGCTGCTGAGTAGGATGAGGAGCTCAGAATCTGTTTAAAACCATTATGTCTGATGTAAGCTGTACGGAAATATTGATAAGAGGCACGCAAGTAGAGACCAAATAACAGAATAATAACAACTAGCGAAAAAAAAAAAAAAAAGACACCGAATCCAGGGAACCAATACGACATAAGCGCACTGTGCAATGAGACCGCATGAGTACCATGGTACTAAAATCTGGGAGCTTGCCAAGAGTTTAATTAAGCCTTGAATGCATTGTTGTGATACTATCCCTTAAACCGTCAACCTGGCAAATTTGCCATTATAAATGGACTTAAAATCCAGCAATTCATGGGCATTGCCTTGAAATTTTATTTCGATGTCGAAATAAATGACCGAAAACTAAACTGTCATGGAGCTATCCTGGCTTCTTTATCTGTGCCAATAAAAAACTCCTGAAGGCTTTCGCATGACACTAGCATCCTCTTGGGGGCCCATTGTGTTGTTTATTTATTGACTGGTGTAATAGCAGTGATAATATTCGCCATAGTATCGACTTGAAAGGAGGGCAATCTGAGTTGATTCATTCTACCGCACCTTAGAGCTTGCTCGGCAAGACTTGATTTGTCACATCATTTGCTTCCTCGTCTTCTTGATATATCTGGGTTGGTAAACACTGCTAATAGAGTTTGTTAGGCCTGTTGAAACCAGAGGGAACCACAGCAACATATCATACCCAAGATGATACAAATATCTCTGTTGGAGTGAGTGGTGAACTGTGTGTGGTTCAGATGTAGTGGACATAAACGGCGAAAGAATGCATCGAAAAGATGTGAGCGATTATGAGAGCAAGGAAGAAGGGGTTGGTATGCCTGTTCAAGTCCTTGGCAAGAGAGCATGAGTAGCAGTTGTGATCAAAAGTTGATTTCGGTGAGTCCGCATAACAATGGTATAGTTTCTAGACTCTATCTTCCACGTACAGCATTGCACTATTGGTGTTTTCAGACCTGGCACCAATCATGCGAGCGAGGTATTTCTTTTCCTGAGGATTCCTTGTGTTAAACGGCCAGACAGAAAGCTTAGAAGAGTTACAGACACAACGGTGAAAAAAATATATGTGAGCAAACAGTTGCTGTGTTTATTTGTTGTCTGCACATGCCTTCTTTCATCGCGGGCTTTTTTTTTTTTTAATTGTTTCGCAAATCTTGTTTCCTTTTTTGTTCGTCAATCACTGTGTGCACGAATAAGCAGCTGAAGCATCTCTTTGGTTTCTGTACATGTGTAGACACATTTTACATCGCGGCGTCTTATTTATTTTCTGCACCAAAACACAAAACACAAGCGTTTTCCATTGGTGCCTCCAGAAGAAATAAACAAACTTTATTTTGGCGGCCACTCCACAATCATGCCATGGTTATAACAATCCCTAGGAAAGGATGAAACGCGTCGGTATTAATCTCGCTTCTGTAATTCTAAATGCATATATTTTGGTGATTGGTATCAACTATCAAGTTCGCACATACACACACCAAACGACCGCCAAAAACCACCACTCTCGCTTCTGCTCTCCCTCCATCCACAAGGCGCTGCGTAATATCACCATTAACAAGGCACCGTCCAGTAAGAAAGGGTGCTTAGCTAGCTTTTACTCCAAGCAATAAGCACATCACCTATCTCCGCCATTGATGCCGGAACCTGAGAGCCAACGAATATCTCTGCTTTAACGCAATAGTATTGGGGCTGTTGGAGCAAAGAACGACATCTGAACCCATTCTCTGATAAAAAAGACTTTTTTTTTCTTTAGTTGTTACCTTTGAAAGGATATAATCACCAAGTCATATCTGTTAATGCATTTATTACCCCTGTTCAAAATTATAAATCTTCTTTTATTCATTAAATTCCTCACAAAGCACAAAACGAGAGCCAGTGCAAACAAAAGAAACTGAAAAAAAAAAAAAAAAAAATTGTGTAAAAAGGATCGACATCGACACTGTATGCTGTATATGGAGATGATTTTTTCGAATGCTCACTTTGGTATCTCAATGTTATTATTTCCAATCTGCCGTTCATGCGAGAGCTTGTATTTATTTGTCAATCTCTGCTATTGACTGGGACAAAACCCCAATCCAAACAAAGGAACTGAATAAAGATTGATGTGGCCTGTGAAGCAAAGGATCGATATCAAAACTATATGAGACAATGATAAAACTCATCATCAATCCAGGATATAAAAAGGGATCATTGTCTTCCTCCTTCAAAGTCCCATCCCTTTTACCACTGCCACTTGTTCCTGTATCTTTCCCTCAATATTCTTTATCTATTCGCTTTGAATCTTTACACCATAAAAAAGCTCATCCTTTTATACCTTTGTCGCTCTTTTTTTTTTTTTTTTTTTTTTTTCTTTTTCATTTCTTTTTCATTTCTTTTCATCACCACCATTTTTCCTTTTTTCTTTCTCTTTTCGCTTAGATATTGACCATGGGGCTGAAGTCCTTCTTCAAACTGGTTGCGGATCGCGGGGTTTTACCTTCGGAAACTGACGTGGGCACTTTCTTGGCGGCAAATCCTGACCATTCTGTTCATTTAGATCTCCTCGGTACGTTCTATTACGACATCCTCCGCAGAGTCGTCCATGCAAAGATGAAAAACGAAACCATCATTGATGTAGGAAGGTCCCTGGCACTCGAGATAAAGGATCTTTTCACAACGGACAACCTGACTATACATATTGATGGGGAACCTTGTACTGAGAAAGAAAAAGCAAGGACAGAACGGCAAGCCATAAGACAAAAAAATATGGACGCTTTGGAGAACAATATGAGCACCTTCGAGAGAAATTCTCGGAGTGGGGTATGGACTCGTCCTCAAGTCATGAGGCGCATCCAGAAGGGTCTTCGAGAAGTCCACACCCTGAGCGTCCAGGACAAGGATCAGCTGGCAACAGGCCTTAGTTCTGTCTTCGATGTCTGTCTGTGTGCATATGAAGCGGACCCATGCATAGGGTGCCATGATGAGGAGAATGATAGGATCGTGATATCCCAAGACTCTAATTTTTTTGCGTACGAACGAGTCTGCTTCCTAGTGCGACCCCTTCCGCACCGTAGACGGAAGTTTGGGGTTTACGACGTAGACAACGTTATCCAAGCACTAAGACTGCCAACACACGCGCATCTGGTGTTATTCTGTGCCATCGCAGGCAATGACTACTCAAGGAACCTCGAGACGTTAGGCCCGGTTAATAATCTTCGATTAGTTCGAAAGATTGCGTGGAACAAGAACTACAATAAAATGCCTCAAGATTACCTCGGGGAAGCTAATAAGGTGTTGGGAAGGAACGTAGCTTCTGAGGAAGGCCGTTTCAGTGTAGCTCTCCGCATTTTTACTTCCGGCCATCAAACGTCGGCCCAAGCGTTACCATCGAACAATGAGTTCGATAACTTCAAGCAGCGTCTACTCAATGAAAAGGATCTTCGCCATAGAATGGCTCAGCAAAGGCGAGCGCAGCGCCGCAGAACGTAAGAAAGCTCAAGCTATAGTTTTTGGCCTTGAAACCAGACGTCCCCAATACTAATCGTTAGTCCCTTTCTTGAATAATGTAGAGGCGTACCATCATTCTATATAGCGGAAGGGTCACATAGAAACCAGTTCCGGCCCATCTTTTCTGACAAGCCGAGCATATTGAATGGGCGCACAGTTGATATCAGTAACTGTCGTCAGCACGATAGGCCGGGCCTTAAGCATCCACCACGTCGGAAAAAGGCAAAAAAGAAGCAACAGAAAAAACAAAAGCGGAAGCACAAAGGCAAGAAGCCCCACAGGGCTAAAAAAGAAGGTGCACCAATTAGGAACTTGAAGGATGCTACGAAGGTTGATCACAGCTACAGCAGTAAGCACCCTATCAAGGCCTTAACAATTGGGTCCCTTAAGGCCTCCATGGCAAGGAAAGGCGGACTGGACGCAGATGAAAGGGATAGTATTGCAAGCCAGATCCGAGGGGCAGTTGTTGTCCTCAACCGACTACGCCGCTATGCATACTGGGCGATTGCCTTGGACATTGAGAGGATCATGCGGTTACCAGGGGCAGCAAAGTCGAGGAAAAAGGCACTGGACGAGGTCTTGGATAGCAATGATTATTCCTTCCGTCTCGCCACCCTTCTTTTGAGTGGTCAAGGTGGCCCCAATTCAGCTTACGCGAGGGCAAAAAAACAAGGAAAGGCGGTAGAAACGCCCCATTATCTCCTCGCTTATGAACATTTCAAGGCCACCACTGAACTTTCCCCAATAAAGGAAATAGACATCACATTGGGGGACGTCCAAGGCTTTGATCCCAAAAAGATCACATTTCCAAGAGCGTCAGACTTACTAATGGGCCAAGTACAGACATCATTAAGGCAGCACTACAGGAACGCAATGGTATAGCTTGTGTAGGGGTATTTTCATGCATATTCTGCAATCGAATGCTCTTTATTCAGACTCTTTTTTTATTTTTTTTCTAGTTTGATGTCGAGAAAACAAACGAAGATATGAGCGACATTGAGTTTTTTTTGCGGGAGAACAAAAAAGTGAAAAAATACTCAGACTTTCCTACGTCTCCCTGGCCACCCGGGTATGTGTATCTGTCTGAACACGCCTTAGTTGACATCCTCTGGGCGAACGAAGATACCAAGCAGCTGCTGGAGCATATTCTGCCTCTCAATAATCCTTCCAAGACTGCAATGTATGAGTGTGTACAGGGAACAAAAGGGGTTTTGATACAGGCTCTCTTTTGTGACATTGGAGGTGATCGCATGGTTCGTGGATATCAAGACAAAGTATCCCTGCAGTCACAGGACAAAGATCTAACTCGGTTCAAACTCAAAGGAACGATTTCTACCAACGGTCTAGTTCTGAATCTACTTGCCTATGACACAACCCAGACGAAGAGACAGCAGCAGTCTGACGTAGATGAAGAAGACCCCAGCCAAGGACTGGAGCTTTCTCAGGGATTTCTCAACACGACGTGTTCAAAGGCGGCCGGTGAAGACCTAACAGATGAAGACTATGCAAACATAAACTGGAAGAGGAGCTCCAAGCTGCTTGAAAACGTTGAGCTCACATTCAACAAACCAGGGCGATGCCCATCCGCAAACACCACAACTATCGTCGGATGTGATCCTGGTATTGTTAACGCCCTTACGTTTTCCTCGCTGGACCCTCACAACCCTAACTTGCGGCAAACGGTAAAGGTGAGAAGCAGGTTCTTGTACCTCCCTGTCCTCCGCTTCAATCACCTGTTGAACAAAAGGAAGCGTGAAAAAGGAATGATTGAGGTTGAGAGCGCCATCCCTGTGTTTGGAAGGGATACGTATAATGAGTACTTTCAATGGATGAACGAGGAGTCTCAGACACAGACAGGATCAACGAATTTGGATGTGCTTCAAGAGTTCTACGAGTCCAGATGGCACCTGAAAAAAAAATGGGACCTACGAAAGGCTCAACGAGCTACGTTCGACTACGCGGTACAGCGAGTGTTGAAGATGCTTGGGGATAAAGGAGTACTTGTCGTCGGCCTAGGGTCCTTTGAAAGTAGTAAAGGAGTTCCCAGCAAGCCACTGCTATAACGAGACATCTTGTCACACAGGTATGGCTGTTTTTAAAAAATTAAGCAAAGCTGGAAAGCCATAAAACCCTTGCTAATAAACGACTGCCATTTGAAACGCTTAGGTCAAAGCACGCGGACACTTCGCTGTAGGAGCGCACGAATTTTACACCAGCGCCCGCTGTCCCCGACCCCTCTGCGATAGCTTTTTAGAGACGGTGTACCCTCGCTCTAAATATTGCCGGACATGTAAGGTATTCTTCGACTGTGACGCAGTAGGGGCGGAAAACATCGCAAGAATCGGTCTTGCTCAAATTGAGAGGCAAGAGAGGCCTGCAAAGTACAAGCCCACGGAAGAGTCGCCTGCTCCGGCTGCAAAGCGCGCACGACGCTAGACACAAGTATTTGGGTGCCGGCACACCCACAAAAAATTTGTAAGTTCTGTTTATTTTCGTCTCCTGTATCCATCCTCTCTAATCTTTTGCCCCTGAATTTCTGGACTAACTTTAAAAACCGTACAGATCAACAGATAAGGTAATTTGGCCTTTTACCATTCTAGGGTCCTTAAGTATCTTCTAAAACCAGCTGGACCCTCTTGTTTGCTTTCAAGAAGATCTGTCGCAACCTGCTTGCCTGAACTCCTGCCAGAGCAATTATACCTCAAATTACTACGTATTTCCTGTCCCAAATAAGCAAACTTTATTACCGCCTTTAAAAAAACATTGATTGAATTGATGATTTGTTACGACACAAAATGGTGACCAACTTCTCCTCGGGCCTATCTGATCCGCTTCAAATGGATCTCGTAGCTTTCAAGAGAGCTGGGACAAAATGAATTCGCTTTCAAGCTTAAGGGGACATTTCGAGAGTCAAACAAAGCTGTCGCTGCTCTCTCTATAGTTAATATATTGCCTTTGAAAAAACAAGATAAAGAACAGGTAGCCTCAACTTTAGCACAGCCTGGTCTACTTAAAGCCAATTAAATTGCCTAAGGTTAGGCTTGAATGGCGGCCGATGTGCTCATGACAGGCAGAGGCCCTTTTTTTAATTGTTTTGTATTGGTTATTTGGTGGTGATGGAATGATGCTTGTTTATAAAAAAAAATTGAAAATACGTTACCATTATATCATAAGCAGAAACAAAAACGGTGGTCATGGATACATACAACTGATTCTCTGAAACGCCATGAGGATGCTCTTTTTTCTCTTCGTCTCTTTAATTGTGTTGCCCTCCGTCTTTTGAATATCCAACCAAAGCGCATAACTGTTTGTTTACAATGCAATCACATCCAATGGCAGTCACCTTATTTCAAATATAATGCTAGACTTGTTAGATAAATACAAAACCGGCCATTGTCTATTAGTTATTTATGATCTAAAAGTTGTCTTATTAAAACATCTATACTTGCACTCGAGCTTTTTGACCCTTGTTCTGGCTCTGTTCGGTCCAACTGATGTATCAATGCGTTCACCTCCGAAGCGCTACTCATGTATAGCTTTTCGCTCTGCTTCATCATTGGACTATCCTTCTGACTCTCTTCCTCTATAGCCTCTTTTTGCTTCTCCTGCTCTTCTTTTCCCTGGCTCGTTCATCTGCTTCCTGCTTCTCCTGGGCAAGCGTCTCATCCATGCCTGAAGATATCACCTTCAAAAACATCATCATTGTAGCCTTGGTCTGGACGCTCAATTGGTTGACACTCCAGAATGGGTTGGGACTGTGGTAGTACTAGTGGTAGTGAAGATGCTGGTATGAAGTCTGATGCTGATGTGGATCTGACACCTTGCGATGGTATAACCTCCGCTGTTGATGTAGTCAGTGACAAAAGATGTGAAGGGTCTGAGATATCGGGTGAATTGACGAAACCCTTACATCAAACATAAAGCCGCAGTTTTGAGTGATCCTCTTCTTTCACCATATCCTGATTATGCTTTGTTTCTGCGGCTGTGGATCAGTAGTGGTAATAGCTGAGGTCTTGAAAGCTCCTCTATCCGCTCATTTTGAGGGACTCGCAGCCGTTGTCGACACTTGCGCTGATTGGAGATAACCGGAATGGATTGGTTGTTGCGGTGGAGTATGGTACTGAAGAGGGTTGTAATATATGGCTCCATATTCCGGGGAATCTGTTTCAGCTCCGGAAGGCCATAATGCTGCTCCTTTATGAAATGATGAACCTACTCTGGTCTGGAGTGGAGTACTGCTTTATGGAGTTGTAAGTTGTAGGCGCAATCGACTCATCCCAGACTTGATCCCATGCTACTGCTTCTTCCTGCTATCTTTATGAAGAAAAGCACCATATCAAGATCTATCATGACTTGTTCCTGCTGTGATGATGCCCTCTTCATCTCAACCCATGATCCTGAATGTTGCTATTCGCTTGCGATTGCCATTGCGATTGCGATGTAATAATTGAAAAGCTCTCGTGCCCGTGTCCCTGCTTCTGCAGATGACTGTGAGGTCTGTTTGTGATATAACAAAGTAGTAGCTACGATTGTGATGCCTCTGTTCTAAATGATCTTCCAATCGACTTTATTCAGATCACCACGATCTGTGTTCAATTGGAATGACTCTGAGAAATCCCGATGGGTCTAGTCCATCATGTCTATCTTGATTCGAACGAGGCCTCGCGAGCGTAATATTCTTGACGCTGCATCAAGTATTCGGAAATATCAACTCCATGGGTACCAGAATAGGAGTAGAGAAGGATGTTGTGTTGAGCGTGCCACTGTTAAAGATCGTGAACTCATCTTGGGCTTGAGAGATAGAAGGGATACTGTTACCCTTGAGGCAAAATGACTACTGTTTTTGGCAAGCGAAGAAGAAGAAGATGATGATGATGATGATGATGATGGGAAAAGATGACTATTATAGTTCCCGAGAGGTTGATTGGCAAAAGAAGGATGGTATTTTCTGATGGTATTGTGTCTGATACTGAGGCTGTTGAGTTGTGCGTCTATTTGCTGCCCCATAAACTCTTGTTCGTAAAGTGGTCAATGCCTGGAAAGGATTTGGCAGAAGAGACGAGAAGAGGAAGAGCCACTGGACCTTACCACTTGATTCGAAGAGTAGGCTTGTCATTTCGGAGAAAAAAAAAGAAGTTTGTGTAATGGTAATGCTGCAGAAGGAAGGCAACAAGAAGTCTAAAAGACCGACGGAATGACGGAGGGGGAACTTGTTATAAAAGAAAGAAAAGGAAAAAGGGAAAAAGGGAGTGATGAGTAGAGAAAGGAGGAAAAAGAGATGAAAAGACATTTGCATGAGAACCAGTGTTGAATTGTGGGGTGTGTGTTTTTGTGGATGAGTAATTCGATTCAGGTCGGACTCACACCCGTTGAGGTAGGGTGTCTATTTGTCAAATTTTAATTTCAGTTACCGGAGCACGGCGAAGTGAATTCCGATCAAATCCACACATGTGAGAACAATTTTTGTTCTTTATTTTATTAATTTTATTAGAGTCTGAATGAAAGGGATAAGGGTCTATGCTGAAAAAAAAAAAAAAAAAAAAAATTGATTAAAATGTTTATGTTTATTAACTATTAATACATTTATTTACTTGGAAACAATCTTGTGGATGCAAGCATTCTTGCCCTTGAAGACGCCATCCTCTGCATGGATATCACGGTGTCTGTAACCTAGGGTGATTGTGGGGCTTGAAATTCTCAGGGTCAAACAGAGCGGGGTTTCCTCCTTTCTTCACATACAGCTTGAAACATCCTCACGGAAACGGGTCAAGTCACGGTAGTTCTTGAGAATGATCTGGAGAGACTGTTGGAAGACACCATCCGCCTTCGTCACCATCTGGACACGACCCAAGCACTCGGTTCGAACCTGGAGCGCTGAAGACGGTTCTTGTGTGAGGCAAGGGCGTTGATCTCTTCAATGGTCACACCAGCAGGGTGAAGGATCTGATCATACTCCGTGGGCAAGATTACAGTGATATGTGACTCTCCACGGGAGATCAAGGTTCCGTTACCAAAGTCCTTAGTAGTGTTGACAAGATCAAAGACAGGTTTGACATACTTGAAATCTACATTCAATCCAACCCAATTGGCGAACAAGCCAGTGCCCTGTTGAAACCATATTCAAATTGAAAGTTGTGCATTGAAGAAAGCAGTATATCAAGTGATGGTGTTAGTGTTGAGTAGAGTGAAACACCGTTATGTATTTTTATTTTCTCCTCCGAGCATTCAAGGCCTCCAGTATTGAACGTACACTATGAGGGATGAAAGGGACCTTCGAGGTTTGGAAGACTTTCTTGTTGATGACAATGGGCTTGCTGTGGTACTTCTTATTGCCATCAACAGTCTTGGGACCTGCCATGACAGTCGAGGCAACTAGAGCCAAAGTGGCGAACAAAAAAGTGGCAACACGCATTGGTTATGAAAAAATGAGGAGAGGATATGTGTCTGTTGGATGGAAAAAAGGTGAAGGAAGTGAGGTAGATGGATAATCGAGGAAACAGAATCCACTTTTTGGGCGCGGGAGAATTCCTTTTAAATGTTTTCCTTCGATCGAAAGAGTATTTTTTTTGCTTCTAAAATAAAATGTGCTTTCCTTTCCAGTAAGCACAGAGGACAGATTGCCAAAGGGACAAGAGCAACAATCCATTGGCCATTGAGAGCATCAATAGTCTGTGTTGTAGTAGGTTTCTGGGAACGTGGACTATGGATTGGATGGACAGGGGCCCAAGAGATAATAAATGAAGGGAACACAAACAGCAACAGAGCCAATAAAATTTAATACACTGGTTAGATGTCATAAACGTCATTTATGGTTCGCTCAACGATAAAAAACTGAAGAACTATCAAAAATCTGGATTGAATATGTAATTAATGCTCTATCACAGCGCTTTACAGTCGCCCAGTAGTCAACCCATATTCTCCCTCAAGCGCCACACGATTAGTGCTATAACTCATTATTGTGTCTCATGTTGAAGGCACATTGTTACAGGAAAGGAATTGCTCATACCCTCCTTCCATAACTGTCAACCGCTCTGTCCGCGGTGAGTGGGACAAACAAAGGTCTGTAACCAGCGCGCGCTGTACAAGATAAAGGATTCCATTCGTTGACCAGACTAATGGTGTTATGCCTCGGTAGTGATCATTGAAGTTCTATATCAGATCAAGAGTATGATTGAGCTTGCCTGCGTACAAAATAGCATATGCGCCGCTAATGGTTAAGAGTCCTTGAAAACACATGTCTCGATCCAAGTGGATCCATGTCATATGCACTTCTTTCTGGTCTTTGCTGTGTTCCCAGCAACGGTTATCTAGCATTTATAACATTGAGCATTGGTGGCGTCATCTCTCTGTAGCGCTCCTTGAGAACTGCAGAAAGAACGCACACCTTCTCTCTGGCAACCAACCACATTTAAAGCTTCCATCCATGACCCTGTAAAAAAAGCGTTATGAGCATTCGGATTCATCACTCCATATACGAATGAATACTAGTGGCGTTGGATTATGGCTATGGTGGACTTTCGAATCCAAGCAGTGATACAAACCCCAATAAATCGAGTAGCGCCGGTTAACCGAGCAGTATCCGAGGATTTTCGAGCAGCAACGAGAATAGTCCATTAGGAGTATGAGGTGATCTGTTGGACCATCTGAATCTCAATCCGTAAATACACTATATATTAATACGAAGCTAAACTTTATGTCCAATACTGCTGCGGCTGGTCAACTCACGATGCAGATAAATAGCCACATCTCACATCTTTCGGTCAGAATGCCGTGAATTTGACACAAACGCTACAGATCTATCAAAGCACGCTGCTCTGCCCATGTCAAGCCAGCATCACATTCACCTTTGCCAGACCATTTCTTTTTAAAAAGTGGATTAACTTCTGAAGAGATTTGTTTGGCCGATTGAATTGACCTAAGGCTCGGAAGTCCACCTAGGGGTGTATAGTCTTTTTGAATTAAAACAATCAAAATATGCGTTTTGAGTTCCAATGGTATTCAATAGTACGAGTTTGTTTAAAGTTTCTGGGCGACTCCCATGTAGCCTCGCGTTTATTAAAGCCCCCCCATTGCACATGATATTCTATTTCATTCTTCCCCTGGTGTTATCCCAAACAAGCTTCTTTAAAGTTCTGGCCCCGCAACTCCAAAAAGTTATGTTTCCATATGTTGGAATTTCTACACGCGCATGGAGATATGGCTTTAAAAAGTGCTTCTAGCTGATATCCATGTTCCTTCCAGGCCATATCCTTTTGTTATGTCCCAGGGTTTGGAGGTTCCTCAAAAGAAACTTTCATTTTAATCCGTAATATCAGATTAATTAGTGACGGCTATGGCAGGGCCTAATAAAAGGTTCCACATAGCAACCATAATAAACAACTCTCGATCTCCTTGGCATACCAGCCTTCAGAAAATATCCCAGCTTGTGGTCGTATCCTCGGTGTTACTATCAACGGCTATATATATATATGTTTCTTTTTTTTTTTGTTCTGAGGATATGGCGAAGATGAAATAGCACATGATATCTTTTCAGCCCCATCCGAACGAGTCGATACAAAGGAATGAAGGGATGAGACGGAGGTGTATTTCCATAGAAGAATAACACTTGCTGTCCTTGGTGGTTATTTTGCGCTATTCTGTAAATTTAGCCTGAATACAGCATCTGACACGCCGGCATACAAAAAATGTCTGGGTCAAAAAATTCGGGTGTTTTTTCAGCACACAAAAGTTCCCTCCGTTCCGCACAGCAGTATAATAGGTAAAATAGTGAGATCTGCTCTGGCTGGGCACGTATGGGGCCAGCATTGCGTTATGACTTCAAACCTGTCCTGGGCCCTCTCTACTAGATACATGTGCTTGCAAGGTATTCTATGCTTGTCGTGATCGGGACTCTACCAACAGCGATCTCCCTACCTTCAGTCGATAGACAAGGCTAGAGGGCATTCTTGGACGAAAGGCAACCACAATTCAGGCGCATCTTATATATTATTATCGGCCTTTTATTTTTTTTTTTTTTTTTTTTGAGGATTTGGCCAGAATGGAATAGTCTTGTAGATGTTTCCTTTTCAGCCAATGAAGAACTGGCTCAGATAAGGAGCATGTTCTACCAGTCGAACAAAAGACAGCAAGCTTTCGGTTGGCCCCCGAGAAGACACCACTAATAAAACAATAGAGATATATCTATTTCTGCACATGCTGTCTTGCAGTTCTGGTATCGCGGTCTCTTTGGTTTTTTTCCGGACACCAATAAAGTAACTGTGTTCTGGTAGAGCGCCATGCCTGAAACAATGGCCACATGCCATGCATAAAAGATAAAGCCCTTAAATTCAGAGCCCTTTTAATACTTTTCACACATGGTGGCAAATACCATCAATTTGTGCTTGACGATTCGCCACCATCTCCATTTGATTGGCTAGGTTTTGTCTTTCCCTGTGGCTGATTAAATACTGTCATTCTGAACATGTTGTTCATTGCCAATAGCGCTTTGTGGTTCGGTCATCCACAGCTCATCAACGCAATAGCTAATAGCTGACGCGAACTTTTATTTGCAACAGCAGCATATTACTCTTTGTCCAATATTCGCCTGTTTTATCTTCAAAGAATTAGTTGCTATACTTTCTTTTTCAAGTACTATTTTCTCTTTTCAATTCTTTTTCCTCCTCTCTACCAGCAATCGATAGCTGTCGAGCCGACGAGCACTATAGTTCAGCTCAACTATCATCAGCTCCGCCACCCCCAGCTTTCTGCCATATTGAGCAGACAGATATGAATATGGCTCACATAACCTCTTCGAGCTAGACAGTCGTCTAGCATCCTGTCAAACACTCAGCAATGTTAACCACATACCGTTCAAAGATTTAGAGCGTGGATAGGAAAGGGATATGACTGATGAATGTTTGACACCGGGACGTATAGTTGTGAAAGTAAAAGTTTAACACCAAGCCAGGCGAGGGAACCCTGGCAACAGCACAATGGCGGATGCAGTATTCCGAGAACCATTGTATACTCCCTCTATATCAACGCTGTGAAAAGGAACGTATAATAGAAAGGAGTAATAGTGAGGAAAAGAACAAATAGGAATCAAACAAAGGCGAGATTCACCAACCTCTTCAACTAATCCAGCTCCCCTAAAGTAAACCAAGTTGCTGCACAACTCATAAGGCAGCTATAAAAAATAAAAAGAAAGTTCCTATTTTGAGACAAACGCATGTTGCATAGATATTCAATTTGGGAAGCTACTCTCTGTTGGATAGTTCCTGCGATGCAATGCTTTGTACATATTTTTATTACTGTGGTGGCTCTTATTACCTTCATTATTATCTAGATTATGTTATGTGATTCAAAGAACTCTTCCAGCAAAGCAGCTGCATCTTCCTCGCCGTTCAGAACACCATGCACGCCTCTAAATCTTGGCCAATTGTTCACCATCCATGTCGCATCCTCAAGCTGCATTCGCTGCTGATAATCTGTAACCCTTAGCGTATCTAGTCTCTTCAGATTGGCTAGTTCATCCAGACCTGCTCTTAGTCTTATGTCCAGTGTCCGACTGTAGAGCTGTGTTAGGTCAAGATGTTCTAGCCGAGTCAGCTTGCCAAGCTGCTTAAACGCAATACGTGCCTTTGCCATCCCTTCTTCAGTCTCTTGATCAATATCTGCCTCAAGAGTGATACTCAAGTGAGTCAATCCACTACATACCCATTCTGCTCCATTGACAATCTCTGATACTGTAGTTTTAGATCCTTCCAGTCTCTTCAGTCGTGGACAATTTGATAAAATAGCCTGAGCAACACTGCTATCTCCAGCGAGCACTAACGTCTCAACTGTCTCACAGAGTCTCCGAAGCCTTGTCTTCTGTACTAGCTGTCCATTATCCATCACTTCTTGCTTGTCAGCTAGCAACTCTTGCAAAGAGAGCTGATCGAATATAGCATAAGGGAGGTCTAACTGCCTTAATCCTGTCATCCGTCTGAGAATTGCCGCCATATCCTTGTCTTCTATTATCTCACAGGAACATAGATCTGACAAGTTATTCAGAGCCCAAGGGTGCTGAAGGAATACCCTGTAGAAGTCTGACTGATCTTCTTCGTCCCAGCTCTCAATGTCCAATGAACGCAATGCTCGACAATTCCTTACTAACATCCCGAGGCAATACCAGCTGCTGTACGGATGCGGAGGGTTGGTTACCCTGACATTCGAAATACACAGTGTGCGTATGTTTGGGAAAATATACTCGCTGTCCTCATTACTAAAGAAGTTGATAGGTAGCTGGATGGACACTTCTTCCAATTTCAAGTGATGAAGTCTCTTGCATACTTGAAGGAATAGATCGGCTCCAACATCAATAACTTTGCCATAAACCTCCAAGTGCCTGAGATTGATGCATTCCAATAAAGCCTCCCAGAGCTCTGACGAACACGAAAACTTAATATTTTCGTTCAAGCAAAGGCTAGTGATGATGGAGCCATAAGCCTTGATATGGTTGAAAAGGTGGATTGGTTTGGACCATTTACATTCATCTCCAAATACGATAGACTTGAGTCCCTGCAGTGATCCATACTTCTTTGGGAAAGAAGCCTTAAAGGTGTAAGACTCAAATGTTATCTCTTCAATGTATTCCTTGTGCTTCTGTACTGCTTTACTATTAGGATCTCCTTGCGGTCCGACAGTGATTTTCCTCCATATGAGGCTGATAAGAGTTTTATGAAAAGCCTTGGAGACGCGGATACAGTTCAGAAGGTCGCTTCGCTCGAGCAGCTCAGCAATGAGTAAGAGGATTTCTGGAATCTGTAAGGGATTCAGCTTAAGGTTGTCCATGTTGCGAAGAAACAAAGTCGATGGAGTGAGAAAAACAAATGTGGCTGGATTTTACAGTCCACGCTTGATTTCAAGACAAATCTATCCTATCCAAAAAGCGCGAAATAAATCGTCACTAAAATAATTAGCAACCTCCCTAAAAGTGAAGGGACAAATCTTTCACATTTATGACATTTCCCTTAAGGAGGCTGCCAAATAAATGTGCGGCTATTATTTTTTCAAATTGGATAGAATACTGTATTCATTTCTACGCTTGATTTTAAGTCAGGTTTATACGTCAAAAGCGAGATTGAATTCCACTAACCATTGCATCTACTTTATCTCAACGTTGTGAAAAGAATCGTTTAAGAGAAAGGAGCAATAGCAAGAAAAAGAAGAAGGACGAATCAAACAAAGACGAGATTCAGTTATCCCTTCATCTAAACCTACAGTAGATCAAGTTGCTGCACTACTCGTTGGGCAGCAAAATAAAGGCCCTATTTTGAGACAAACCCATGCTGCGCATAGGCTATCCAAGTTGGGGAGATGTTCTCCACTTTTGGATAGTTTCTGCAATGGCAATGCTTTGCGCATATGTTCATTACTGTGGCGACTCTTATCACCTTCATTATCATTTAGGTCGAATAACAGCTATCAGGAAGTAGATGTGCACTAAAAGATCCATGTGTAAGATCTCTGTCTCTATATCAGGGTATGACCTGGTAATACTTTCCTCTATATTCTATCTTCTATTGGATATGTTATGTGATTTAAGGAGCCCTTTCAGCAAAGCAGCTGTCTCTTCCTCACCGTTCAGAACACCACCCACACCTCTGATCTTTGGCCTGTTGTTCATCATCCATGTCGCATCCTCAAGCTATATTCGCTGGCAGCGATCAAATCTGAAGCTTAGGCAATTTAGTCTCTTCAGATTGGCTAGTTCATCCAGACCTGCTCTTAATCTCATGTCCAGTCTCCGTCTATCTAGACTCCTTGGGTCCCATCCTGTTAGGTCAAGACTTTCAAGCCGAGTCAGTTTACCTAGTTGTCTAAACGCAATACGTGCCTTTGCCATCCCTCCCTCAGTCTCCTGATCAATATCTGCCCTAAGATAGATATTCAAGCGAGTTAACCTAGTACAAACCCATTCTGTTCCATCGACAATCTCTGATACTGTAATTACAAATCCATCCAGTATTTTCAGTCGTGGGCATTTTGATAAAATAGTCTGGCCACCAATACCGTTATTTATCACGAATACCAGCGTCTCAACTGTCTCACAAAGCCTCCAAAACCTTGTCTTTCGTACTAGTTGTCCATTATCCATCACTTCTTGCTTGTCAGCTAGCAACTCCTGCAAAGAGAGCTGACCGAATTTACACGCAGGGAGGCATAGCCATTTTATTTCACTCATCCGTCTAAGAAGCGTTGCTATATCCTCGCCCTCGATTGTGATATAGGCACGTAGGTCTGACAGATTATTCAGAGTCCAAGGATGCTGAAGGAGCGCTACCTTGTAGAAGTCTCCTTCATCTCGGCTGTGACCCTTAATGTCCAGTGAACACAATGCTGGGCAGCTCCTTGCTTGCATCCCGAGGCAATACCAGTCGCTGTACGAATGCAGAAGGTCGGCTATCCTGACATGGTCAATACGGAGTGTGTGTTTATTTGAGAAAATATATTCACTGTGCTCTGTACTAAGAATATTGACAGGGAGCTGGTGAATGGTTACATGGTCCAATTCCAAGTGCCGAAGCTCCTAGTAGACTTGTAGGAATAAGTCAACTCCAACATCGACATCTTTGCGATTAATCTTCAAGTGGTTGAGGTTGGTGCATTCTAACAAAACCTTCCAGAGCTCTGGCGGATACTCAATACATTCGGTTGCATGAAAGCTAGTGATGATGGAGCTGTGGGCCTTGATCTGATTGATGGCGTGGATCGGTTCGGGCTATGAGCACCACCATGTGTATGTGATGGACTGAAGCCTATGTAACGGCTCATGCCTCTCTGGAAATGAGTTATTAAACTTGTAGCTTTCAAATGTAATTTCTTCAATGTATTCGTTATGCTTCTGCACTGCTTTGCTGTCAGGTTCTCCTCCCTGTCCGATTGTGATTATCCTCCAAGTGAGTCCGATAAGAGTTATATGAAAAGCCCTGGAGACGTGGATACAGTTTAGAAGTCTCTTTGCTCGAGCAGCTCGGCAATGTGTAAGAAGATTTCCGGGATCTCGAAGGGATTCAGCTTAAGGTTGTCCATGCTGCGAGAGATGGAGCGATAAAAAAAAAAAAAAAAAAAAAAAAAAAAGACGACGATGTGGCCGGAATTTGTGTCGACAGAGAAATTGAGTTTCAGAAACTACTGCGCACTCTTTCCAACTCTAAACGTGCATGTAACTGCGTCTCTCAGGGTGTCAATCATAATTGAAAATACATCTTCCTCAAAAGGATAAGAAATTATGTTTTTGAGTAAAAAGGAAAAAGATGGAGAAATATTATAAAGTGTAGTATGGAAACTGTCTGGCTTTTAGACAATAATACTGAAGGGAACTACTAGAATTTCCCCAAAACCTCTTTGAACTCTCAAGCATAAGCATTGGATCAATGTACATTGGTTCTGAAGTCGAAGTGCAAGTGGCTGAAGATGTCGAAGTTGTCAAGGATGGCAGGGATAGTCGTCAGCAAAGACAGAGATACCGATTCATACCACATCATCAATGTGACATGGACTGATGTCTTTTGATAGTGCATAAAAGATATCTCCAAGAACCCAAATCCTGGTAACAGCAAATTCATATGAGCCCCCACTGACATTTGATTGCCTCCAAAGTTGCAATGATCTCCTTCCTATGTGAGCCAATCTGGTAGTTGGGAGGCGTCGAATCCCTCTTTTTCTGCTGTCCTCAATGCCGTAGCTAGGACCTCTGGCCGCTTTGTGAGTCATCCTTTGAACTAGAAGCACAGGTCAAATAGTTGGTGAATATAAGCTAGCTTGCAATATGTCCTTTAGATATATTTTGCCACTTGGAAGCTTGTAAACTCTTACATCTGGGAAATGTTACAAAAAAAAAACTAGGCGTGGATTATGCTGCAGAGAAGAGAGTTTTGACTTGATTCCTATCGACCGACAGAGGAAGCAAGAAATCTAGGCTGGATCTTTCCATTCGTTTGTCTTGATGCACTCTTTGAAGAAACATGAGTACATACGTTGGAGTGAGAGAGTAACGGGGTCATTCCTAGGTAATGTGATATATTCTGTAGCTATTTTCTGAGTGTGTATGTCCTAGACAATGATGCAGGCCCTTGTTGGCCAATAAAAAAAAATAAAAAAAAAAAAAAAAGAAAAGAAAAAAACCTCTCTTATCTTTTCATGTCAACCTGCTACCTCCGAGATTCAAAGATAGAAGGTCAAATGTCAAGTTGACGGACAAGTTTGTGGGAGATGGATGTGGGGGGAAGAAATAATTAGCCACCAAATCAAAATCAAAAAAAAAGAGCTCCTATGACGCTTTCGGTTTCTAGTCATGTTAGTCTACTATGTCACATCCCAGAAACTCATCCTATTGTCAATTAAGAGGTTGTCTCCAGAGCTGTTCCTTGTCATTAAAGGATATTAGAGAAACTTTACAAATTAGGTTTTCTTTTTCATAAAAAAAGTGTCTCGTTTTTTTTTTTATTCAACGTTACAAGACGTCATCGCCAAATGTTAATCGACAATGTTCCTGTAACTTTAAACAAAGTTACGCGCGAGAAACCCCACTGTCCAATGACAATGTAAATAATAAAAAAAAAAACGTGGCAATTTTGTCTCCTTTGGAGATTAAGTAAATGAATAAAGAACAACCACGAACTCACACAACTTTTTTTTTTTTTTAAGACTGCAATAGGACCTTAGTTGGTGATATACGATGCAGACATAGTCTATGGTGAAATGGATGAAAGAAGTAAGATTTATATATATAAATAAGACAATTAGGCACTCCTTTCTAAAAAGTATGGATCCATATGCACTAATGAGTCCCTGATTCCAGATGACGTGAGGAAACGAGATATTACAAATATATAACGTATATACTATTGAGAGCCATCATTCCTAGGACGTAGGGAACCAGCCAAGCGATTCTAATAATAATAATAATAATAATAATAATAATAATAATAATAAATATTGCTTATGTGGGCTAGTTGGCTCCTGAATCGCAATTTAGGAACTTCTGAATTGAGGCAACTCCCTTTAATCTTCTTTATGTTATTGACAACCCCTTCTTTTCATTATTAATGCATTAATGGATCGGGAGATCCGTTGCTTAAAGGAATGTGAGAGCTGATTTTTTTTTTTTTTTTTTTTTTTTTTTTAAATCCAAAGTATACTGTTACGATGACAAAGGGTTATTCTTGGCTTGGTTATATAAAGTATATTATATCACTAGATATATATATAGTGTATATGATATATATATGTATAATACTTTTGTTCAATTACACGTTTCGAAGCATAGCAAAAGCCTCGGCTCCCTCTTCCTGGTTTCCCCTCCTCTTCTTTCTTTCTTTCTTTCTTTCTTTCTTTCTTTCTTCTCTCAATGCCCCCGATCCAAATCGAGATTTAGACTGCTCTTACCGATCCTTATTATTTTTAACTACCACACTTTTTTTTTTTTTTTTCTGCTCCCAGTAGTAAAGTCGAAATACACTTTCTAGAATGAGCAAAAAAAAAAACAAAAAAAAAAACAAAAAAACAAAAACGACTAACAATCGCCGATTGCATAAATTGGAAGAGGGGAAAAGGGAGAAAGAGAGCCAAGGATATATCGGGGATTCCATCGGGGTTGCCATGTTTTTGGGCTGAATGCATAACGAAAAAAAAATAAAATAAAATAAAAAAAATAAAAAATAAAATAGAAAATATAAAGAAATCGCGATCCAATGTATATACGATTTATTTAGATCTGGGCTTTCTCAAGTAGCAAAGTAGCAAAATAGCAAAGCAATGGCTCCATTATGCATGCTTCTCTTTCTATACAAAATAAGCAGAATAAACAAAATCTTGGAGAAATCTTGGTTTGAGTAGATCGGGCTTTGAATAGCGCGCATACGCACATTTTAGAGCGCAGTCTTTTACTCTTTGTAAAGAAAATAAACATTTTTTTGCTTTTTATTTTTTATTTTTATTTTCTCTTGACAACGTCCATCCATGATCCCGTTACGTTTTGTATATACTTTACCCGGTCCCTTCACCCCCCCCTGAATCGAGAAAAATCATGATGTACCTCTTTATCTTCACTCTTTCTTTTTATTTTATTTTTTATTCTCTTCTACAACCCGATCTCCTTATTTTATAGATCTCGATGAAGAAAGGAAAAAAAAAAAAAGAGCGCTCAATAATAATAATAATAAATAAATAAAATAAAAAGAAATAAAAAGAAAAAATAAAGGTCTGAAAGCTCTTTTTCTACCCATAAAAACGTGTATATATACATATATATATATATATAGTGAATATACTTCATGAGAGTGAGAGTGAGAGTGAGAGTAAGAGAGGAGCAGAGAGAAAAAAAAAAAGCCCATGTAAAGCAAGTTATGCAGTTATGCGGTTATTATGCGGGGAAGAGAGCAAAATAAGGGATTGAGGAAAGAGGGTGGTGAATAGAGAGAGAGAGAGCGAGAGAGAAGGAGAGGCTCATTTCTACATGAATCTAAACTAAATCAGCAAAGAGGAATATCGGGGAGTGAAGGGGTAGAGGAGGGGGGGAACTGGTGGCTGCCTGGCTGCCTGGCTGCCTGTCTGCTTACATGAAAAGCAAAAAGTTGAAACGTAAGGGGGTGAATTGATAACTTTAACAATTTTACATGTACTGTACATGAACAGTAACATGCGTATCCATGTTTACTGGAGTGGTGTGGACCATTCATCTTTTGTGGATAAATTTTATATTCCAGTATTTTGGTTTATGGACATTAATAGATGTGCATGGTATGGCAAACGCGGAGGTGTTGGCAGGGGGGGAGTGTTTGCTTAGATGTCCAATGCGTACATGAGATATTCAGAAAAGTCCTCCTAACTATCGCCAAAAGGCAAAAACGCCAATCCCCAAGACCCATTTCATCTAGAAAGGAAAGAAAAAGAGTGCTTTCTGGTGAAAACAAAACATGAATGCACCCTCCTTTCTTTTTTCTTTTGATAGTCCAAGCCCAAACGTTGCTCTTCTCCTTCTTTTATCGTATCTCATATCATGTCATACATATCATAAGCCATATAACCAACGATACCCGTGACATGAATGTATATATACATGTATGCTTTATTTTTTTCGGTTTTCTTTTTCTTTTTTTGAGGGCCCATTCTTGTCAAGATCTCCAAGATTCAAAACGGTTTTGCTGTTTCGCCTCTTGGTATGAGCCAACTTCAAACAGTTGAACAATGTGGAGACAGATGAGCAAACACAGCAAAAAAAAAAAAAAAAAGTATATATCCACTCTGTCCACTCAAAAGTAAGAACGAGAAAAAGAGCAAGAGCAAGAGCAAGAGAAGAAAGGGAGAAGAGAATAAGGAGAAGAGAGGGGGAGGAAGGGGAGGTTTGAAGATCGGGAGCATTGCAGATTGTTGATTGGTCTAAAACCGATTAGTTTTAGTCGAATTGGATTTGAGATCTCATATTCCAGCGATGCTTAATCTTTTTGCATTTGACCTTTTTGCCCTTTCTTTGTTTTGCTATGCTTGACAGGCTTATGTGGAAAACGGATATGGTTTTTACCAATAAAGACCTTTAGTTTTCAACTTGGTCTAGCCTTTTTAGTTTTTTTTTTTTTTTTTTTTTTTTTTTCTTTCACTCTTGCTCAGATAGTGTATAAATGTATAAATACAATATACATAAATATATATACCATGGTCAGCTGTAGTTATGGATCAGTTAAAGTGCTGCGATATTTCAATATGGTCGGACGCTCAGTCCATTTAAAATAAAAAAATGCAATACCATCCATGGGAACTGACATGCTTATTACACAAGGACATTAATTGGCCAGGATTCATGGTGATGGAACGTGATTTCCATTCGATCGGTTGTTAAACGATCAAAAATCAGAAGCATCGGAAGCGATGCAAATCACAACACATGGCGATTTATTTGCGATGCTGATACTGATGCTGATGCTCAAGTCTTTTTTTTTTTAAAAAAAAAAAAAAAAAAAAAAAAAAAAAAAGGTCATGCCAATTTGGTTGGACAAAAATAAAATTTGTATTACATGTTTTATATTCGGCCTGCCTTGCTTGGTAATGCCAGTTGCAAGCATGCTCTCTTTTTTTTATTTGTTTTGTCCATTCCACATGATTTGAATAGTTGAATTGATCTATTCATGTACGATGATTACCACAGGGTGGGACAGACGGCACATGTCTATCCCACTCTGTCACACATTGATGTGACACTTTTTAAATTACATGTACGTTTTTATCCGTGGCTGTAAATCAAACGAGGGGGAAGGGAAGGAAACGGAGGGAAAGGGAAGGGAAGGAAAGTCAGGTGAACGTGTAATAAAAATCTCTTTTGTCCAAGTGACCATGTTAAACCCAAGAGATGACTAAATCATTTGCCATGGTAAAATATTTAAAAAAACACGTGTAGCTTTTCTTTCTTTCTTTCTTAGAGAGAATGTATATTATTAGTTTTTTCCCTACGGTCTTCGCCACCATGCGACGCATGAGATGCATATAATTATACGCTTCTGCTAGAGATTTTTTTTTCTTTTCCTACGGTAACCTAAAGATGTGCGGATCTTCGCCACCATCAGATGACGTTAGTCGGAATGAGTTTCGGCTTGTCCAAACACTTTAAACGTGGCAAGTGACAAGGACGAGCTGCTCAGTCATCATTGGTGATATCTCCTAACAAATAAATACTATATCTATAATAAATATGTATATATATATATATACATCTACCATCAATCCACCAAACATTACTTTATATAAAATAGATGTTTCCATTAAATATATTATATATATATATGTAATTATGTGGATTCGTTATGATATTTGGTTGGCCAGAAGAGTTGCCATGATGTGAGCATGAGGGGCACTTATTGACAATTTGGTTGTCGTCCTTTATTTCGTTTGACAAATAATTGGTGGAATAGTAAAGTAAATTATAATATAAACCTAGCAGTGGCAGTGGCAGTGGCAGTGGCAGTGGAAGGATCTTTTTTTTTTTTTTTGAGCAATAAAAAAAAAAAAAAAAAACAGTGATGATCCTCTTCCTATTAATCAAATAGACGGATACTCAAGATCCTTTGCTAACCTATTACAGATTACACCAGGAGAAAGAAGGGAAATAAAAAAAAAAAAAAACCCTTGGCGTTACTGATGGATCATGGGAGAGAGAGAGAATGAAAGGATCTTATTTTTGGCAGATGGACTGCTGTGAGTAGGCTGTAGAATTCACCCCGCTGTAATTCGAAAATAAGAGCCAAACGGCAAGCTAAACGCGGTAGCAGAGATAGGTTGAATGGAAAAGAGGGGAAGGGGAGAGGTTGGGGGTTGGGGGGACATGCATATGGAGATTTGGAGATGGGATTTTAGGAATCCAGGATATTGTCTCTCCACTCCACCGTTCATTCAAACAAAACGGGGTCTCTGTTTTCTGGATGCTGTTCAAAAATCAATGTGGTAAATCAACTCTAGTCCGGAGAGTGTTATGTGGGCACTAGGGTTACTCGGACAGCCAGAGCACGGGCTTTATTTCCGATACGGCCCTCCTCCTCCGGCCATCTCAGCCTTTTGGGCAAAAGGTGAAAAAAAAAAAAAAAAAAAAAAAAAAAGTCCCCGCTCTGCCCTCATAGACCGCACACGCCCACTTTTTTTCTTTTTCTTTTTCTTTTTCTTACGTTTAGTAGACCTAAAGGGTCTCGCCTCAACTCCACTTGAATACTCCATATTATTTTTTAACCACCCATGGGTGTTCCGGTATGATGGAAAATGTTGCGGCAACAAACACCACATTTATATTAAAAGGGTTCCCACATGTTAGGTCCAGTAATGGTCATTTCTTTTTTTTATTTTCAGGTGAAAGTGGCAAGGACCTGAGAAGGGTTCGGGGGGTCAAGGTCAAGGTCAAGGTCAAGGATATCGGTTGGATATGGCTGTTATTGACCATTACGCTTGTCTGTCTCACATTTGTATAGAGTATAGGATAGTCATGATATTCATTTGTATTGCATTGGATAGAATACAATAAAGATATCGGATAGAGAGACAATAAGGAGCTTCTTTTTTTTGAATACGTTTGAATTGAGAGAGGATAAAGTGTATATGTAAAATGTAACCAATCAAGTAGAATGTATCGTATCATATGGTAGACCACTGTAATCAATATATATATATTTGTATAGAAAAAAGCATTTTAAAATAAACAATCGTCTCTCTCCATCAATTGACCACATTCGTATTCATTATAATATATAATATAAGACAGAATACAGTATAATAAAATATGTATATAATATATACTTCTTTCAATTGATTGTGGTTATTCATTCCCTGTTTTGTATAAAAGGCATTGCTACGCGCATTTCGTTGTGGAACAAAAAAAATTTTTTATTTTTTTAATTCTCTCTCACTCCATTACTTTTGACCATTACTTTCATTACATTCTCCATCCTCCGACTTTCTTCTTCTTCTTCTTCTCTCTCTCTCCTCTCTCTCCTCTCTCTCTCTCTCTCTCTCTCTCCACTCCACTACCTTCAGTCCTTCTTCTTTCTCTCCAACTCTCTTTCACCTCTCTATCCCATTCTCACTTTTCCTTTCTTTCTTTTTTTTTTTTTTTTTTTTTTTTACTACACTCCACTCTCTTTGACAATCATACAATCATATCCAATCATGGGCACTTTAATCACCTTCATCAGCCAACACATCTCTCTCAGTCCAAGTGCAAGAGACCGTGAACGCGACGATTACTTTGGTCATCAATTCCAAAACCAAAAGCGTCCGCAGCAACAACAACAGCAAAGCCAACTCTCTTCATGTTTCCACCAGCGTGAACGTGCCCTTCAGCAGTTCCCTTGTGAAGAAAAGCATTCGTTCAATCCTCATTATCAACACAATCTCTCCACATCTCCCTCCTACTCTATTCCTCCTTCCCTCAGCTCCTCTCCCTCAAACTCCTCCCCCTCATCTGCCTACACTAGCAGCTCACATTCCTCCCTCTCCAGAGCAACCGGCTTCCGATCTCTTCCCCAAGACTCTCATATGCACCAGTACAACTACAATACCTACAGTGGTAACAACAAGCATGACTACAGCTACCATCGTCGCTACAACCGTCGTCAGGCCTTGAAATGTTATACCTCTCAACAACAAGAGTCCTATGTGGTGGATGATTGGATGTTCGGGATCGCAGAGGATGATGAGTATCACAATTCCATGAGCACAAACATGATGCGTGCCAGTCCTCAAGAGTCCCCCATCTCCCCCCCTCTCTCTACCTCGACCGTCTCCCTAAAGTCCTCATTCTCGCGCAAGAACCGTACTCAACGCGGCAGTGTCCTGAGCATGTTCTCCACTGCATCAAGGTCGACCGTTACCTTCTCACCCGCTGTTGTTGAACACATTGTGAGGACAACGGATCATCCCAAGACCTCCATCGGGTTATTGCCCACCATCTCAGAGTCGACCTTATCTTCAAGCTCTGCCTCTGTATCCTCTTCTCCCTCCTCCACTTCTCCTTCTTCTTCCAAGAAGTTGTCTGCCAAACAGTCGTTGATGCGTATTGCACACTGCTCCAAATCCGAGGATGGATGGTGTACCCAGAAGGCAGGACAGTATACCCAACGTTACGCTAGCACACCCCGCAGCATGTCGATCGATGGCCGCCGTAGCCGTCGAATGTAAAAAAGAAAAAAAAAAAAAAAAGCCAAGCCAAGCCAAGCCAAGCCAAAACAAAAAAAAAAAAAAAAAAAGGGAGGGAATATGGTGGAGGAAAGGGAGCTCCCCATTCCCTTTTCAACATGAGAATATGGCCTCTATCTTTCTGGACCTACAGCCCTTTTATTGCTTTTTTTTTTTTTTTTTATTTTATTTTTTATGATTGCCTCTATTGCTTCATTATATTTATTTGCTTCGTTTACTTTGCTTCTTTTGCTTTGTTTTTATTGTTATCGTATTTTTAATCTCTCGTTCGCTTTTGCTTGTAAAAAAAAAAAAAAAAAAAAAAAAAAAAAAAAAACTACCTTTTTTATTGTATATTACGTCTGTAACAAATCCTTTTTCTTTTTCCTTTGTTCAATTTGGGGGATCTTCAAACGTTCCTTTCTTGTAATTGTATATATAGTCTTAATGTAACAATAATAAATCGTTTGAACAAAATATTCGTTCGTTCCCGACCTGATCAACAAAAAAAAAAAAAAAAAAAACCGTGCGTATCAAATCAATGTCAAACAAAAAAAAAAAAAAATCTAGATTATTTTAAATCTATTATAAAACAAGAAAAAAGACTATGATCATGTGTATCCCAATCCTAGGAATATGGTGGATGGGGATGGGAAGGATGGGATGGATGAATGAGCTGTGCCTGACCTTATTTTCTTTGCCTTTTGCCTTCTGCCTTGAAAGAAAAAAAAGGTTACCAAATTGTTGTCATGATGCATGAGATCCCTAGTTGTACCAGAGAGGTAGCGTGACACGCGTACAGAACAGTAGTAAAATAACAAATCTCGGGAAAGGAGAAAACGGACAAAATAATTTATATTTTTGTATCCACATCTTTACATGGCTTTCATTCATTGCATGGCACAAAGTAATGAAAAAAAAAAAAGTAGGAGGATAGACATCAAAAAAAAAAAAAAAATTGCAGTGGATTAGATTGGATTGGCTAGAAGAAGCTTTTTTTACGGTGTGTATATATATATATATATATACTGTATATTCATGTTCAGTGTGTGTGTGTGATAACGCGAGCAAATCACACGCCACGCTTACGCTGGGAAGAAAAGGAATAGGGGAAAGGGATGAAGTTATCTGTTTCTTTACACGCAAAACACATGTAGCCCTGTAGCCTGTAACAAGTAAGTAACAGTGTAACAGGTGGCAGTTATTGGTCTGGTTTACATGTCATGGCTATTGTATTGTCTATTGTCCATTGTCTATTGTCTATAGAAGAACAAAGAGTGATTCTTGTTGACATGACATGACATGACACATTACAGCCTCCGAGGAAGGAACTCTTCTTCCCTTACTTACTTTCACTCTTTCTACAGTTACATCTTTTTGTGTGTATATTGTGTATATACCACATTACGAATATGAGGTAGTACTACGAGTTTTAAACAAAACATCTCAATGTGTGTGGAGAGTCCACATGGCTCGTACAAATACAGGATACATGTTTCCATGTTCCATGTTACATGTGCAGCAATCGTTCCTTTAAACATCTTCTCATCCTTACAGCTTTACGAAGGCATGAAACGGCAGTTTGTACAACAAAAAGATGTAGAGGTTTTATACTGTAGAGATATATAAATACACATTACACGTCTTTACTTTTGCATTGGCTTTTTGCATTGCTTACGATAGACAGATAGAGATATCTGCTTCAAGAGCAGTAGTTGTAGCCAGTCAGCTGAGCTGATCAGCCCTTTTTAAGAGTTCCCGATTCTTTCTTGCGCTTGAATTTTGAATTTTGGATTTGAATTTGAACTTTGCCCCTCTGATCAAATGATGAACCCATTATCTGTCTCTTCTTCTACGCACACACATACACATTCAAAAGCATTACAAGTCAATGCGAAAGAAAGGAAAAAAAAAAAAAAAAAAAAAAAAGGCCAAAGATAGAAAGATAAAGAAAAAAAAAAAGAAGGAAAAGAAAAAAAAAAAAAGGCTCGTGCAAAAGAAAAAAAAAGACACGTAGAAAGAGACTAAAGGTGAGCATTAGAACCAATCAAAAGACAAAAGGGGGATTCAAGCAAGTTCCAAAAGGACCTTGACCATCATGAAAAAGCCCTTTTCTTCTTCTTCACTAATGATCATAATTTTCATTTATATTCTAGTCAACGTCAGTGAGGTGTAATGCAAGAAGAAGAAAAAAAGATCCTGTACGACCTTACAATGCATGCTCCATGAATTTCTTTCTACCACATGTCTTAGGAGCGTTAGGGTTCCTTGTTCTGTTTTTCATTTCCTCAAATGAAAAAAAACAAAGGATTCACGTAAAGTCGCATGGTGGTGGTGTGTGCTTTCAAGAGCCCTCGTTTTTTTTTTTTTATCTTTTTATCTTTTTTGTTTGCATCATATACTCGTATTCGGATCCAAGGCCATCTCAACCACAACCTTCCTTTTTTTTTTTTTTAAAGTACTGCATCAAGATCTGTATCAATCTGCATGGTGCAGATGTTCGTTCGTTCATTCCATAGTACCAATAACATCACCGTTTCCCCTGAGAGAATACAGTCTATTAAACAAAAACTAGGCCAATCCATCTATCGCTCTCCACACACTCTTACACATATTCAAACCATAAAAATTATAGACATTAAAAAAAAAACACACATTCAACACATGCAAAATAGAAAATGCTCATATAAAAAAAAAAAACCACTTCATATGAATGAACCTATCCTGCCAATTTCCATTAATCTTTTTTTTTTTTTTTTTTTTTTTCTGATCTACCTTTTTCTGTGGCTATTATGGACTGACGATTATGGACTGACTATTTGATTTTTTTGTGCAGTAAGAAAAAAAATTAACACGGATTTTTGATTTCATTACTTTTCTTTTCTTTCCGTCTACCGCCTGGAAAATTCTTCCCAAAAACGTATTAATGTTCGAACGATTTTTTTTTACAAGGAAACACGGAAACACGGAAACATGGAAACACGGAAACACGGAAACGCACAAGCATACAAATATATTTGTCTATACATACACATTTACACCAAAGGAAATTATGAGCACTTCTGGGAGAAAAAAAAGTCATACCCGCGACCACACCACACACAAACTTGCACTTGTAAAAAAAAAAAAAAAAACCTCCCCCCCCGTCAAATGCGTTCAAAGTTGAACCCGCTTTTACCCGCCAGGTCGCGGGATCCTTATGAGTCCCTGATTCAGTGGTTCCCAACTTTGAACGTAATTTTTTTTTTTTATTTATTTTTTATTTATTTTTTATTATTTTTTTATTTTTTATTTTTTATTTTTTATTTTTTATTTTTTCCTATATTTGTTGTGATGCTAGGGAGGACAAAGGAAAGCGCGATTGAGCATTGTTTTTCTAAATAGTTTTTGATATCAAAACAAGTTTCTCCATCAAGCAAGCAAGCAAGCAAGCAAGCAGAAAAAAAAAAAAAAAAAAAGCATTGAACATTGGAGTCTGGTCTTCCAGTCCGTAAGTTAGAATGGCCATGTTTCAAGCGCTCTGAATTTTTTTTTTTTTTTTTTTTTTTTCTTTTTTCTTTCTTTCTTTCTGTCAAGATGACATGTAAAAAAATAAAAATAAAAATAAAAATAAAAATAAAATAAAAGAATAAAAGAAAGTGTGGCAAAGAATGAAAAAAAAAAAAAAAAAAAAAAAAAAGAAAGGAGTTATAGTCTCAAAATGCATAAAGAACGATTCTCCAACGGTCTTTATTTTATTTTATTTTTTTTACCGTTGGTCAGTGTGAGAATATATTGAACAAGAACCTCCTTTGATGATACAACTAATAAACTATATTATATATAATGCAATAATGCAATGATGCAAGTCTTTAAAACGTTGTAAGAAGAAAGCTCGTTCCTGAGAAAACGCATCATCCATTACACGTAAAACAAATTAAATCATGTTATTTAGACCCTTTTAATTATATTATTATTATTATTATTATTATTGTTTTCTAATTGACGCAAACTAGTCGCGTCTTTCGCGTTTTTTTTTTTTTTTTTTTTTTTTTTTGGTGACTGTGCCAATAGAGAACCCAATTGCTCCACTTGACCAAAAGCCAAAAAGGGGGAAAATAAAAAGACATGCAATCCATACACACACACACATACATATTCCAACATGCATGTTCTCAACACTCTAGAGATCCTTCATGAGAACCCTTACACAGGTGACAAGATCACAAAGGCAAGCATCGTCCAAATCGAGCCTTCTCTCTTGTCAAATGCACACAATCGGTCAAAGGAGCAGAAATGTAGTCAGGAATCTGGCAACCACAATCATAATAATGTGACTGAAACTACCACTACTGAATCAGAGGGTATCAGAGCCCTCAAAAGAGACAACAACATTAAAGCGGCTCCGGTAGAGGGAGGCTCTCAAGGGGCGCTAGCATCTTCCCCTTCACCTCCACCTCCACCTTCACCTTCACCTCCTTCTCTGCCCCAGCTTGTAGCTATCAAATTTTTGAGCGATTACAGGACCATTCATCCTAAGCGAGATAAAGATCGTGATGGGCTAGGAAGCAGTGCAAGCGAAGAATGGGATAGTGATGATGAGAGCAATTGCGAAGATCCCTTTGACGGAGATTACAGCCATTTACAAACCCCAAAGAGCTGTGAGTCAAGGCAACAGCAACAGAGACAGTGGCCTTTTGTTGGAGAGTCAACTCTTCCTCCGGGAATTAAGTTTGGCATCAAAGCAAAGCGCGAAATCCGGGCCCTTCGTGCTGCTCAAGGACACCCTAGTGTGATTCCATTCCTTGGCTTCACAGGCTTACCTATCCAAAACCCATTCAAGCCTTCAAAGACCTCAAAGAGTAAATACAATAACAACGACAACGACAACGATAATGACGCTTTCTCAGCTCAAGAATCATACCAAGGTGGCCCACTCTCAATTCCAGCGGCCCTTTCCCCTCCTTCTGTCGCACAGGAAATGTCTAGTATCACCAATAACAAATATGACAACGTGGATCTTGTGAATAAAGGCCTCGGTGCATCGTTATTTGGACAAGCTCCATTGGGCAGGAGTTTGTTTCAGGAGCAAGGAAATGATCTCCTCTCCTCTCCGGGACAGGTTCAATCAATGACTCCGAGTGGGCTTTTCCCACCATTCCGAAATTCTGGTTTCAATAGCGATTATGATTCGGACATATACTCCTCGGATGATGATCATGACTATGACAACATTAAGACCGGGAACACCGACCCTAATACTCTTTCCAGAAATGATGGTGTTGCTGCTGCTCAAAAACGCTGGAATAGACTATTCACACGCCAACCTAGGATGGGTGGTCTTCTCTTACCATATCTGCCTATTACCATGGAGGACTTGATCCAAATCGGTTGGACAAAGTCAAGGCCTTTGCTCGTTGAGACATGCATGCGACAGATCCTGGAGGGTTTGGCTTGGGTCCATGATGAGGCAGGGTTAATTCATCGGGACATCTCAGCTTCTAATATCATGGTGGCTATTCACCCGACAGACAACAACATCAACAAATATGAAGGAGAGCAGGCTCTACAGGGCTCTGAGGTCGGTATCATCCAATGCTTGATTTCTGATTTTGGATGCGCCACATTTCAGAACCCTAAAGAGACCATGGGTAAAGACAGAGAAGAACCATTTGATAATCAACAAGAATGTCGTCGTCATCAAGAGAAGGAGAACATAGAATATGATCAACAAAGGTTGACCTTCGAAGTTGGGACTAGGTATGCACAAAATCTATTCATAATCAATCATATTATCAACCATGTTGGTTTTGGGTGTGGAAGCTCTGCTGCTTACATATATATATATATATATGTTTTGATAACTCAATATGTCCTTTTTTTTTAAACTCAAAAGAGCTTACCGCGCCCCAGAGCTCTTGTTCTCATCGGAAAATTACACCAACACGATCGACATTTGGTCCGCCGGTGTTTTATTTGCGGGAATGTTTCTTGGAAGGAGACTTTTTGAAGCAGAGTCCGATATTGGTCAAGTCTGCGCCATTGTAAAGGTGCTTGGGACTCCCACGGAAGAGAACTGGCCGGTAAGGGTTTTTATCGCTTCTTCCTTATTATTACTTTAACTCCTTTTCTTTCCTTTTCCTTTTCCTTTTTCCTTTTTCCTTTTTCCTAATCTGTCGGAAGAATGATTAGAAATGTTTCTAAAACGACAGACATACATCCTTGGGGGTTGTTTATAATGCTGTTTTACAATCTTATGTTGATAGGAATATCCCACCATGCCGGACTATGGGAAATTAATGTTCCAAGCCTTGGAGACAAACCCATTGTCGAGCATATTATTGCCCACCGGACCGACCTCGGAGGCCCCTCAACATAAAGACAGCAGTAGCTCTCACAACTATCTTGATAAAGAAGGAGTCAGTGTAGCGAAATGTTCATCATCCCCTGCAACTATTTCTGATACAGCATTTAAATTGATAGAGAGTATGATCACCTACTCTGGCTCAGCACGTCCGTCTGCTCGACGAGCTCTTGCATTCAAGGATCATTATTTGGAGAGAACTAAACAACTGGAACCGGGTCATGAGCGTCAAAGTGCTCATGGAGATCAAATGGAGCAAACAAAGATGCGTAAGGACTTTCTGGAACAGTGTATTATCCACGAGCAAACAATTTTGGAAGAGATGCAGAGATTACGAGCACGTCAAGCAGAAGAAGAAGAAGAAGAGGGAGGGTATGATGGCTTCATGTTCGGTGGCCCAAGAAGGCCTCCTGAGCGACCCAGTGATGATGAAGCTGGGTCTGAAGGAGAAGGAGAAGAAGAAGGAGGAGGGGATGGATATCGTTCAGATGATTTGTCAGGTGAAGCGGTGGCTGGATTGAGGCAACAGGGTGAAATACGCCATTTAATGCCTGGGTTTGAGGTAGAAGGCGCATATGGATTCGAAGAATATAGCGGAGATTCAGCTGCACTGACTACAGCAGGCTCACCGAGGTCAATTAAGCGGCACCGTGCCTCAAGTGGAGAAGAATAGTCTCAACTTTTGTCTATACCTTTTTTTTTTTTTTTTTTTTTAAGATTTATAAGATCATATATTGTATATATACCTTTGATGCACTTTTTTTTTTTTTTTTTTTTTTCTAATGATAAATATATATAGTTTTTATCGGTGACTTTGGATTCCATCTCTATAATAAAATTTAAAAAGTCGCCCCCCATGGTTCGTGCGCGACATGCTGGTTTTTGAAATTATGTGCAATCGGTCTCTAGAAGCTAATTTTAGCTCTCCAATAGCCTTGAATACACTGTTTGTAGTTGGGATGTTGCAGAGTTGCCCATGCTACCTCAGAGATATCGAAGCCTTCCCATTGGACCAGAAACCCCATGCCATCATTTCCTCTGCGATGGTTTAAAATCCTAGCAACCTCGTATCCCTCCTGCGCTATCTCTGCCATAGCCTCATCTGCAGTGTTTAATACGTTAGACTGCAAACTAGCTACAGATAGGTATGCCTCTTGTAGCTTCAGCAGATTCCGACCATGATTTAGTTTGACTTTGATGCTGGAGAGCTTCCCATTAGCAACCTTGATAACCATTGCTGTCTGAAAAGTCAAACGCATCTTGTATCCAGAATGTGTGGTGCGTCTGAGTGGCGATATTATGGATTGACACGGCTCTCTTGATATTCATAAGCAGGCAACAAAGCTTGAATCGAAGATCAAACATCTTTGCGTCTGAGAGACGGAAGGGAGCGTCATGTGTGAGCTTGAAGAACGTGGATTACATGTCTCCAAAGCACCCTTCAATGCTTGACCGAAATCCACCAAACGCTTTATTGTAATGTAACTCTTGGTCTGTCATGGCGATCCCTCTTGTCTTACGCACAGGATAAGAGAAGTTCTCGTAGCGACATTAGCAAACAGTGGGTGTATTGTCCTTGGCTTCCTTGGTGGCATAAATGTAGGGATATGGTGCGCCTATACTAGATACTAGAGTATACTGGTACACTAGTCGTAGAATCCATGTTGAGCGCCAGGAATGGGAATGAGAAATGAGGGAAGGCTAATGGTTTATTTGATGATCAGGTGAATCTCTCATTTTATTTTTGAACGCGCTTTCAGTTTCTGAAACTCAATTTCGCAGTCGGCACAAATTCCAGTTTTTTTTTTTTTTTTTTTTTTTTTTTTTTTTTTTTTTCATTCCATCGACATTTCTTTGCAAAATGGTCAACCTTACATTAAATCCCTTCGAGATTCCAGAAATCTTCTTACATATTGCCGAGCTGCTCGACCAAAGGGACCTTCTAAACTGTATCCGCGTCTCCAAGGCTTTTCATAGGACTTTTATCAGTCTCATATGGAGGAAAATCACTGTCGGACCGCAAGGAGATCCTAACAGTAAAGCAGTACAGAAGCATAACGAATACATTGAAGAGATTACATTTGAAAGCTATAACTTTAACGATTCATTCCCAGAGAAGTATGAGTCGTTACAGAGGCTTCAGTCCATCGCATACACATTCTGGTGTTCATGGCCCATACCAACCCACCTTATCAAACAGATCAAGGCCCACAGCTCCATCATCACTAGCTTTCATGTGACCGAATATACCGAGTATCCGCCAGATTTCTGGAAGATTTTACTAGAATGCACCAACCTCAACCACTTGCAGATTCACAAAGACATTGATGTTGGGGTCGACTTATTCCTACAAGTCTGCAAGAGACTTCGGCACTTGGAACTGGACCATGTAACCATTCATCAGTTCCCTATCAACATTCTTAGTAGAGAGCACAGTGAATATATTTTCCCAAACATACACACACTCCGTATTGACCATGTCAGGATAACCGACCCCCCGCATCCGTACAGCAGCTGGTATTGCCTCGGGATGTTAGTAAGGAGCTGTCCAGCATTGTGTTCATTGCGCTTTGAGGGCGAGAACGAAGATAGAGAAGACTTCTACAAGATAGCGGTCCTTCAGCATCCTTGGACTCTGAATAATCTGTCAGATATACATACCGATATCACAATCGAGGACGAGCATTTGGCAGCGCTTCTCAGACGGATGACTAAATTAAAGCAGCTATGCCTCCCTGCGTGTAAATTCGGTCAGCTCTCTTTGCAGGAGTTGCTAGCTGACAAGCAAGAAGTGGTAGATAATGGACAACTAGTACGAAAGACAAGGCTTCTGAGGCTCTGTGAGACAGTTGAGACGCTGGTATTCGTGATAAATAACGGTATTGGTGGCCAGACTATTTTATCAAAATGTCCACGACTGAAAATACTGGATGGATCTGTAATTACAGTATCAGAGATTGTCAATGGAGCAGAATGGGTTTGTACTGGATTGACCCACTTGGATATTTATCTTGAGGCAGACATTGATCAAGAGACTGAAGAAGGAATGGCAAAGGCACGCATTGCGTTTAGACAGCTTGGCAAGTTATCCTGGCTTGAATATCTTGACCTAACACATGATAGAGGTAAACGGACACTGGACTTTAGTCTAAGAGCAGGTCTGGATGAACTAGCTAATCTGAAGAGACTAGATACGCTATGGTTTGGATATGATCGCCAGCTAGTACCGCTTGAAGATGCGACATGGATGGTGAACAACTGGCCAAACATTAAATACGTGCAAGGTGCCCCGAAAGGGTTCTTTGAATCACATAGCGTATCCAATTTCTGATAGATTATAAAGGAATAGGAGAGCATTGTCATTATCATATCTGATATAAAGACAGAGATCTTACACATGAACCTTTTAGTGCATATCTACTTCCTGATAGTTGCCATACGATCTAAATGATAAGGATGATAAGAACCACCACAGTAATGAAAATATGTATAAAGCATTACCATTGCAGAAACTATCCAAAAATGGGGGAATAATTCCAAACTTGTAAAAATGAGGTTTTTCTTTATTTTTATTTTTTAAAGCTGCTCAACAAGTTGTGCGGCAAATCAAGAGATGGTTTAGCTGGAGGGATAGCTGAATCTCGCCTTCGTTTGATCCCTATTTGTTCTTTGCTTCACTGTTACTTGCAAAACAGGCGAATACTGGACAAAGAGTTAAATGCAGCTGTACAAATAAAAGTTCGCGTCAGCTATCAGCTATTACGTTGATGAGCTGTGGATGACCGAACCAAAGGAGCGCTATTGACAATGAATGACAGTATTTTACCAGTCACAGGAAAGGACAAAACCTAGCCAATCAAATGGAGATGGTGGCGAATCGTCAAGCACAAATTGATGGTATTTGCCACCATGTGTGAAAAGTATTAAAAGGGTTCTGAATTTAAGTGTCTATCTTTATCCATGATCACACTCCATCGACATCTCTTTGCAACATGGACAACCTTAAGCTAAACCCCTTACAGATCCCAGAAATCCTCTTACTCATTGCCGAGCTGCTCAACAAAAGGGACCTTCTGAACTGTATCCGCGTCTCCAAGGCTTTTCATAAAACTCTTATCAGCCTCATATGGAAGAAAATCACTGTCGGACAGGTAGGAGAACCAGGCAGCAAAGCAATACAGAAGCATAACGAATACATCGAAGAAATTACATTTGACGGCTACGGGTTTAATGACTCATTCCCAGAGAAGTATGAGTCGCTACAGAGGCTTCAGTCCATCACATACAAAGGGTGGTGTTCATGGCCCAAACCGATCCACGCCATCAATCAGATCAAGGCCCACAGCTCCATCATCACTAGCCTTTGCTTGAACGAATGTATTAAGTTTTCGTGTTCGTCAGAGCTCTGGGAGGCTTTATTGGAATGCATCAATCTCAGGCACTTGGAGGTTTATGACAAAGCTATTGATGTTGGAGCCGACCTATTCCTTCAAGTATGCAAGAGACTTGATCACTTGAAATTGTACGAAGTATCCATCCAGCTACCTATCAACTTCTTTAGTAATGAGGACAGCGAGTATATTTTCCCAAACATACGCACACTGCGTATTTCGCATGTCCGAATAACCAACCCTCCGCATCCGTACAGCAAGTGGTATTGCCTCGGGATGTTAGTAAGGAATTGTCGAGCATTGCGTTCATTGCACATTGAGAGCTGGGACGAAAAAGATCAGTCAGACTACAGGGCATTCCTTCAGCACCCTTGGGCTCTGAATAACTTGTCAGATCTATGGTTCCGTGGGATGATAATAGAAGACAAGGATATGGCGGCAATTCTCAGACGGATGACAGGATTAAGGCAGTTAGGCCTCCCTTATGCTATATTCGATCAGCTCTCTTTGCAAGAGTTGCTAGCTGACAAGCAAGAAGTGATGGATAATGGACAGCTAGTACGAAAGACAAGGCTTCTGAGGCTCTGTGAGACAGTTGAGACGTTAGTGTTCCATGCAGTGAGCGGAGAGAACAGCAGTATTATTCAGGCTATTTTATCAAATTGTCCACGATTGAAAACACTAGAAGGATCTAAAACTACAGTATCAGAGATTGTCGATGGAGCAGAATGGGTTTGTGCTGGATTGACTCACTTGGATATTTATCTTGAGGCAGACATTGATCAAGAAACTGAAGAAGGCATGGCAAAGGCACGCATTGCGTTTAAGCAGCTTGGCAAGCTGACTCAGCTAGAATATCTTAGCCTAACACGGTGCTTTCTGAATCCTCCTAGTAGGACACTGGACATGAGATTAAGAGCAGGTCTGGATGAACTAGCCAATCTGAAGAGACTACATACACTAAGTTTCCTAAATGTTGACCAGCAGCGGATGCAACTTGAGGATACGACATGGATGGTGAACAACTGGCCAAATATTAAATACTTGGTTCTTGAAGTCGCATAATATAGTTTTAAATAAATGAGAGCAATGACACATATAGCCTGGTATGGAGAACAAGCGCCATAGCCATAAGGCTTCGAAGGCCTACCACTGATGATTAGGACACCTTCGTGATAATGGTGACAAAGTAAAAAAAAAAAAAAAACGTTACATTTTGGCTACAATAGTGCCTGCTTTTTGCATCCCATGGAGCTTTTTACACAATGCATTTGTCAAGTCTATTTAAAAGCGCTCTTCTAAAAGAGTTTTTCAAGCATTGTTTATGAGTGGGCTAGGGTCTTGTTAGAGCTAATGAGCGTGTGGGGAAGATGGGCTGTTTTGTGGCCCATATGGGCATACTCGACTCCTGGATCTATAGAGAGTTTCCATACGAAAATTCTCAAATGGACAACGCCGCATTGTGGTTTCTCCCTGATGGAATCCAACACTATAGAGCTTTCGTCATTATTAGAAGCTCTGTACAGCATGCGCGTCGGAAGTGCCTGGTAAACTGACAAAATACCCAGCAGGAATATTTGTCAAATGTTGAGACTCTCACTTTTCTTTTCTTTTCTTTTCTTTTTTTTTTTTTTTTTTTTTTTTTCGGAGGTAATTATGTAAGCCATAATTCAAAACTCAAGAGAATGTTTTGCATGGATTTATTATGTCTGCATCGTATATCACCAACTAGGGTCCTATTGCAGTCTTAAAAAAAAAAAAAAAGTTGTGTGAGTTCGTGGTTGTTCTTTATTCATTTACTTAATCTCCAAAGGAGACAAAATTGCCACGTTTTTTTTTATTATTTACAATGTCATTGGACAGTGGGGTTTCTCGCGCGTAACTTTGTTTAAAGTTACAGGAACATTGTCAAAAATGCGATTAACATTTGGCGATGACGACTTGTAACGTTGAATAAAAAAAAAAACGAGACACTTTTTTTATGAAAAAGAAAACCTAATTTGTAAAGTTTCTCTAATATCCTTTAATGACAAGGAACAGCTCTGGAGACAACCTCTTAATTGACAATAGGATGAGTTTCTGGGATGTGACATAGTAGACTAACATGACTAGAAACCGAAAGCGTCATAGGAGCTCTTTTTTTTTGATTTTGATTTGGTGGCTAATTATTTCTTCCCCCCACATCCATCTCCCACAAACTTGTCCGTCAACTTGACATTTGACCTTCTATCTTTGAATCTCGGAGGTAGCAGGTTGACATGAAAAGATAAGAGAGGTTTTTTTCTTTTCTTTTTTTTTTTTTTATTTTTTTTTATTGGCCAACAAGGGCCTGCATCATTGTCTAGGACATACACACTCAGAAAATAGCTACAGAATATATCACATTACCTAGGAATGACCCCGTTACTCTCTCACTCCAACGTATGTACTCATGTTTCTTCAAAGAGTGCATCAAGACAAACGAATGGAAAGATCCAGCCTAGATTTCTTGCTTCCTCTGTCGGTCGATAGGAATCAAGTCAAAACTCTCTTCTCTGCAGCATAATCCACGCCTAGTTTTTTTTTTGTAACATTTCCCAGATGTAAGAGTTTACAAGCTTCCAAGTGGCAAAATATATCTAAAGGACATATTGCAAGCTAGCTTATATTCACCAACTATTTGACCTGTGCTTCTAGTTCAAAGGATGACTCACAAAGCGGCCAGAGGTCCTAGCTACGGCATTGAGGACAGCAGAAAAAGAGGGATTCGATGCCTCCCAACTACCAGATTGGCTCACATAGGAAGGAGATCATTGCAACTTTGGAGGCAATCAAATGTCAGTGGGGGCTCATATGAATTTGCTGTTACCAGGATTTGGGTTCTTGGAGATATCTTTTATGCACTATCAAAAGACATCAGTCCATGTCACATTGATGATGTGGTATGAATCGGTATCTCTGTCTTTGCTGACGACTATCCCTGCCATCCTTGACAACTTCGACATCTTCAGCCACTTGCACTTCGACTTCAGAACCAATGTACATTGATCCAATGCTTATGCTTGAGAGTTCAAAGAGGTTTTGGGGAAATTCTAGTAGTTCCCTTCAGTATTATTGTCTAAAAGCCAGACAGTTTCCATACTACACTTTATAATATTTCTCCATCTTTTTCCTTTTTACTCAAAAACATAATTTCTTATCCTTTTGAGGAAGATGTATTTTCAATTATGATTGACACCCTGAGAGACGCAGTTACATGCACGTTTAGAGTTGGAAAGAGTGCGCAGTAGTTTCTGAAACTCAATTTCTCTGTCGACACAAATTCCGGCCACATCGTCGTCTTTTTTTTTTTTTTTTTTTTTTTTTTTTATCGCTCCATCTCTCGCAGCATGGACAACCTTAAGCTGAATCCCTTCGAGATCCCGGAAATCTTCTTACACATTGCCGAGCTGCTCGAGCAAAGAGACTTCTAAACTGTATCCACGTCTCCAAGGCTTTTCATAGAACTCTTATCGGACTCACTTGGAGGATAATCACAATCGGACAGGGAGGAGAACCTGACAGCAAAGCAGTGCATAAGCATAACGAATACATTGAAGAAATTACATTTGAAAGCTACAAGTTTAATAACTCATTTCCAGAGAGGCATGAGTCGTTACAGAGGCTTCAGTCCATCGCATACACATGGTGGTGTTCATGGCCCACACCAACCCGCCTTATCAATCAGATCAAGGCCCACAGCTCCATCATCACTAGCTTTCATGCAACCGAATGTATTGAGTATCCGCCAGAGCTCTGGAAGGTTTTGTTAGAATGCACCAACCTCAACCACTTGAATATTAATCGCAAAGATGTCGATGTTGGAGTTGACTTATTCCTACAAGTCTACTAGGAACTTCGGCACTTGGAATTGGACCATGTAACCATTCACCAGCTCCCTGTCAATATTCTTAGTACAGAGCACAGTGAATATATTTTCTCAAATAAACACACACTCCGTATTGACCATGTCAGGATAGCCGACCTTCTGCATTCGTACAGCGACTGGTATTGCCTCGGGATGTAAGCAAGGAGCTGCCCAGCATTGTGTTCACTGGACATTAAGGGTCACAGCCGAGATGAAGGAGACTTCTACAAGGTAGCGCTCCTTCAGCATCCTTGGACTCTGAATAATCTGTCAGACCTACGTGCCTATATCACAATCGAGGGCGAGGATATAGCAACGCTTCTTAGACGGATGAGTGAACTAAAATGGCTATGCCTCCCTAAGTGTAAATTCGGTCAGCTCTCTTTGCAGGAGTTGCTAGCTGACAAGCAAGAAGTGATGGATAATGGACAACTAGTACGAAAGACAAGGCTTTGGAGGCTTTGTGAGACAGTTGAGACGCTGGTATTCGTGATAAATAGCGGTATTGGTGGCCAGACTATTTTATCAAAATGCCCACGACTGAAAATACTGGATGGATTTGTAATTACAGTATCAGAGATTGTCGATGGAACAGAATGGGTTTGTACTAGGTTAACTCGCTTGAATATCTATCTTGAGGCAGATATTGATCAGGAGACTGAGGGAGGGATGGCAAAGGCACGTATTGCGTTTAGACAACTAGGTAAACTGACTCGGCTTGAAAGTCTTGACCTAACAGGATGGGACCCAAGGAGTCTAGATAGACGGAGACTGGACATGAGATTAAGAGCAGGTCTGGATGAACTAGCCAATCTGAAGAGACTAAATTGGCTAAGCTTCAGATTTGATCGCTGCCAGCGAATATAGCTTGAGGATGCGACATGGATGATGAACAACAGGCCAAAGATCAGAGGTGTGGGTGGTGTTCTGAACGGTGAGGAAGAGACAGCTGCTTTGCTGAAAGGGCTCCTTAAATCACATAACATATCCAATAGAAGATAGAATATAGAGGAAAGTATTACCAGGTCATACCCTGATATAGAGACAGAGATCTTATACATAGATCTTATAGTGCACATCTACTTCCTGATAACTGTAACGAGTAGTGCAGCAACTTGGTTTTCTGCAAAGAAATGACATGATGGTTTAGCTGAAGAGGTAGCTGAATCTCGCCTCTGTTTGATTTCTCCTTTTTCTCTTATACAATTCTTTTCACAGCGTTGAGGTAGAGTATATGTAATGCTTACTGGAATTCAATCTCACTTTTGACCTACAGTCCACGCTTGATTTAATGAAAAAATAATAGCCGCACATTTATTTGGCAGCCTCCTTAAGTGAAATGTCATAGCTGTGAAAGATTCAAAGAGTGGCACCTTGTCCCTCTCCTTTTAGGCTGCACTTTGGATAGTTTCTGCAACGGTAATGCCTTGGATCTATATATTTTTACTGCTGTGGTGGCTCTTATCATTATTTAGATCGAATAGCAGCTATCAGGATATATGTATGCACTAAAAGGTCCATGTGTAAGATCTCTGTCTCTATATCAAGGTATAATGTGATAACGCCCTCCTATTCTTCTATTATCTATCAGTATATCAGTAAATGCATATGTCATGCGATTCAAAGAACTCTTCCAGCAAAGCAGCTGCATCTTCCTCGCCGTTCAGAACACCATGCACGCCTCTAATCCTTGGCCAATTGTTCACCATCCATGTCGCATCCTCAAGCTGCATTCGCTGCTGATCATCACCTTCAACCTTTAGCGTTTCTAGTCTCTTCAGATTGGCTAGTTCATTCAGGCCCGTTCGTAGTCTCAAATCCAGTGTCCGTCCGCCTCTATACTTTGAGTACAATGTTAGGTCAAGATATTCTAGTCGGATCAGCTTGCCAAGCTGCTTAAACGCAATACGTGTCTTTGCCATCCCTTCTTCAGTCTCTTCATCAATATCTGCCTCAAGAGTGATACTCAAGCGAGTCAATCCACTACAAACCCATTCTGCTCCATTGACAATCTCTGATACTGTAGTTTTAGGTCCTTCTAGTCTTTTCAGCCGTGGACAATTTGATAAAATAGCCTGAGCAACACTGCTATCTCCACCGAGCACTAACGTCTCAACTGTCTCACAGAGCCTCCAAAGCCTTGTCTTCTGTACTAGCTGTCCATTATTCATCACTTCTTGCCTGTTAGCTAGCAACTCCTGCAAAGAGAGCTGATCGAATCTACCATAAGGGAGGTCTAACTGCCTTAATCCTGTCATCCGTCCAAGAATTGCCGCCATATCCTTGTCTTCTATTATCTCACAGGAACATAGATCTGACAAGTTATTCAGAGCCCAAGGGTGCTGAAGGAATACCCTGTAGAAGTCTGACTGATCTTCTTCGTCCCAGCTCTCAATGTCCAATGAACGCAATGCTCGACAATTCCTTACTAACATCCCGAGGCAATACCAGCTGCTGTACGGATGCGGAGGGTTGGTTATCCTGAGATCCGAAATACACAGTGTGTGTATGTTTGGGAAAATATACTCGCTGTCCTCATTACTAAAGAAGTTGATAGGTAGCTGGATGGACACATCTTCCAATTTCAAGTGCTCAAGTTTCTTGCATACTTGAAGGAATAGGTCGGCTCCAACATCAATAACTTTGTCATAAACCTCCAAGTGCCTGAGATTGATGCATTCCAATAAAGCCAGCCAGAGCTCTGACGAACACGAAAACTTAATATTTTCGTTCAAGCAAAGGCTAGTGATGATGGAGCTATAAGCCTTGATATGGTTGAAAAGGTGAATTGGTTTTGGTTTGGGCCAATTACATCCTCTCCCAAATACGATAGACTTGAGTCCCTGCAGTGATCCATACTTCTTTGGGAAAGAAGCCTTAAAGGTGTAAGACTCAAATGTTATCTCTTCAATGTATTCCTTGTGCTTCTGTACTGCTTTACTATTAGGATCTCCTTGCCGTCTGACAGTGATTTTCCTCCATATGAGGCTGATAAGAGTTTTATGAAAAGCCTTGGAGACGCAGATACAGTTTAGAAGGTCGCTTCGCTCGAGCAGCTCAGCAATGAGTAAGAGGATTTCTGGAATCTGTAAGGGATTCAGCTTAAGGTTGTCCATGTTGCGAAGAAACAAAGTCGATGGAGTGAGAAAAACAAATGTGGCTGGATTTTACAGTCCACGCTTGATTTCAAGACAAATCTATCCTATCCAAAAAGCGCGAAATAAATCGTCACTAAAATAATTAGCAACCTCCCTAAAAGTGAAGGGACAAATCTTTCACATTTATGACATTTCCCTTAAGGAGGCTGCCAAATAAATGTGCGGCTATTATTTTTTCAAATTGGATAGAATACTGTATTCATTTCTACGCTTGATTTTAAGTCAGGTTTATACGTCAAAAGCGAGATTGAATTCCACTAACCATTGCATCTACTTTATCTCAACGTTGTGAAAAGAATCGTTTAAGAGAAAGGAGCAATAGCAAGAAAAAGAAGAAGGACGAATCAAACAAAGACGAGATTCAGTTATCCCTTCATCTAAACCTACAGTAGATCAAGTTGCTGCACTACTCGTTGGGCAGCAAAATAAAGGCCCTATTTTGAGACAAACCCATGCTGCGCATAGGCTATCCAAGTTGGGGAGATGTTCTCCACTTTTGGATAGTTTCTGCAATGGCAATGCTTTGCGCATATGTTCATTACTGTGGCGACTCTTATCACCTTCATTATCATTTAGGTCGAATAACAGTTATCAGGAAGTAGATGTGCACTATAAGATCTATGTATAAGATCTCTGTCTCTATACCAGGGTATGACCTGATCATACTTTCCTTTATATTTATTGTCTATTGGATATACTATGCGATTCAAAGAACTCTTTCAGCAAAGCAGCTGTCTCTTCCTCACCGTTCAGAACACCACCCACACCTCTGATCTTTGGCCTGTTGTTCATCATCCATGTCGCATCCTCAAGCTATATTCGCTGGCAGCGATCAAATCTGAAGCTTAGCCAATTTAGTCTCTTCAGATTGGCTAGTTCATCCAGACCTGCTCTTAATCTCATGTCCAGTCTCCGTCTATCTAGACTCCTTGGGTCCCATCCTGTTAGGTCAAGACTTTCAAGCCGAGTCAGTTTACCTAGTTGTCTAAACGCAATACGTGCCTTTGCCATCCCTCCCTCAGTCTCCTGATCAATATCTGCCTCAAGATAGATATTCAAGCGAGTTAACCTAGTACAAACCCATTCTGTTCCATCGACAATCTCTGATACTGTAATTACAAATCCATCCAGTATTTTCAGTCGTGGGCATTTTGATAAAATAGTCTGGCCACCAATACCGCTATTTATCACGAATACCAGCGTCTCAACTGTCTCACAAAGCCTCCAAAGCCTTGTCTTTCGTACTAGTTGTCCATTATCCATCACTTCTTGCTTGTCAGCTAGCAACTCCTGCAAAGAGAGCTGACCGAATTTACACTTAGGGAGGCATAGCCATTTTAGTTCACTCATCCGTCTAAGAAGCGTTGCTATATCCTCGCCCTCGATTGTGATATAGGCACGTAGGTCTGACAGATTATTCAGAGTCCAAGGATGCTGAAGGAGCGCTACCTTGTAGAAGTCTCCTTCATCTCGGCTGTGACCCTTAATGTCCAGTGAACACAATGCTGGGCAGCTCCTTGCTTACATCCCGAGGCAATACCAGTCGCTGTACGAATGCAGAAGGTCGGCTATCCTGACATGGTCAATACGGAGTGTGTGTTTATTTGAGAAAATATATTCACTGTGCTCTGTACTAAGAATATTGACAGGGAGCTGGTGAATGGTTACATGGTCCAATTCCAAGTGCCGAAGTTCCTAGTAGACTTGTAGGAATAAGTCAACTCCAACATCGACATCTTTGCGATTAATATTCAAGTGGTTGAGGTTGGTGCATTCTAACAAAACCTTCCAGAGCTCTGGCGGATACTCAATACATTCGGTTGCATGAAAGCTAGTGATGATGGAGCTGTGGGCCTTGATCTGATTGATAAGGCGGGTTGGTGTGGGCCATGAACACCACCATGTGTATGCGATGGACTGAAGCCTCTGTAACGACTCATGCCTCTCTGGAAATGAGTTATTAAACTTGTAGCTTTCAAATGTAATTTCTTCAATGTATTCGTTATGCTTATGCACTGCTTTGCTGTCAGGTTCTCCTCCCTGTCCGATTGTGATTATCCTCCAAGTGAGTCCGATAAGAGTTCTATGAAAAGCCTTGGAGACGTGGATACAGTTTAGAAGTCTCTTTGCTCGAGCAGCTCGGCAATGTGTAAGAAGATTTCCGGGATCTCGAAGGGATTCAGCTTAAGGTTGTCCATGCTGCGAGAGATGGAGCGATAAAAAAAAAAAAAAAAAAAAAAAAAAAAGACGACGATGTGGCCGGAATTTGTGTCGACAGAGAAATTGAGTTTCAGAAACTACTGCGCACTCTTTCCAACTCTAAACGTGCATGTAACTGCGTCTCTCAGGGTGTCAATCATAATTGAAAATACATCTTCCTCAAAAGGATAAGAAATTATGTTTTTGAGTAAAAAGGAAAAAGATGGAGAAATATTATAAAGTGTAGTATGGAAACTGTCTGGCTTTTAGACAATAATACTGAAGGGAACTACTAGAATTTCCCCAAAACCTCTTTGAACTCTCAAGCATAAGCATTGGATCAATGTACATTGGTTCTGAAGTCGAAGTGCAAGTGGCTGAAGATGTCGAAGTTGTCAAGGATGGCAGGGATAGTCGTCAGCAAAGACAGAGATACCGATTCATACCACATCATCAATGTGACATGGACTGATGTCTTTTGATAGTGCATAAAAGATATCTCCAAGAACCCAAATCCTGGTAACAGCAAATTCATATGAGCCCCCACTGACATTTGATTGCCTCCAAAGTTGCAATGATCTCCTTCCTATGTGAGCCAATCTGGTAGTTGGGAGGCATCGAATCCCTCTTTTTCTGCTGTCCTCAATGCCGTAGCTAGGACCTCTGGCCGCTTTGTGAGTCATCCTTTGAACTAGAAGCACAGGTCAAATAGTTGGTGAATATAAGCTAGCTTGCAATATGTCCTTTAGATATATTTTGCCACTTGGAAGCTTGTAAACTCTTACATCTGGGAAATGTTACAAAAAAAAAAACTAGGCGTGGATTATGCTGCAGAGAAGAGAGTTTTGACTTGATTCCTATCGACCGACAGAGGAAGCAAGAAATCTAGGCTGGATCTTTCCATTCGTTTGTCTTGATGCACTCTTTGAAGGAACATGAGTACATACGTTGGAGTGAGAGAGTAACGGGATCACTTCTAGGCCATGCGATATACTCTGTAGCTATTTTCTGAGTGTGTATGTCCTAGACAATGATTCAGGTCCTTGTTGGCCAATAAAAAAAAAAAAAGCGCAGCTACACAAGACTAGACTATCATTAGTTCGTTCTAACAAGACCTAGCCCACTCATAAGCAATGCTTAAAAAACTCTTTCCGAAGAGCGCTTTTAAATAGACTTGACGAATGCATTGTTTAAAAAGCTCCATGGGATGCAAAAAGCAGACATCATTGTAGTCAAATGAAACGTTTTTTATTTTTTATTTTTTACTTTTGTCACCATTATCACGAAGGTATCCTAATCATCGGTGGTAGGCCTTCGAAGCCTCATGGCTATGGCTCTTGTTCTCCATACCAGGCTATATGTGACAGTGCTTTTCTATTCTCCAATTTATATTATGCGACTTCAAGAACACTTCCAGCAAGTAAGCTGTCTCTTTCTCATCGTTCAGAGTCCCATATATGTGTTTAAAATTTGGCCAACTGTTCACCATCCATGTCGCATCCTCAAGCTGCATTCGCTGGTGGTCATCTTCAACCTTTAGCGTTTCTAGTCTCTTCAGATTGGCTAGTTCGCCCAGACCTGCTCTTAATCTCATGTCCAGTGTCCGACTAGGAAGATACAGGGAGTTCCGTGTTAGGTCAAGATGTTCTAGCCGAGTCAGCTTGCCAAGCTGCTTAAACGCAATACGTGTCTTTGCCATCCCTTCTTCAGTCTCTTGATCAATACCTACATTAAGATCTATAGCTAGTGTAGTCAATCTAGTGCTAATCCATTCTGCTCCATCGACAATCTCTGATATCGTGGTTCTAGATCCTTTCAGTTCCTTCAGTCGTGGACAACTTGATAAAATAGCATGGGCAACATTGCTATATCTATATATACCAATCACTAACGTCTCAACTGTCTCACAAAGTCTCGGAAGCCTTGTCTTCTGTACTAGCTGTCCATTATTCATCACTTCTTGCCTGTTAGCTAGCAACTCCTGCAAAGAGAACTGATCGAATCTACCATAAGGAACGTCTAACTGCCTTAACCCTATCATCCGTCTGAGAATTGCCGCCATATTCTTGTCGTGTATTATCATCTCACGGAAACATAGATCTGACAAGTTATTCAGAGCCCAAGGGTGCTGAAGGAATACCCTGTAGAAGTCTGACTGATCTTCTTCGTCCCAGCTCTCAATGTCCAATGAACGCAATGCTCGACAATTCCTTACTAACATCCCGAGGCAATACCAGCTGCTGTACGGATGCGGAGGGTTGGTTATCCTGAGATCCGAAATACACAGTGTGTGTATGTTTGGGAAAATATACTCGCTGTCCTCATTACTAAAGAAGTTGATAGGTAGCTGGATGGACACATCTTCCAATTTCAAGTGCTCAAGTTTCTTGCATACTTGAAGGAATAGGTCGGCTCCAACATCAATAACTTTGTCATAAACCTCCAAGTGCCTGAGATTGATGCATTCCAATAAAGCCAGCCAGAGCTCTGACGAACACGAAAACTTAATATTTTCGTTCAAGCAAAGGCTAGTGATGATGGAGCTATAAGCCTTGATATGGTTGAAAAGGCGGATTGGTTTGGAGCATTTACATTCATCTCCAAATACGATGGACTTGAGTCCCTGCAGTGATCCATACTTCTTTGGGAAAGAAGCCTTAAAGGTGTAAGACTCAAATGTTATCTCTTCAATGTATTCCTTGTGCTTCTGTACTGCTTTACTATTAGGATCTCCTTGCCGTCTGACAGTGATTTTCCTCCATATGAGGCTGATAAGAGTTTTATGAAAAGCCTTGGAGACGCAGATACAGTTTAGAAGGTCGCTTCGCTCGAGCAGCTCAGCAATGAGTAAGAGGATTTCTGGAATCTGTAAGGGATTCAGCTTAAGGTTGTCCATATTGCGAAGAAACAAAGTCGATGGAGTGAGAAAAACAAATGTGGCTGGATTTTACAGTCCACGCTTGATTTCACTCATTGATATAATTTGCATCCTGCTGTACAGAATGCTTTGTATGAAATGGGCTTTGTTTTATTTTTTATGGCTGCCCAACGAGCTGTGGTTTGTTGCAGATGAGGGAGGGTTATGATGTGTTCCTGGAATTCAATTTCACTGTTCACGCAGAATCCAGTCACTTTTTTTTTTTTTTTTTTTTTTTATTTTCCTCACTCCATCGACTTTGTTTCTTCGCAACATGGACAACCTTAAGCTGAATCCCTTACAGATTCCAGAAATCCTCTTACTCATTGCCGAGCTGCTCAACAAAAGAGACCTTCTGAACTGTATCCGCGTCTCCAAGGCTTTTCATAAAACTCTTATCAGCCTCATATGGAAGAAAATCACTGTCGGACAGGGAGGAGAACCTGGCAGCAAAGCAATACAGAAGCATAACGAATACATTGAAGAAATTACATTTGACAGCTACAAGTTTAATGACTCATTCCCAGAGAAGTATGAGTCGCTACAGAGGCTTCAGCCCATCACATACAAAGGGTGGTGTTCATGGCCCAAACCGATCCACGCCATCAATCAGATCAAGGCCCACAGCTCCATCATCACCGGCTTTAATGTGAGCAGAGCTATTAAGTATGGGCCAGATATCTGGAATGCTTTACTAGAATGCACCAGTCTCAACCACTTGGGGGTTATGGAAGTAACTACATATATCGATGTCGAATTCGACTTATTTCTTCAGGTCTGCAAGAGACTTCGGTGTTTAGAATTGGGCCATGTCAACTTCCTAAGTAGGGAGAACAACGAGTATATTTTCCCAAACATACACACACTGCGTGTGGACTCTCTCTCTATATGCAACCTCAACCAAAACTCTTGGTATTGTCTTGGAATGTTTATAAGAAAATGTCCAGCATTGCGTTTATTGGCTATTAGACTAAGTGGCACCACAAATGAACTATACAGGGAGCTACTCCTTCAGCATCCTTGGACCCTGAATAATTTATCAGATATATGTTTTCGTGAGATGAGAATAGAAGACAAGGATATGGCGGCAACTCTCAGACGGATGACAGGATTAAGGCGGTTAGACGTCTTTTGGGGTAGATTCTATCAGCTCTCTTTGCAGGAGTTGCTAGCTGACAAGCAAGAAGTGGTGGAAAATGGACAGCTAGTACAGAAGACAAGGCTTCGGAGACTTTGTGAGACAGTTGAGACGTTAGTGTTCGGTAAAGATAGCAGTGTTGCTCAGGCTATTTTATCAAATTGTCCACGGCTGAAAAGACTAGAAGGACCTAAAACTACAGTATCAGAGATTGTCAATGGAGCAGAATGGGTTTGTAGTGGATTGACTCGCTTGAGTATCACTCTTGAGGCAGATATTGATGAAGAGACTGAAGAAGGGATGGCAAAGACACGTATTGCGTTTAAGCAGCTTGGCAAGCTGACTCGGCTAGAACATCTTAACCTAACACGACGCTCTCTGTATCCTCATAGTAGGACACTGGACATGAGATTAAGAGCAGGTCTAGGTGAACTAGCCAACCTGAAGAGACTAGAAGTGCTAGTGGTTGAACATGATGCTCACCAGCGAATGCAGCTTGAGGATGCGACATGGATGGTGGACAATTGGCCAAATATTAAATACGTGTATGGTGCTCTGAACGATGAGAAAGAGACAGCTGACTTGTTGAAATGGTTCTTGGAGTCGCACAATATACGTATATTTGCATAATAGCCTGGAATGGGTATGAAGAACAAGAGCATGAGGCTTCCAAGATCTACCACTGATGATTAGGATACCGTGATAATGGTGACAAAAGTAAAAAATAAAAATAAAAAAATAAAATAAAAACGTTACATTTTGACTACAATAGTGCCTTGTGCACTTTATCAAATTAACTGTTTGCATGGGCTAGGATCCTGTCCTACACGCGACGACGCATGACGTAATATTTTAGGAAAGCAGAGCCATTTGAGCCACCTTTCCTGCTGCCAACGATGTTAATCAGTCTTCTCTCCTTTTCCCGTCTTCACTTGCTCTTATTCTTTTTCTTCGGTTAAGCTTCATTCTGTATTTCCTTAGTTAGTTGGGGCACTAGATTGGCTGCCATATCTCCTTGTCGACACAGTTTTTACGAAATTCCCTTGCGACAAGGCATGGCTGTTCGACGGCGTTGGAGCTCATTCCATGCGAAAACTTTCAAATGGACAACGCCACCATGTGGTTTCTCCCTATCGGATTCCAATACTATGCAGTTTTCGTCATCATTAGAAGCTCTGTAGAGCATGCGCATCGGAGGTACTTGGTATACTGACAAATTACCGAGCAGGAATATTTATCACATATTGAGATTCCGCTTTTTTTTTTTTTTTTTTTTTTAGAGGTATATACTTTATATTTACGTGTGCGTGATCAAAGCGCGACCTTTATTCTCATTGCTGACAAAAGAATATAGTTATGATAACACCAATAGGTGGTATGGCCTTAGCAATCACTTTCTTTACTCAAGATAGTTCCATTTCTGTCATCATTCCGGCCATCTTTTTGTCCTTTTTTTGTTCCAATTCCATAGACTTTTTCTGTCCTTGACAGGATATTGTGGCGAAGCTATCATAACTTTTGTTGCTGCTGACACTTTGAGTTCTCCTATAAGGATCCGACCGCCTAGAGGTTCTAGCTTCCCTACTATTTCTTGATGATCTGCTATTGTCGTTATTGTTATGGCTCCTGTCGCTTTTCCTACTGCTGTTACTGCTGTGGATACCGCCATTGTAGGTAGCCACGCAGTAGCGTACATAAATTCGAAATGCGCAAAGAAAGTTATCAAACAGGGGTATATCCTCAGACAACATCGCTGTAGCTAAAAACTCGGCAATATGCCCAGTAGCGCATATAGGAAATGTGCCGCTTCTGCATGGGATACCGCCTGGTAGAGTAAAAGGACAGATGGGGCCTTTAGGGTTCGTAGATGGAGCAGGACGAGAAGACGAAGGACTGGCAGTTGACGATCGCGAGGACGAATACCCCAGAATATGACTATTTTTATAATGAGAAGTATGTGGAGACGTCGATAGAGAGCGAGTAGTGGTAGCGGTGGAAGTAGCGGTGGTGGCTGGAACAGGAGTTAGGGTAGAAGCAAATACAGGAGCAGGAGTAGGGGTAGGAGCAGGAGCAGGAGTAGTAAAAGTACTTGTAGAGATGCTCAGCTGGGTCAATGACTGTAGCAGATCCTCCTTGCGGGATCTAAAACCAGGACTACCCGCTACACCATTGGGGTGAGAACCATTAAGAAACATTTGCCCCAACTTGTTATCAAGGTTTGCAACGGAGTCTTGATCTTGATCCTCTTCTGATGGCTCTGATAGACATATCCGCATCTGTTCTAATTTTTGGACTATCTCTTGTGGCAAGGCCATACTGGGACTTGAACTTTGTAAACAATGAATTGAGAATGATGCAAATGTGTGTGAATGTGAATGTGAATGAGGACGAAAAAAGGAAAGAGAGCGTCTTCATCGAGGAAACGCATGCATAATCGCATGATTTTTTTTTTTTTTTTTTTTTTTTTTGGATCTGTGCACTTGTTCCACAGCAGTGAGTTTAGCGTGGGACCGAGTGATGGATTTCGTTCTAACATCGCTATCTTCAATGTGGGCGAGGATAGTCCGAGTATTTAGAGGGGATGGACATCGGAAATGTCAGATTGGTGTAATTAGCACTGGCTGTCGGTTTGTCAATTTCCAAATAGGACGGACACGTCATGTTAAAAAAAAAAAAAAAAGAAGTTCCTCCTCTTCTGGCAAAGGCTGGTTTGGTGACCAGGATGTTAATGTTCGCTTAATCAATGGTCACTGTATTCGACTTTGTAGGTTACACTCCCCTAAGGTGGAAAGGTATAAAAAAAAAAAAAAAAAAAAAAAGTTTACATCCGACAGCCCACGCTACAACGGGCTATGGCCTTTTTGCAAGATAACCCTTCGATCTTCTATATATATATCGCCAATTTCATTTGGTCATGATACCTTATATTTTTAATCTAAAAACGATGATTGAATTGTTCTGGTGGCATTTCACTACGTGACGGACTTGCAACAATACTCGCAACAAGCGAGCCAATTGGCTGCCAATACACTCGAAAGTATTCAAAAAATATAAGGTATCATGACCAAATGAAACGGGCTATATATATATTTTCACGTTTTTTATCTTTTTTCATTTTCATTTGACAAGATCAATGGCTGAGTTTGAGATAAGATTGTACCTTGAACTAAAAGAGGAAACAACAGAGCAGCAACGAACATGTCCGTCATCAAATGCTTAGCATCATTGAGATGGTCCTAAAAAAGAGACTTTTTGACTGTTTTTATTCTCCACACCACATGCTCATGAAGCTTGTGCGACTCGAAAAGTAGTGAAGGTGATGCACATGTAACATGCAGGCATTGCCTAAAAAGATCTCTGAATGCTCTAACTCTTTTGTTTCCTTATCTATTTTACCCCACAAACAAAATGTGGAGAAGTAGGTTTGTTCATGCAGAATGCATGAATTCAGGTTCATTTGTCCTCCAAATACATCCAAATAAGTTTGGTTCTAATGTGGGTTCTAATGGTCTCATGGCCAACATAATGGAAGGGGAACTGCTAGATCCCCCTCTCCAAATCTCCATGTACGTACACCTCGGTTTTATTCACTAGACTAAAATCTTTTTGAATAAATACCCCTCCACTCATTTTCTCTTTCTTTTCTTCCTTTTTCTTCATTGATACTCTTCCTTTCTCTCTTTCTCTCTTTCTCTCTTTTCTCTCTTTTCTCTCTCTCAACCCACTAAATAAGGACGACAACAACAGCAGCAATAATAACAGCAACAACAACAACAGCCATGTCCTCCATCTTGAACGCTTTTCGCTCCGCTCAGGCTCCAGCCCGTCATTTTGCTGCCCCTACGATCGCATCTTCGTCCACACTCAAGAGTGCTTTCCATCCTGAACACCAGTCCGTCGTTTTGCAGCAGCTTGTCGAGTCCATCTCTCCAAGGGCCACTGGAGTCACTCCTTCAGGTGCTGTCAGACAAACCATGTCATCATTGAACAGTGTCAAGACGACTGCCTCTGCCACAAGCTCAACTGCTCGTCAGACTAAAGTCTAAAGCCTAAAAAAAAGCAGTTTAATCAAAATCAAACCCACTACAACGTATGTACATGTACATATTTTACTTGGCGTGGGATTATCATAGCTTTACAAAGGATGAAGGCCTTTTTTTTTTTTTTTTTTTTTTTTTTGCTAACGCCAAGCATCCTAGAAGGGATCAAAATATTCTTATATCTCTCTCAACCTCTCCACTCAACTTGTCAGCAATGACGCTTTCTATACCTGTAAACTCAAATGATTGAAATAAAGCCTTTTTTTTTATTTGACCTACTTTTCTACGATGTAATTTACGCTTGGTGTTCTTGTTATTCGGTAATGGGTCAACAAGCACAGCTGATGTTAGACTGTGTGACACATGTGATTAAACTAGCATGTGTTAAATTGACTTGAAACCAAAAAAGAAAAACAATCCATAGTTTGTTCAAGCAAGTTTCGATAAAAGCGATGATCGTATACGTTGCCTTCAACTCCTACTCTTCTGATGCGCGGACTTGTATTTTTGATGTTCAGGGGGTGGGGGAACATTGCAATCTTTTCCTTATCTTTGCTGGCATCGACTTTGCATATCTCTCCCCCCCAGTCTTTCGTTTCGTTTCGTTTCGTTGCGTTCCGATCCCGCATCCCTCTCCCGCTTTGGTGAGAAGACATGTATCGAGTTTTAAAAAGAAAAAAAAATGATGTGACTGGATTTTGCTTGACGAATAAGTGCAGATATCAAGCAAGATAGCCATCGGGCACTCCGTTGAACAACCAGTAATTGTTAGCCGGGTTCAATTTGAGCATTCGGAGAACGAATCGGAAAGAAATACGTCCGATGAATGTACAAAGCTGGGATGTATAGTTGTAAAAGTAAAAGTTTGACTATGCCTGGCAAGAGAACCGTGGCAATGACACAATGGTGAAAGTAGCATCCTAGGAACCAACGCTGTGAAAAGAATCGTATAAATGAAAGGAGCAATAGTAAGGAAAGAAAAAAATAGAGATCAAGCAAAGGCAAGATTCAGCTATCTCTTCAACTAAACTATCTCCTGCTGCTGCACAATTCCTTGGGCAACTATTAAAAAAAAAACACTGCCCTATTGAGCCAAATGCAGGTTGCATAGGCTATTCAATTCGAGGGATCATTCTCCACTTTTGGATAGTTTCTTCAATGGCAATGCTTTGCATCAATATATTTTTATTACTGTGGTGGCTCTTATCATCATTATCATTTAGATCAAATAATAGTTATCACGAAGTACAATAATGTCGTTTTGAATTTTTTTCTCAGCACGCCAGGTTTCATAAAGACGTGGTTTGTGCCTTAGTCTGTGCAACAATGACAAGCATGGTAGGCAGCTCTGCCTTCAAAAAACATGGCGTGTTAGGTTTCGCACAATCCTTCCCTCTACTTCGCTTCCTGAGCAGGATACTGGTTTCGCGCATGGGGAGGTAAAGAAATTATATATATTTATGTATTTTAAACCTTTTATTATTTTATTCATATACATATACAAGGGCAAATACTGTCAGTCAGCTCCAAAGGGTGTCCTTGGATAAAGGCTCATTACTCAATTCCTCCCTACTTAACTCTGGCTTTTCAACCTCATTCATATCAGAGGAGATTGATGATCTAATGGTAGACCGGTGTAGCTCCGCGCGGTTTACTTCATTTCCTTCCAGAGTGGGACATATGCATAGGTCTTCAGAAGAACAAGGCTTATTAATACAAACTCGACAGTCAAGAACCTGGATCTTGTTTCCCCTTTTTCTAAAAACTTTGCCAAGGCCAAGTCGTCTATGAGACTGTAGCAGGATCCATATTCCGAATCAGATGATCCAGAGTCCTCCTCGGATTCATGGACGACCGGTGGTGGTATCATTGGATATTTTTTCTTTGTCCGTTGTGATCTTTTTGAAATCAAGTCGAGCGGTGATACTTTGGATCTATTTGAATTGTTTGATGGCACATCTTCTAGTATCCTCTTTGGGAGTGAACCATATACCGAAATCTTGGGTGCTCTCTTCTTTTCTTGCATCGAAGGTTAAGGGCCAAGGCTTTGAAGCTAATATTTTTCTTCATGTACAGCTTTTTTTTTTATTTTTTATTTACTTTTGACTTGACTAGGACAACATTTAGCTGCCATACACCCCAGTGATAAAAATGAAGATTTTTTTTTTTTTTTTTTTTTTTTACACAATGCAATGTTCGTTTCTAATATGAGTCTGAAAAAAATAAAGAAATACTACATAGATCGATTGTAAATAACAATACAATAAAAAAAATAAATATTTAATTAAAAAAAAAGACAAAGGAAAAGCAGAAGAGGAAAAAAAATAAAAAAAAAATACGGTGGCATTAACTCAGGTTCAGTTCATTGTCGTCACTTCTTCCTCGTCTGCAGCCACCATTCTTGGTTCGGGAATATGTGTGGGTGTAACAAAGAGTTTGACCTGCTCTCGTACTCGATCCAAAATATCAATCTCCACAGGTCCCCTATACTTTTGGAACAAGGGCTCCTCATCTCGTCCCAAATCCAAATCATCCTTGTCCATCTCCTTCGTCTCTGCAAATGCAACTTTCATCACTGCACCTCCAGCATATTCAACACAATCATACGAATTGAAAAGTGCAAACAGTTTCTTGGGGAAGTTACGGAATCCAACCAAGTTTTTGAAGGGAATGTATCCGATAGGTTCAAGTCCCGAAGGTGGTACTGAGAAGTAGGCCTCATCTTGTGGGATCGTGACAGAGGATGCTGCTACATCTGCAGCCGCAGCCGCAGCTGCCTTGGCTACAGCCTCAGTTGCAGCTGGTGAAAGAGTCTCTTCATCTTTTGATGTCTCTATTGCTGGTTCTGTTGAGGTTGCTGTTGAGGATGTTGTATCGATATTGTCTGTTGTTACTGTTGTTGTTGATGTTGACTCTGTAGATCCTGTGGCCTCTGTTGCGAGTAAAGTGGCTTCCTGAGCTGGAGTTATTGACTTTGTATCATCTTCCTTGATCATTTCAGACATAGCAACTGGTTCAGGGTCATCAAGGCTCTGAAGACATCCATCATTGTATCCCTTGAGGACTTCAGCTAACGCAATTCTACCCAAGACAACGATGCCATCCGAGACCGATTTGAGGGGAACAATGGGTGCACTCTGTTCTTGTTCTGTCAACTCTGATCTCTTTCCTGCTGCGATCTGACGTTTCTTTCGGACATCTGCAGCCACCATTGATCGAATCTGACCCTCTGTCATGCCCTCCTTGACCTCATAATCCAATGCAGCAGCATCGAAAACAGGCTAGCATTGAGTATTGATAAAATAAATAAAAAACAATAGTCAGCTTCTAGAAGAGGGCCAAAAAAAAAAAAATAAAAAATAAAAAAAAACTCAATGCTTCTCTTTTAAGTGTCTATGGTTGAGAAAGGTACTTAAGAGAGCAATGGTTTTACCTTGACAAATTGCTTAAAGTAATGACGAGTTTTGTGAATGCCATCTCCAGGGGGTGGCATGATGTAAACAGTGACCTTACGAGGCATCTCTTGAACGCCACATGGTTGTTTTGCCAAGACATCCACCTTGTCTGCAACACGTTTCTTTGCAGCCACAGTCAAGTAATGATCACGAGTGACCAGAGCTCCGATGGAACCGATGGTGCCCCAGAAGATCATCCAACCACGACTAGGCAGCTTAGCCCGTAGTTTCCCAGAGAGTGTTGTTGGAATAGGCTTTGGCGAGGGAGTGGGCTTGGGTTTGAGTTCTGGCCGGGCCCCAGACGAGGCAGAAGCTGCAGTATTGTTGTCCATGGATAGGTTGAGTGTTTTCAGTTCAGTTCAAACTAGAGGGAAAGGGCATATACGGACAAAAGAGGGAAGAAAGAGAGAGAGAGAGAGAGAGAGAGAGAGAGACAGAGCGAGGAAGTGAAAGTGAGGGTCTGTCTTTTTCTTTTTTCTTTTTTCTTTTTTCCTTTTTTCCAAGGTGATCGGATCAATAAAAATAATGAAAACAGAGGAGACCATCCCAACAGTCACAACGACTTTTGACCTAATTGATCGTTTTATTTAATCGTTTTTATTATGCTTTTTTTGTGTTTGTTGGTAAAAAAAAAAAAAAAAAAAAAAAAAAGTTTCTCATTACTGGCTATCATTCATCAAAACCACGTCAATTGCTACTATGCTACTATTGATCAATTGCATCAAGGTCTATTGCTTTTTTTTTTTTTTTTCTTTTTTTTTTTTTTTTTTTTCTTTCTTTAAAAAAGGTATAAATATATATCATAAAAAATGGTGGAATAAATATGTTTATATGCTTGTTCCCTTTCACGTGTCTGCTATGCTAATGAATCAGCTTAATGATCTCTCGCTCTATGACGAGTCAGAGCCTCGACTCGCTGAAAACGCATCATGCAATTCTCAACCGGGCATCCATAAGGAGTCTCGCCAGTATGTCCACGCAAATGTCTCTTGAGGTCTCCACGACGGATCGATGCATAAACACAACCAGGTGCGTCGCATTGGAATGGTTTCACTTGCGAGTGGGTCTTGAGGTGTTGCTGAAGGTTGAACAGCCGTTTGAACGGTTTGCCATGATTGCATCCTGGGTACTCACACGTATAAACCTTGGGCGCCTTTTCCTTCCTCCTACGCTGATCAGTCGTCTTTGATGTCAATCTGTTCTTCTTCCTCTTCTTCAAACTGAACACCGTCTCATCATCTGCTTCCATCTCTGTATCCGAGTCTGCCTCTGCTGTTGCTGCTGTTGAAACATCCATAACATCATTCTCATCCCCTGTTGTGAATGCAGGACTTGCCATTGCTGAAACAGGTACAGTGGGGTAAAAATTATTGGGATGGGTTGGCGCAGCAAAAAAATTGTATGGGGTTCTCTCTTGAACCTCAAGCTGTGAGCAATGAATTGTCTCGAAGTTGCTGTCGAAAGAAGACGGCAAGAAATAGGAATATTCAGAGTATTCAGTGATGGGATTCGATTCCATAAAGAGCGAGGGGCCCTCATGGATTGGAGGCATGTTCATAAAAGACGTCAATGGTAATGATGACTGGGATGAGGGATCCAAGGGCATATCAAGACTGCTCAACTCTGGGAATAGAGCATATGTCATCCTCATCTCTTCGACCGAGGAATGATTGTCATGAGGACGTCTGTAAAGAGCGTCAAAGGCGCCAACATCCGGGTACGAGACTGCATCACGCACACCTGGGTTTCCATCCACCAGCTGATAGGCGCCCTTGTCATCTACTTTGCCCAATGGCAATTCGGACTGTGGGTGGTATCTTCTGGATGCGGAAATCATAACGGCTTATGGAATAATAATAATCGAGGGAGGGAAGAGGGAGAAAGGATGACAGAGGGTAGAAAGTAAAGAGAGAGAGAGAGAGAGAGAGAGAGAGAGAGAGAGAGAATGCAATTGATGCTCAGGAACAAAAATGTTGCGTATGGTATATGATCAAAAGTGAAAGGAATTGAACAGATGATTGCAGGTGTCAAGTGTAAGGATGAGGAAGAAAAGAAAGAAAAAGAAGAAAAGGAAGAAGAAAGGGAAACGAAGTCGATTTTTGAATGGAAAGAGAGAAAGGGGTGTGGACGGGAAAAAAGACAGAGCAATGCAAGAATGGCGGCACAGCACAGGAAAAAATAGATGGGAGTACCAATGGCAGGAAAAGCATTTAATTGCAATAACCAAGAAAAGTAACAAACAAACAATCCATCGTCTCTGTGTCTGTCAGGAGCACATGCCCCAAATAAATACGCCACCTCCCCCTCAACGCCAAAAAACTATTTCGCGTCATTGTCTCTTTCGGGAAGAAAAAAAAAAAAAAAAGAGAAAAAAAAGAGCGTTTCCCATTGTGTTCTTCTGGGTATAACAATTTACTATTGGTTTATTCATGGCAATGTATATATATATATATCTATCAAGCATCAAGTATCATATAAATCTATCAAGTATCAAGTATAAATCTAGTATCAAAAATTATATAGGTAGGACGTTATAAACTATTGGATGCAGTTAGAGCAAGAGCGAACCCTTTCTTGTGTGATGTCAATTGCACTGACTGATGTCTATCTTCGTGGCGACTTAGGTTCCCATTATACAGAGTAAGCATCCACAGTGTTGGTCACTGTCTTCAGCTGAGCTAACGTGCTACAAGCTTTGATTCCATTGGTCGGCATAGAGCATCCAGTCTTGTCCCTGGTTTCCACCCGTGAATCCAAGTTGGTTATGGGTCGGGTTGAATCTAGCGTGGTCAGGCTGGGAGTAGCCTTGTGAGGTGACAATGGGTGTTGGTACCCAGGGATGCACCGGATATGAACCCATGAATGGAAGCAGAGTCGAGTCGAGCATTACATGGTTAGACTGGAGGTGGGGACCTTGTGGAATGGCAGAGGGCATAGACGCCAAGACTGGTTCCTGACTCGGACCCGCGGATGACAATTGGCCATACTGGTTGAATCTATCAACATTGTCCTGATAGCCAATATACGGGTGTAGCTGTTGTATACCTTGTAGCTGCCTTGGCAACTGTGACGCTAATTGAGATGCCTTTTTCTTGCATATTTTTGTATCCCTATGTCTCTTCAGCGTGTCGGGCCTAAAACATTTGGTGCCACATCTATCACAGATCCATACTCTTCTCTTTTCTTTGGAGAGATGTGTCTGGTAGTGGCGTTCAAAGTCTATTGACCTTGAAGTTTTGCGGTTGCAAATAGGACAACTATAGGACTTGTTGGCCTTCTTAGCTTCTTTGACTGGAGCTTTGGAGCTTTGGATAGTCAGGTGATGAGACGGATCACCATTGGGTTCATGGACTTCTGAATTAAGGAGGAGTGAGATTTTTTGTGCATGATCGGAAGAATTGTCTGACTCCAAGCACACGAAGTCTTTTGACGGACTTGATGTAGATCTTGACCATTTTAGCACTGCCATGGCTAAGAAAGATAATAGTACGTTGAGTGCAGAAGGCAGTATAAAAAGAGTTAAAGAAAGGGCTGTGAGATGGACAAAGTGAAAGTGAAGAGTGAAGAATGATGGATGAATGAGTGAATGAAGAGAAGTAAAAAATGAAAAGAATGAAAAGAATGAAAAATGACGAATGACGGATGAAGAAGAATGTCGAAGGTGAAGGTAAGAAAATTTCAAACGACAAACATCAAGTAAATGTAAATATATAATATCTGTGCCGTTGATTTTCTGCAAGGTGCCGTTGAATAACTATTAGATGCCGTAGAAAATCTATTGATGGTGCCACACAAAATAAATTATTCCAAACGGAGGATGTGCAACAGACATTGTCGGAAATATACGACACGTGGGTTTTCACGCACGCGAGCATTTTTTTTAACTTTCGACCATCAATCAGATTTTAGAATTAAGATTGGTTTGAGCAAATGATATTGCAGAGTTGTTCGAATTACTATATTATACTGTACACAGTTCGCTAATAAAACGGTTTCGGTTACGGGTAAAAGATACAATAGATGACAATGGAGTACAGGAATGATAAACCTGAGGGAGGGTGATGCCTCATGCGCGGATGCGGGCCTTTTTTAGCATGGGAGGAGTGAAAGAGCAGACTAGCGATGCCTGACGCGAGCGTGCCTCTGGAGCAAGTCTTTCCTGATAAATTCCTTGTTACTAAAAATCATATGGCATATAATATCTTCATGATGAGTATCATCCGGCAATAGTTCAGCTCCATGATTTCAGGATTGGACCTTATAAATAGTAAGCACCCTTAGAGCTTTAGCATGCTTAGTCCCCAATTGATACCAGCATCCATTGGACACGTCCCATTTCTTTAAGGAATACTATGATACAATAGGCTAGGAAATTAGTCTACAAAATTTGTTCCGCTGTTGATTATTATTTGCCAACGTAACACATACACATTTGAATAGCTTTACTGCTGCACCATCTGCTAGTGTCAAGCTATCGCTTGCTGGACAGCCGGTTGAAGAAATGGAAACGAATAATAGAGAACCTTTTCCTCATATGATTTTTAGTCGCTTTCACTTAACATACCTCTCTCAAGAATAAAATACGTTCTATGAAATCGCAGCCGTAGCATCAATGAGACATGGGCTTTTGCACTGCTATGCTGAATCTAAGTAAAAGTAAAGAATTGATTTTTCCGGACTTCATCTCCAAAACTGGGTGATTGACTAGTTGACTAGTTGTAGTAATTTTCCTAAATAATATTGCAGTAATGGTGGTAGGTCATATCCTCTCAAGCTAGTAGCTCTTCTAACAAGACCAAAAGGTACCATGGGGGCAGCATCCATGACAATGCATCAGGTTCTTGTTGGGATATGTTAAAAATAAAACATTCACTCAGTTTTGTGTGTTAGTGAATATATGAAGAGGAAATGATGAAGTAATAAAAGGATGTCATTTTTTTCTTTCTATTTTCTTTTTTCTTTTTTTTTTTTTTTTTTTTTTTTTTTTAAAGAGGCACAATAATTAAGAAGAGAGTGTAGGTAATAAGTCCCATTTCCCTGTGAACCTTTGGTATTAAAAAAAAAACTAAAGAGACAATGGTGGAGGGAGGAGTATAGAAATAATAAATTTAGGTAAACTCTAGTCAATAACAGAATTGGCTTCAGTCTGGGAAAAGGATCAGGCTCAGATGGCTGGACCAACCTTTCATAAACAATCAAGGGAATTGCATTAATGGATGTGGGCCGTCTCTGTGTAAAAGTGCAAACTTATATGGTAAACCTTATTTATGGGTCGAGGGAGTCGTTCCAGTTAGCACTTTAACAGTAGCAATAAGTCCCAAGGAAATTATTGCATTCAAACAGAATCGATTGTATCTTGCGTCCTTCTGGGTATAGTAATTATTGTTGGTTTATTCATAATTATAGTAATGTTATTATATCTATATCTATTAGGTATCAAGTATTAAGTATTAAATAAGGATAGGGTGTTGCAGACTAATGAGGGCGGCCAGAGGAGCAAGCGAAGTGTTTGATGAATTTTGCATGCCTGTATGCGCCTTGAGCGAGCCTTTTCTTGTGTAATGTCAGCCGCATTGAGTGCTGTGTATCTTCACTGAGGTTCCCATTATACAGAGTAAGCATCCACAGTGTTGGTCACTGTCTTCAGCTGAGCTAACGTGCTACAGGCTTCAATTCCATTGGCCGGCATAGAGCATCCAGTCTTGCCCTTGGATTCCGCCCCCGAATCCAAGTTGGTTATGGGTCAGGTTGATTCTGGCGTCGTCAGGCTGGGAGTAGTAGTCTTGTGAGGTGACAATGGGTGTTGGTACCAAGGCTTGTCCCTGGCTCATATTTATAAGTTGGACTTCATACTGAGTCTGGCCCAGCTCATGGTTAGGCTGGTGGTAGCCTTGTGGAAAAGGAAAGGATGTTGGTGCCGAGGGATGCACCTGACATGAACCCATGGATGGAACTTGAAGCAGAGTCGAGTCGAGCATTACATGGTTAGACTGGAGGTGGGGATCTTGTGGAATGCCAAAGGGCATAGACGCCAAGACTTGTCCCTGACTTGGACCCGCGGATGACCATTGGCCATACTGGTTGAATCCATCAACATTATTCTGATAGCCAGTATGTGAGTATAGCTGTTGTTGTTGTACACCTTGTAATTGCTCTCCTTGCCATTGTGACATATTAGGCACGGCTGGTTGAAACGGCTCGTATCCAATGACGCCAGGCTGAGAGGAGGGATCTTGCGGATTGACAAAGGGCATTGGTACCGAGGATTGTTCCTGACTCGGAGGCGCGAGTGGCGGTTGGCTATACTGGTTGGATTCACCGACATCCATCTGATAACCAGTGTGTGAGTTTGGCTGCTGTTGCTGCTGCTGCTGTTGTTGTTGTTGTTGTTGTTGTTGTTGTTGTTGTTGTTGTTGTTGTTGTTGCTGTACACATTGTAGCTCCCCTTGCTGCAACTGCGACATATTAGGCATAGTTAATTGAGACGATCCTTGTTCAATAATCGTAGGGTTAAATAGAGTCGGTTGGAAAGCAGCTTCTTGGGAGGCCAAATTAAATTGCTTTGCTCCTTTGCATTTTTTTGCATGCCTTGGGACCGAATCCTGTCTTGAAAAGTTTAAGTCACACCCATTACACTTCCATCTTTTGATCTCCTCTCTGGGGCGATGTGTCTGGGAATGGCGGTTGAGATCTGCTTTCCTGTTAGTCTTGTACTTGCAATTGGGCTGTCCGCAATTAAAGGCTTTATCTTTGTCGTGATTAATGATATGGGCCTTGAGATTGGAAGCGTTGCTCTGGGACCTGTCGCAAATGTGACAAATGTGTTTGTTAGCCCTCGCAGCTTCCTTGGCCGGTGCATTGGGGTTTTGGATACTCAAGCATTGATCTGGGTCTTCTGCAGGTTCGTGGACCTCTGAATTGAGAAGGAGTGGGATTTCTTGTGCGCGATCGGGGGAATTGTCTGGCTCCAAGCACACGGAGTCTTTTGACGGACTTGGTGCAGACCTTGACCTTTTTAACGCTGCCATGATTAGGAAAGATAGTTTTTTCTCAAAGTTGCCGCGTGTATGAAAGAGGAATAGACACCTGTCCAAACAAGGTGCAGAGGGCAATATAAAGAGAAGTTGAGAAAGGGTTGTGGGACGGGGTGGAAGCTGGAGAGTGAAGAGTGAATAATAAACGATGAACGATGGGCGATGAATGATGAATGATGAACGATGAACGATGGATGAACGATAAATGCTGAATGTGAATGGTGAATGCTGAGGAATGAAGAGTATTGAGCGTGAAGAGCGAACATATCCCTATACGACAAACACTAGACAAAAATATACCTGCACTGTGCCGCAAACATTTATTGACATTGGTCCTTTGCCGCAAAGGTCATTGTTCATTCCTTTATAATTATTCCCGGCTTCTTCCAGACCCCCAAAGCTTCGATCTCCAAGAGGCATGGTCTGGGTATCTTTGGAAGTAAGTCATTAGAGGAAATGCTTCACAGGCGGTGGTGTGATAATAATGTTCAACAACTAAAGCGCGAAACAACAAGTCTTCCTCAGGTATAAATGGTGTGTCCAGGCAACCGAGTATTTCCGCAGCACATTTGCAAATTATTTCTAATTGCTTTTTTTAGTGTGACGCGATTTAACTCATTAAATTTCAAAGCGCAGCCATCCCACGGGCGACCGAGAGGTCTTTCTGATGAGATGTGTTCTTCGGTGTGGGCCAAGATTAGAGGATGAGGTTGCAATTTTTCCGCAAATGTCGCAGAAGAAACCCGCTCTGCTTGATTAGCTTGATTAGCATTATTATCGCACCCCTCTATGTCGTTTGCCTCATTCTGATCTCCCTCGTTCATACTGGGAAGTAAACTAAGATCTTGTGATAGATGCTGAAGTAATTGTGGCTGTTTTTGCTGTGCTCTAAGCATTTTCTGATTTTAGGATTGGGCCCTGTAGCTATTATCCTCGACAATTCTATAGTCGCGTAACACCCTACTTGACCTCCAATTGACGTTGAATACATGCCATCCTATAAGGATTATGATGATACAATAGACTAAGAAAGAATTGAATCAAAGTATTAAAGTGGAATAAAAATAATAATAAAAAAAAAAACTTATACTCCTATTCATTTTCTACTTTTATTTTAATGAAAGCTATAACTGGCGACTGTAACCATGATAGTATCTGGATACTATACTCGAGTGCTAACCAATTATGCATTACTTGCTAGGGTTCTGCCTATTGAGGTAGCTCTACACCCTTACGTATCCCAGGGACGAGCTTTGGTCCCCTTTCCGTCCCTTTTTATCCAATACAACCGTCCTCCTTCCCCATTCCTTCGCACAACGGCTGCGACATGCATGTTTGAAAGCGAGAGAGGGAGGAAATGGTGGGTTTTGAAAGAAGAAGTGTTTAGTCAGACCCAGTCGCACTGGATGGGCAGCTTTTTTTTTTTTTTTTTTTTTTTTTGATGTAGGAAGAGGAAAAATATCACATCGGCTTTTCCTATCCAATCCAGAATGTACCTTGTTTGAGAATAGTTCAACCAGATAGTTCTTAATGTGCCTCTTATCAATCTGTTTGGCATGGCTCAAGTAGAGATTGGGGGGTTTTTTTTGGTGGTAAGGAAAGGGTCCATAACATCATGTTCGTCCTCGTAATACTAAAAAAGCAATGGGGGTTGCTTCTCTCGCATCACACATGATAAAAGTGAAATAAAGGCTCAAGTGCTCTCGCCTGGAGGGAAGACATTGATACTCAAGGAGGACAGCAGTGTGATGAGCGGTCAAATAATCAACATGGACAATATGCTGCTGCGACTCCATCAGGCCAGTCTTCTTCTCTCGAAGCCTTTCCCTCCTCATATACCTTCGAAACATCCTACCGCATTGTACGCAAACATGTTTGCCATATTTGCGGTAAAGCCACAACTACATCTTCTAACCTCAATACACACATAAGAACACACCGCCCTCCATCAGAAAAGCCTTATGGCTGTACGTGGAAGGACTGCAAGGCAAGATACAATAGAAAGGCTGAGTTCAACCGCCATCTCGAAACGCATCAACGCAGGACCGGTAGATACAAGTGTGATTTATGTGGCCAAGGGTTCACCAGGAAAGACTCGCTTCTCAGACACACTCGCACCAAGCATCACAAGCCTGGTCTGTCATCTGACGAGTATGGGCTTCCAAACAGTGCAAGTAATCCCGCATCTGGGTCCAGAGCCACCACTCTTCCCTCTCTTGAGACACATTTCTAAAAGATGGAGAAAAATCCAACTTTATCATTCTTATACCTCACTGTCAATCATTGTGTCTTTCTTTATTTATTTTTTTTTTTTCGATAATTACTTTACACTACTCTATTAGATCCCATCGGCATTTCCCCCCTGTATAAACATCTGTCTCTTTTATATCCCTCCTATTCATTTTTATGTTCGCTTTTAGTTTAATTTGTTTATTTCGGTTTAACCTTAGGAATAAGATAATAACAATAAAGGGATAGCTAATGGCGATGATGATGTTACTTGTAGACCGTACTCATGATGGACTTGCCGGATATTGAATGCTATTGAGTTTGCTCTGCATCCTCAAATATTCCTGATTTCTTTCTCTCTTTATCCAGTGCAACCGTCTACCTTCACTCCTTCGCATACCAATTGTGACATGTCTATTTGAAAGGAGGGAGAAAAAGCGGGGGCTTTAAAAGCAAAGATGGTTAGTCGATCCCAATATCTGCTTTGTATCCTACAAACAACCATTACGTTTGTACTGGATGGGTAGGATTTTTTTTTTTTTTTTGTTCCTTTACTCATCATTCAGGCTTGAAAGGAACAAAATATTTTGAAAGAAAAAGAAGAGAAAAAGAGGAGAAAACATATCAGAAGTTTTCCCTTCCTATTTCAGCATGAACCTTTTTAGAGAATGCTATACCCAGATGGATTTTCATTGCACTTTTTGGTACTCTATATCAATCCTTATAACATGATTCAGCTAAAGATTGTATCTGAATACTCAAGCTTTTATACACATTTTGCTTTTCTTTTGGATCTCGATTTACCATGTTCCTCATATACGAAATGTCGACTGTCTAAGTGCAAGCTGTCTTTGTGCAGACTTTTGGTAAATGCACTTGTAGAAAGAGACACAATTAATTGCTCAATTCCTTCGCGTGTTCCTAAAAGCACACTCTCTGCTTTAATTCCAAGGCAAGCGACAGCATAGAAACCGAGTGGCGGCGTAATGACTGCGGTAAAAATGGACATTTGTTTGTGAAATCTTGATCTTCAAAAGCGTCCTCTTTCATTTGGTCACAAACATGTTCTATTATTGGTTGGCTCCGAATTTTGACGCACTGACAATTACCATACCTGATACACCACTTGGGTGGTGTAATTTATTTTTTTTTTTTAAATACTCCATTTTTCCATTTCTCTCTCCCTAGACACGTCCTCCGCATACTCTCTCCATCTGGCTCAAACTACTGCAGCCTACACTCTCTTTGAATTCAATACTACGTACCAATATCTCATAAAAAAAGGCATACTTCATTGCCGCCGCTGACCAACAATGAATAACAGCAGCAAAAAAGAACACAGAATCTCGACTGGAGATACCTCTGATGGATCGCCCCCTTTACCGTTACTCGAATCCTACACAGTCGACTTGAGCGAGGACTTAGTCCCACAGTATAGCGTCGATGAGCCTCAAGAGTTTCTTCTGCTCCAGCGGCAGCGGCTACTGGAGACACAAACTCGACAAAGGATTTGGCTGCTACTAGAACATCAGCAAGCATGGCTCAGCCTATGCCAGTGGCATATTCCTCTAGTGCAGGAGGGGAAGGAGCACCTACAGCAATTGCAACAACAAATACTGGAGGAGGAGAAGTACCTGCGTCAATTGCAACAACAACTATGGGATAACCTATTTTTTAGGTTTTCCCTACACCCTGGATATATTCAGCATGGTCAGCACATCTGCTGTGTTTGCGGTAAGGCCGCTACTACAGCCTCGAACTTGAGAGCTCACGAAAAAATCCACCTTTCTCCATCAGAAAGACCTTTTGGCTGTACGTGGGATGGCTGCGAATCGAGATTCAATAGAAAGGCCGAGCTCAAACGACATCTTGGGACACACCAGCCTGGAGCCACTACATTCGAATGTGACAGATGTGGTGAAAAGTTTACCAGAAAAGATTCACTTGTCAGGCACACTCGTATCAAGCATCACTAACCTGGTTCCTTACCTGACAAGTGTAGTCCTCCAATCAATATAAGTATTCCTGAATCCAATTCCTCATAGAGTAACAGAGCCTCGGCCACTTTCCTCTCAATTGATCTATCATTCTGTCCCTTACAGACCTTTTGTCCATTCCTCTTATATCCCTATATATCCAACATCAACGCAGCAAAGGAATGTTTTGGCTTCGTATAGATTCAATAAAAGTTATTTAAAGGAATGGAATAGATAATTGATCAAGCTAGTCTCGTCAGCAGCCCGAGTGCTCATTTAATAAGGCATAGGGAAACGGTCCTCATTCTTATGTCAAGATCGTTCACCTTTCCAAGTTGAAAGGAGTATACACCGCATTACTATATGTTCATCGTCACGTGCCTTTTATTGTAACCCATTCCACTACGAACACAGATTTGAGGGTGCAGAGCACACTCAATAACATCCAATATCCGGCGAGTCCATCATGAGTACGGTCTACAAGTAACATCATCATCGCCATTAGCTATCCCTTTATTGTTATTATCTTATTCCTAAGGTTAAACCGAAATAAACAAATTAAACTAAAAGCGAACATAAAAATGAATAGGAGGGATATAAAAGAGACAGATGTTTATACAGGGGGGAAATGCCGATGGGATCTAATAGAGTAGTGTAAAGTAATTATCGAAAAAAAAAAAATAAATAAAGAAAGACACAATGATTGACAGTGAGGTATAAGAATGATAAAGTTGGATTTTTCTCCATCTTTTAGAAATGTGTCTCAAGAGAGGGAAGAGTGGTGGCTCTGGACCCAGATGCGGGATTACTTGCACTGTTTGGAAGCCCATACTCGTCAGATGACAGACCAGGCTTGTGATGCTTGGTGCGAGTGTGTCTGAGAAGCGAGTCTTTCCTGGTGAACCCTTGGCCACATAAATCACACTTGTATCTACCGGTCCTGCGTTGATGCGTTTCGAGATGGCGGTTGAACTCAGCCTTTCTATTGTATCTTGCCTTGCAGTCCTTCCACGTACAGCCATAAGGCTTTTCTGATGGAGGGCGGTGTGTTCTTATGTGTGTATTGAGGTTAGAAGATGTAGTTGTGGCTTTACCGCAAATATGGCAAACATGTTTGCGTACAATGCGGTAGGATGTTTCGAAGGTATATGAGGAGGGAAAGGCTTCGAGAGAAGAAGACTGGCCTGATGGAGTCGCAGCAGCATATTGTCCATGTTGATTATTTGACCGCTCATTACGCTGCTGTTCTCTTTGAGTAAAGTTTGCATCGTCTTGAGTAGTGGCACGATCGCCATTAGATCTTGCTGCTTGTGGTTGATTGCGTCTGACGGTTACTGTATTATCTGAAGCTGCATTATGGTACGGCAACTGTTGGTATTGTACGTGATTAAGATCATTGACTTTCGTGCTAATGTTAAGGGGCAAGTTTAGCTGTTGTATTAGCTGTTGTATTAGGAGCTGCTGTTTTTGTTGCTGCACTTTTAGCATTTGTTGTAGTTGTTCAGTCGCTTCCAGTAAATGACCCCCTGGCGTATATTATAGGACCTCTTTACCGCCCTCATACGAATCATCTAGTTCCATCTGAGTGTCATCAAAGCCTTGCTCGACCTCGATAGCCTGGTCACTACCTTTTGAGCGATCTTTAGGAATGCCTTCATCTTCAGCCTGCACTGTAGCTTGCTTAAACTGAGTATTGTCTTCTTCATCTGACTCAGAATCCCAGCTATACCTACCCTCAGCAACCATCCGGTCTAGCTCGTCAAGAAACGCTGCCCTGACATACCACTCGGCAGCTTTCGAATCAACTTGAGGCGCTCCTTTGCCAAAATAGTATATCTCGCCTAGCTCATACTGAGACGATGCACACTCTTGGTTAGCTGCCTTGAGGCACCAGTCAAACGCTTTTGAGTAATCTTGAGCCACTCCTTGGCCCCGATAGTACATCACGCCTAGACTATACTGAGAATTAATGTCTCCTTGGTTGGCTGACTTGAGGTACCAGTCAAACGCTTTTGAGTAATCTTGAGGTACTCCTTTGCCAAAATAGTACATCTCGCCTAGCATTGTCTGAGAATGGGCATATCCTTGGTCGGCTGCCTTGAGGTACCAGTCAAACGCTTTTGAGTAATCTTGAGTCACTCCTTGGCCCCGATAGTACATCACGCCTAGACTATACTGAGAATTAATGTCTCCTTGGTTGGCTGCCTTGAGGTACCAGTCAAACGCTTTTGAGTAATCTTGAGCCACTCCTTGGCCCCGATAGTACATCTCGCCTAGATTACACTGAGAATGGGCATATCCTTGGTTGGCTGCCTTGAGGTACCAGTCAAACGCTTTTGAGTAATCTTGAGGTACTCCTTTGCCAAAATAGTATATCTCGCCTAGCATTGTCTGAGAATGGGCATATCCTTGGTCGGCTACCTTGAGGTACCAGTCAAACGCTTTTGAGTAATCTTGAGCCACTCCTTGGCCCCGATAGTACATCTCGCCTAGATTATACTGAGAATTAATGTCTCCTTGGTTGGCTGCTTTGAGGTTCCTTTCAAAATCTTCCGAGTCATTCTGTTCCACCTGCTGTACTATTTTGTCGCTGCTGTTCTAGCCACTGTTCTTTCTGTTCTAATGTCTTTCCCTGCGATGACTCTAGTATAAGTTGCTCCAATTCTATTTGTCGCCGTTGTACCTCATACAGTTGCTGCAATTGTTCTAGTCGACGAGTATGCTTCTGGCTCAACTCTTCAAGCCGTTGTTGACACCGTTGGCTCTGCTGACTCTTTCGTAGGTCCTGCTGCTTCTGCTGGTGCTGTTGTGTTTGCTGCTTCCAGTAGCCCTCTAGTTGGTTTGGATAGTCATAATGAGAGGTCGGAACTAAGGTAGAATCAGGTATAGAGTCCGGAAGGACTATGGCCAATACATCATACTCTTGGGTGAGGCCGTTGGACTGTTGAGTAGAGCTCATTAAGCGTAATGCTTCGGATACAACTTGAGCTGGCTGAAAGTATTCATGTGCTTTTGCATCAAGAGATGGGTAGATGGGTTAGAATGAATGGATACTTTTCAAGATGGAAGTCAAGGCAGTTGAAAATGTTAAACACAAATCTGCGGCGTATTTTTTAAAGTTCCTGGAAAAAAGGCCGTGCGTGCTCTTTATAATTTTGTGTGGCGATGTCGTCGTCGCCCCTGAAGTATCAACCTGAAATGATTTCTCTGGTTGTTGAATAATATCAGTACACCCGCTATCGTCATCGTAGCTGTCGCACGGGTATCTTGAGGCTAGAGAGTGTCTCCATAGTGGGAAAGGGGTCAATCTGTATTTGTTAGGCCTGTTGAAGCCATTGGTGTGGGTACTGTGCGATTCACGAGGTATGGATGCAGAGTGTGCAAGAGTGTGTTGAGAGAATGTGGAGAGTTTATTTGTCTTTTCAAATTCTTGGCAACACAGTATGGTCGGCAGATTAATATATTTCAACATGTCAATATTTTCTCTCCAAAAGTATAAAGGTATGTGGCAAACCTGAAGTCTATCTGGAGAAATCGTTGCATTTAGACAGTTTGTGCTTTAGACAGTTTGTATCAGAAAAGAGTCGACTATGTTTGAGCTCTGATCTTACTTCTACCGTGGCGTAAGTGAGAACACCTCGCTCATTACTCTATTAGTATTATGAGGACTATAGATCTATTCCTCTTTACCAAAAAAAAAAAAAAAAAAAAAAAAATCCATCAAGTGAAATATATTTAGGACCCCTACTTGAGTCATGTCAAATGTATTAATAAAGGGCACCAAAAGATTCATTGAAAAACCATCTAGTCGGAGCGTTCTCAAACAAGGTACATGCTGAATTGGGAAAGAAAAATTTAACTGAGCATATTTCTCTCTACTTTTTCTGTTCTTCCGCATCAAAAGATTCTATCAGTTTCACTCTGCTCGTCCAGGATGATAATTAAAAGGAAATAAAAAGCTATCCCACCTAATGGACCAATGCAGCTGTAATGGTTGCCTGTAGGCTACAAAGGAGATATTGTAGCTGACTAACCACTTCCTCTTTCAAAGTCCCACCCTTCTTCTCCCTCTCTTCCGCTCAAACATGTTTGTCACAGCTGGTATGTGAAGAAATGGAGAAGGATGGTAACATTGGATAAAGAGAGAAGAGGATAGAAAGGGAGTCAGAGCTCGTCTCAGATATTACTGAGAGTGCAGGACAACCCCAAGGGGTAAAAGTCTGACATACGTTGCAGTACTCAATATCTGGCAAGTCCATGATAAGTATGGTTTACAAATTCAATCATGATCACCACCATCTATTATATATACCTTAATTTATTTTTATTCCTATGCTCAACAAAAAAAAAAAAAAAATAAAAATGAATAAGGATAAAAAAGAAGCAAACATTTATACAGGGAGACAATGCTGATGAGATCTAAAAGAATAAAATAAAATAGATATAGAGAAAAACGATGAAGGAAAGAAAAGGCCACCTTAATTTTTGTTTATTATTATCTTTGTGATTGTTATTCCTCCGCAGGTCTCACATCATAACGACGTCCACGGATCCCCCAGATACCCCAGTTACACTGTGCTGATTGTCGAACATCAGTCAAGTTGACTTCATGCTTCAAAGATCGGAACACATTCTCTCGAGGCTTCATCAGCCAATCCATCTCATAGCCTGCATTCTCAATCTCATTGACATCATTCATCACATCCTGTTCATCGAATCCTGTTCCAAAGATCGCACATTTTGTATCCAACAATAATGGGATCGTAGGCTTCCACATATCCTTCGTTGCTGGATGGGCTAGACCGGGTGAGAAGAGGAAAAACACATCGTAGTAAGGGTTGAAGGGCCCTGCCTCTGCATGATATGTCTCATAACGAGAGTTGTCATATATAAACGTGATCTGCTCATAATGGACATGCTGATGAGGATCCTTGGATTTCGTATGTGGTGGGATTGCATCCGGTCCTACAAAATGAATCTGGAAGGCCGTCGTTGGGAACAGATAGGCGAGTTGCATGTAGATATGAGGTGGAAGATGAGATTCTGCACGGGCCCCCAAACAAAAGATACGCACAGTGTGTGTTGCAATTGTACGAAGATCCTGAGATTGAGTGATTCCTGGAATGACCGCCGGATGCAATGTGTGGCGAAGGGCTAACAGAATAAAAATAAATAAAACGATAAGAACCACATCACAATAAAAAAGAGACCCTGTAGAGCACAATTCGTACATCCGAAACAATATGCCCATGCAGCCCGCAAAACTAGAAAAAAAATCCATATTTACCTGCCAACGACTTCAGACCCTCGACAGTAAGATCCTTGCCGAGTCGATATGGCGAAGATTGATGAAGTACCGAGCCAATGGTGATAGGATAAGTCAACACATGTGAGACATGACGCATTGAACGCTCCGAGTTCATGCTGAGGAATCCACGAGTGTACAAGAATGTGTCCCAATTTGACAAGTTGATCGCCTCATCACGATGTTGAGCACCTAAAAAGAAAAGAAAAAAAAATAGTTTATATCCATGTTAGTTGCTTTCCGAAAAGACGTCTGATTTCCTTCTTCATGGCTATCTGTCATTGTTGTTATGGAGGAGTCTTTTTTTTTTTTTTTTTTCCTTCCACGAAGATTGTCTATGAGTATGCATAAAGAAAGAGTTTTTTCTTTCCCTTAATAAAAACTCGTATATACTTTACCTGGAAATTCAAATTCCTTCATACGACGGCCAGATCGAAGATCATGTTCGTCTTCATTGATCTCCCGAAGGATTCCACAGATATGTTTATGACGATCCTTATCCATCTGGTAATGCTCTTCACTACAATGAGTTGGATATCCACAATCTGGACATTCATACGTTGGTGCCTTTCTCTTCTTTTGCTCAGGCTTATGCTCCCCATGCTTATGTCCATGTTCATGTTCCTGGTCTTTACAAACTGCACAGCTTCCATGCTTCGATATCCATTCTGCCTTTTGACGAACTGCAGGAATGGGCGACTTGCTCAGGGGATGGAACAAATTTGCTTGCTCCAATACTGGTTCAAATTGAGAGGTGAATGCATCCTTTTTAGGCTTGCGAGGCGAAAAAAAGGATTTCAACGAAAGGGATCGTCGTCCATTAGTCGCTGTATTAATCGCTACTATTGCAAGACTAGGGGCCGTCTTTGGCATGCATGTTGCCACTGTTGTTGTTGTACTAGCTATTGTTCCTGTTCTGGGAAATGTCCTGAAGACCGAAGTCAATGGTCGAAACCTTGATGCCATCTGAAGTAGGAAAGGAAAGGATAGGAATATAGTAAAAAAAAAAAAAAAGGAAGGAGGGAGCTATGCCATTTACCAATTGCGATGCGTCCGATCTTATCCATTGTTTCTACACGACTAATAACGCGTGTTTTCGATTTGGAGACCACGTGATCCCCATTTGTTGATCTGTTTAGTCGAGAGTTGGCGCGATTTCGTGCAAATGCCCTCTTCTCTAACTCCAGGGAATTCGCAGAGATACACATCCCAATGAATCCCATATCCTTCAATTCAGTATGTAAACTTTCGGTATCTTCAGCCTTCAGTGTGATATATATGATATATATCCACATCTTCTTTCCAGACTTGACTAAGTTAATAACCTTTAACTTCAGAGAAGCCTCATTCTCATAAAAAGAGACGAGGTGTCCTTCCTGCGGCTTGAATACATTATAGATAACATGGGAATCATCTCGAAGCTCCTTGATGATCTGAACGTCTCGGTCTGTCAGTTCAGCATCCAAGGCAATCACCTTCTTGAATACCTTAACGAAGTCTCGTAATATATCATTATTAACCTTGTGAAAACCTCTCATGGCGGTAACACTTGTCATCTGACCAAAGTTAGATGACACCTCATCCAGAATCAGAACTACATCCATGATGTAGTATGCAAGATCCAGTTTATATATTCCTTTTTTTATTCAACGAGGTTTTGGAATAATAATAAACGATTCCTTATATTTATTTCATCTTGTAAACTATTTGAGCTTATTCATATTTTATATTTGTCTAGAAATTACTTCCTCGCCGTTGCCTCTGACGTTTATTACAAAGTTTGAGTCCTGGTAGCACTAACTTTCTTTGTCTTCACTATCACTATCATCACTAAATCTGGCTCTGTCTAAATTATTATCAAGCTCAGCTAGATGACGCCGCTTGAGATAGTTCGTTAATCTCTGATACTAAGTGCGCTATCCCTGCCACCAAAAACAATGAAAAAATTAAAATAAAAACTCACCAGAATCTGTAATGCCCGAGATCATTTCCTTAAATCCCCCACCGAGGGTCTCAGATGAAGATAGTAGGTTTTCTGTAGGAATGATCACTATGAATTGGAGCTGCTGCTTTTAGCAAAGATGGTAAAAGTGCATGTGCATGTTAAAAGTTTTGCTCAAGGAACGCATGTGGCAGTGTTCGGATGTATACAGTTCCATATAGATAAAGTAAGTAGATGGGTTGCGCGCTTCTGACAAATACTGCGAATACAATATGCCCTAGCAGCATTACATTTTTTAAAAAAAGTATTGACGTTTTTTTTGTGCAAAGAATTGTTTATCGATTCGTTACACACACTCTTTTTATTTTGCGAATGAGCTAGACAACTGTTCAGATGTTTTTCATATTTTCATAACTTTCTGAGGGCTGACTTGGTTTTCAGCATCTTCATCTTCCAACTTGCGTTTGATTGTATCCAGAAAATCAACATGCTCCGCTGGAAAAATCTTGCGAATATTTTTCTGATCGATCCTGATCAACACTTGTTTTAGGTCCTGGTCCGCTTCAGGCATTTTAGATTTGCGCAACCTTGCAAGCATATTCTCCCTAGCCTCAATCTCCTTAAGACAAAGCCCCTGTACGCGACTCACGCTGTCTAATAGTTTGGCAGGATACGCAACTACTATACTTACAAAAATATTACAAGGGCAGTAATTCTTGAGTTCCCAACATGCGTCTTGATACTCTTTTCCGATACTGTATCCACGGCCTTATTAGCTTCAAAAGTCATAAGAGCATGTCGAAGCTTGAGCTGCATAAACACAGGGAAGATTTTTTCCTGGATTCGAATGTAAAAGACTATATCCGGCCCTGAAGGCATATTTGACGGGAAGTAAAACGGGGGAACAGTCATATCTTCGTGTCTTGAGTTGTTGTTAACATGGGCAGACATGAAATCCTTCATTGAAATATGCTCATGCGTGATCCCCTGGTTGCCGTTATCGCGCAAACCGACTATTTCTGTATCTCCATCGAGCTCTTCGCACATAGAACGGATCGTTGGGCTGTGATCCCAGTTACAAAGATTCTTATTTTCTGATCCTGATTGAAATACGTCCATGAAAACGCCAATCATCATCGGTTCCCACCCACGTCCTTGGGCTTGAGGACTGTCAGCTTGTTCCATGCTTTTAAACTATTTACAAATTCAGGGTCCTGCGCCTTGAAATAGTTTTCTACTGCAGCCAGCACAAATGGTTCGTCTACTACAGTGGTTGTTTTCTTTCCGACAATACTGAACCTACCTAGAGCGTGTTCCACTAACAAAGGCTCTGCCCTTGGAAGTACTATACTCGTATCTCCAAACATATAGCGCTGAAAGAGTAGTAGTTTTAAAATTTCATGAGCCGAGCATCGATTCTTAAAATCCTTGGATAGCTTAATATTTTGAGTAAATTTTCTCTCCAACCGAATAAGTTCATAGCAGAGGTTGGCTTTCTCTCTACATAAATCGTATGAGACAAGATCCTTTTCTACAAGGTCGACTGCTCGCTTCCATCCATATTTCGTGTTGAATTCAATGGTCTTCTCAATCGATTTGGTGATTGGACGAAAACAGCAAACAAGTTTTTTCACCATCAACTCAACAGCCTGTGATGGTAGGAGTTCATCTAGGCGAGTTTTCGCGGCTTCGTCCTTGAGTAGGCCCTTAAGATTGGTGATATAAGTACTGACTGACTCATAACCAACCCATCCAGGGAACTCCATGCACTCAAACTTCAGATATTCCAAGAATGATTCGAGCAATTTTGAAATGATTATACTGCTGTATCCCTCCTGAATAGATCCACCCTTCTCTGCCCATGTAAGAATGTAAATACAGAGTCTTGTCCCAGTAGTGACGATCGTGAGTTTCTCCGAACCTGCGATGTCTCGAGTTGCACACAAAATAGGATAAAGCAATGACCGAGCAGGCTCTCTCGCTATCGTTGGCTCAAATTCATTAGGGTAAGCTTCACCAAGGATCTGTGCCTCATCGTATACTACTAAAAACCTTGTGGATCCTGAAGCACCCTTGGAGTATAGTCCATCTTGCACATGTAAACGTACTCTTACTATTCGGAACTTGCAAGCAGTATTGGAGGATCTTTAGTCGTGCAAGCAATAGTAGGAACGTTAATCGAGTAGCTGGACGAAGGGTCCCTTCTAGCTACAACAAACGCTTCAGCGAGATATGGGCTAGATTTTTTTATTTCAACCTCTTGGAGCTCTCTCTATTTCCTATAGAAGTCACTTCGTTTTTTTGCGCTATCGTTGATGTCATCAACGTCAACTAATTTACGTTTTGTCTTATCTCCATAGCTGCTCATCACTTCTCCCCCTACTTTACCGATCTCCTCCTCAACCTTGACCTCCACTTGATCGTCCTCATGCCTCCTCTTCGCCTCTTCCTCTTCTTCTTCTTCCGCATAATCTTCAGGCTCTAATCCTGCTTTAGCAAACATCTTTTTTGGGTCAGAGAGACGATCACTATTGTTAGAGGAACTCTCCTCTTCCTCTTTATACTTTTACAGTATCCTCAGTCTTCCATCCTTCCTTTTTTAACCTTTCTTTCAGCTCTCCTATATGATCATCGGTCGCATCGTTGGTATCACTACCATCACTATCCTCCTCTCCATAATCTTCATCATCCTCAGGCTTCTATCCTGGCCTTGCAATCTTTTGTAGCATTTCGAGGTGAACAGTCAGCGGAAGTCTCCTAATATCTACTGTGGACGGTGGCTACATGCTATTCATTTCCCTGGCATCCACTTGATTTGGGCTCATACAACGATCTAACGAACAGATATAAATTTTAGAATGAGAAATATATAGACCTCTTATAAGTCCAGGGTGTTAGCGCCAGAGAAGCCTCGCTTACTTGAAGTTGATGTCTCATCCTTAGCTTCAGCCATAAGTGTATGAATAAGGTCAAGCAGTCTTTGTGTCCTGGCTTCTTCGCGGACTTTTTGTCTTGTAATTTTATCATTTTCTTCCAAGGAAACGAACAATCGATTCAACTCATATCCCATGTTGACTATAAGGGATCGGATATGCTTCATATTGGATTGAACCTTGGAGACCTCCGCTTTGAGATCCGAGAGCGAGGGTCCTTCTTGGGCCAGCTCCTTCTGCTCTTCCTGATTCTCGTCAAGTTCAGCCCACCCCATCTTCCTCTTACTCTCCCCACTTTCATCGCTCCGGGTCGCAATCTCCTTGCACCCTCTCCCAGCCACAACTTCTGCCTCATCATTTCCATCAAAAAGCCGCTGTGCAAGATCATCAAAGAGCTTCTACTGCACAAGACTGCCAACAAAGCACTGCACAAGAACCTCAACAAAACACTGTACAAGAGCCTCAACAAAGCGCTGTACAAGGCAGTCAACAAGGCTCCTCTCATGAAGAGGACGATCAAATATCTGTCCACGCCCTTCCACCTCAAGAAGCAAATATGAGCGACCCTGCCGCGGCCGACAAGTGCGTAAGCGCATTACTCCTCCGTCGCTACGATGCTCTATTAGGCTCAGCAAAGCAAATGGTACAGCGAAATGCGAAAAATGCAATGCAAAATGCGAAAAATGCAATGCAAAATGCGGAAAACGCAATGCAAAATGCGACAGCCTACATTAACATAATAGGGATGTTTGAGGAACAGGTGAAAGAGGAATGCCATATAATTGATAGGCAGAAGAATATTGGCGGATACGCACTCGGGCCATCATAAAAAAAGAAATAGCAAATAAATAAAATAGACCTTTTCTGTTGTTTAGTGAGGTTTAATCTTCAGTCATCTTCCAACCTTTTGTTCTGTTGTACTTACGCAAAACTTTAAAAGGCAAGAACCTTTCGTGAATAAAAAAAAAGATAAAAGTCTTCGCTTTTATTGGAGCCATTTCATATTGTTTTATATAGAAATCAAAGAATTTAGGTTTTCATCTACCGATTGTCCACGTTTCCTTCTGTTCCCACGAGGTTTTCTAACGTGGCGAAGTGGCTCATATTAGTGCTTTTTTTTTTTTTTTTTTTTTTTTGTTTCTCCAAATTTATACAGCAAGGGGAAAGGAAAGGAGTGTGGTCAATCCGGATTTCAAAAATAAGGCAACTCTATGCCACTTACGGTCTCATTGGTGGTGTTACGCCTAAATCTGTATCTCAGAGCGAGCCAAAACTGCTCGATGGGATTCAAGGGAGGAGTGTATGGTGAGATAGAGACTGGATTGAATCCACGCTCCTTGATTGTCGCTTCAACAGTATTCGTGTAGTGGACAGTTATCCATAATGATGTTAACAGCCTTTCATTACTCAATGTAACAGAACATACCTGAATTTACGACGCTTCGCCCAAAATTCCCAAAATAGCTAAAATAGAGCCCCTAACACTATTATTTTATGTATAGAGCAGACCTTTTCCCGAATAAAGGTTGCCTTCACACCTAGCTTTATTCCCTCTGATCACCAATGTTACTTTTGCTTGTTTCAAAAAAACAAAGATAAAAAGCCATTCAAGGTTTTTGGTCATAACATTCCATTTCAGTATAGCGAGTTATGCTCTAAGGCCATATCAATTAAAAACAGGTTTCGCCTTTATGGACTGATTTCGGTGCTCATGGCCAGGGTATAGACGCTTCCAGCTAATATGAATGGTAGTAGAGGATCTTTGGGATATAGCATGAATGTATGAGCGAGTTTAAGTTAATTTTGACATTTCTTCACCAACTGGCACCTTTTTTTTTCTACTAAGCAAATAGTAATACGCTTATCCCCAAATCTCCGGAACATCTGAAAATGTCAGTATGGAAGTGGGAATCTTCGTAGTTGGCCGTTATTTATTTTCTACCTAAAAGTGCTATTGACATCTATAAAACAATCATATGCTTTTTGTATAGCGAGGATATATAATCTTTGTCACTAAGCGGTTCTAAGTCATTGAATGTCTAACTTTGCTATATAGATTTCGCAGTAGACTTGATTTTAGAGACGCGTTCATTAAAAGGTCAAGAGCGTGTTGGCTCATTAAATACTTAAAGGCACGGGTATTCAAGCAGAAAGAGGTGAAGGTGTTAGAGTGATAATGCACATCCACGTCTAATGTAGACCTGTCTCAGAAAGATGGATGGTTTTTTTTTTTTTTTTTTTTTTGATAACGGGGACCCACGAGGCCATGAAGGACTTATTAGATGTTGGTTCTATAAATGAGTTGTCCCAAATAGGTGTCTCCAAGATATGAATGGTATGAATTAGTATGTCATTCAAATGGTCCGATCGAACGCGCCCATCAGTACCTTCTTCCTTCGTCTGTCACAAAATCTGGAATGTACGTCACACCATATGATAAGTGTCAGTTAAAGAGGTTGGAATGGAGTTAGGTTCTCATAGCCAGCTATTGCGGAGAGCCTCTTTATTTGCAAATTGAGGAAAATCTGGAACAAATCTGTTCTGAAAACAGACGAAGGCACGTTATCCGTACAAATCCTTGTCAAAGTCAAATTGTTATAAAGTCGCGTCGTTGAGGTATGGCAACAGAAAGGATTGTCAAATAACAACCCTGAGGATCCTTGTCAATAAGAAAAAAAAAAAAAAAGGGTTATCAAATAACAGCGAAGCGCAGGATTGTCAAATCAGATATTTTAAAAAATCTATAGCTCCATTGTTTATATTCATTATTCTATAACTAGCCAAATCATCATTGCCCGGAAAAGACAAATTTGATACGCGAATCGCTACTACGGCTACATTCGTGCGCCAAGGTTCTTCCCAAGCCAGGCGATCCACAATAGAAGACACCGACTCTAATAATCTTTCCTGCAGAAGAAGATTGCTGTCGTTGTCGTCTTCGTCCTTGTTGTCGTTGTTGTCGTTGTTGCTGTTGTCCAATATCCTGATTACCATCGCCGTCATTCTCGCTGTCGTTGCCTTCACCATTACTCTCCTCTTCCTGAAACAGGAGCCTGCTCTTCATGTCTTCAAATAGAGTTGCAAAATCAGGGCGTCCAAAATGTATATTGTTAGGGCCTATAATGGCGTCATCACCCTGTTCTATATTTTCTGCTGCCCGTGCTACTGCCGCTGCTGCTGCTGTTGCTGTACTAGAATGGGATGTGGGCTGTGGGTTTATGGAAGGCGAAGAGATCGATTGTAAGGAGATAAGCAAGCCCGATTCTAATGCCGAATCACCACCGCCATAACGATCCAAAGGCGACAATAATTCCTCATGTTCCTCATGTTCATCATCATCTTCAGAATATCGTCGTCGCCCACTTCCAGAAGCCAGCCCTATAGACTCTGTTGTTGTTGTTGTTTCGATAGCTGGAGGTAGAGGGTTTTGTGTGCGTTTATTTTCCCGTCTAATAGCTTCATCATTCTGCTGAGATCTTTTAATCCCAATACTGGAGCTCCGTCTAGGAGATAGATTGTTACAAAGGGCTGATGGCGATGGCGATGACGATGACGATGAATAAGCTGTTTCTGATGTGAAATATATATGAATGCGGATCAACCCTGTCCTGAAGAGCTCCATGGTTTTCTCCATTGAGAACAGTGACTGAAACCATTCAAGCTTGTTGGCGTCGCGCGACACCCAATATAGATCTAATGTTTCAAGTCTTGAGCTCTGCGTCTCTTGATGCCGAAACCTATAATTGGGTTGTACAAAATTAATTATCGTTTTTTTTTTTTTTTTTTTTTTTTTTAAAGCTGGTCAATTATATACAAATCGAGTGAAAGGAACCAAAAAAAAAAAAAAAAAAAAAAAAGTTCTTTACCAAATATGTCGAAGGATACCCGAAAAGGTCGTAATTCCGTTCCCTGTCCCAATGAGCACCGCATGATCAAAATCCAAAACATCATCTTTAGGCCCTCCATATGGACCATCAACCTTGATGAGAGGCAGTAATGAACGATCCCGAACAACCTGTATCTGCTCTATCCGCGGTGTTTCTGGTCCATATCCCAATAATCTTGCAAGGTTCCTTGTCCAGTCACCGTCCTGTCGAATATCCAATGATATATACTGTTCGAACGGTGATGATGTGATCGTAAACGGATGCCATTCAAATTTGGACAGCCGGGGTATATTGAGGTAAACATGCTGTCCTGGACGATAATGAAGGGAAGGTTGCTTAAAATTGAGCTCGATGGCACCTCCAGGATGAGCAATGGCGGATGACAAAACAATGGGCTGAAAAGATTCAAAGGTCCGGAGTAGACGTTCGATCACGTAAATAATAGAGGCGAGCACAATGTATTTCCAAGAGTTGTAGCCACGACATTCACCGTCATTTGTCTTTACAAAACATCCGTAGCCATGAAATGTGTAGAAGGCCATGACCAAAAGAGCCAAATGATGAGTATACCAAAAGACTTCATAGTTCCTCTTTCGAATCTTTTGATGGGCTGTGATGAACATGATGCCGAGTAAGAGGAGCATCCAGTATCCAGTCACTCCTGCCCAGGTCCCAAAATGATATGACATGGCACTACCGCGGCCCAATTGTTCAAGTCGATAAAAGTTGACGCAATGCCCTAATAGATGGATCGTCAAAAATACAAGGATGTGATAGGCGAGGAACCTGTGGTAATAAGTCAGGCTGGAGTTGCTTCCCTCGGAGATTGTGCCATGGCCGATATTGAACGCAAAGACGATCCGTGCAATATAGGAGAGCAACTTGCGACAGACTAGGAGCATGATTATGGCCATGTCAAAGGCCAGACAGAGCGCTGCTCCTCGGGAGCAGTAGATGGAGAAACCAATTGCATTGATATTAGAAAGTTCGCTATCGTTACGCTGGAGCAGAAAGCCGTAGGTGAATATGGCGACATGTGCAGCTGAGATGAGTCTCTTGACGATTGTCGACATTGATCAGAATGTGTGTATGAAGAAAAAAAAAAAAAAAGAAGTAAGGAGAGAGGGCTGTGGAGGGAATGTCATAGGAGCGAGTGAATATGCCATGACAAAGAAGCAAGATCACTTATTCTTGTTAGGGCAGTGACATGGAGCAATGGAAAGAATGGGTGGTGTTGATGTTGAACTATTTGTAGAGAGTAAAAATTAAAACGGGGGTCTATACACCGTTCGTATATTTTTAGCATTACGAACATTTGAAGTAACTTCTAGGCCGGTGTGAAATTCCGATCAAAGACGCGACATTTCCCTCTCTGCTCGTACCTGCTAGACTGTGCCTAGGAAATATTACTATGGTAAGCTGTCCGTGTTGCTCTTGATATGGTATGACATTATGGGACAGGTTAGGATGTGTAGCTCAACGACTATATCACATGTTGTAAAATCATTGAACTAAAGGATGCTGCATTTGTTCTAGGCTTCCCTTTTCTTTAAGCCATTTCAAGCAATGACGCAGGCCACTCCACCCAAGGCTGGAGCACAGTCTTGTAGACGATCTTGCACCTGTACATCCCAAGTTTGCCTTTAATTCTTTCATTGTTGGTGAATACATTAGGATGACTTGGATATGTAAACATTAGGATATGCGACATAGAGATGACTATGACTAAAAAAAAAAAAAAAAAAAAAAAAAAAACGCGTCGCGAAAGATAAATGTGGACGTTTTTTTTTTTTTTTTTTTTTTTTTTTTTTTGAGATTTGTTGGTAGCCATGATATATATTGTGGCATCATACCAAGAGTAATCTATACAGGGATAGTAAACTTCTGTCTGGCGCAGCTGCAGTAACAGTGATTGATGTCCTTTGCCACGGTTTCCCTTGTGCACATGATTGTATTGCAATTTGACCAGACGAAATCCGAACCACATATATATTTTGGCGTTGAATCATTCGTGTTGCATTTGGGGGGGGGGTTTCTATCAAGAGCTCTGTCTCTGCAAGTTTAAGACTTATTGTATTAGTGATGACCATTTTACTGCCCCGTGTTCTATATACTCTCTTACTGTGTAACTCCTCCTTCTTTCGGCCTTTTCATATAATACTTGATCTTTATGAGTATCCCCCACATTACCAATGTACATACATGGTTTATGAACTATGCGCTCTATTCCTTTCTTGTTACGACAGCATTTTTTTTTCCATCCCCAACTAAAGCACGGAATTTGTATCGACAGTTATATATTTTAATGCCAACCGCCTCTTTTTTTTTTTTTTTTTTGTCACTATCCTTCACGTGTCATTTGGGAAAATGTATAATCTATGAACGCATTGCAATCGTCATTCGAGATTCAGGTTTTGTTTGTAGGTAAAAAAAAAAAAAGGCAGAGAATTCTTCATGATAACCAATTTCAGTTCCTGCATTATATATATTTATACTTGTATTATTATTATTATTATTATTATTATTATTATTATCATTATATATTATTTATTTATTTATTTTTAGGTGAATTGAAAAAAGACATTACGTGTATTCTGGACACACAACAAATACAATTTAGTCGTGGCGCAGAGGATGCATGTACCCCTGACAGTCAATAAAAGTAAAAAAAAAAAGGCTTGCAACAACAACACCCATGACACCGAAGGCTTAAATTCGCTCAATATATCCCTTAACGGTCAATACAGACATTGATGTAAACATAAATATAAATATATAAAATATAAAGTAGTACAAAATATACATGAATATCAAGCGCTTCTTGAGGTGTATTACTAAAAACCTATTGTTCTTTTTTTTTTTTTTTTTTTTTTTTTTTTTTTTTCGACTTGACAATTATCTGGGGCATTGCTATTTATTTGTACGTCATTCAAAATGACGCCTAAAAGCTAAATTTGTTCCTCCCATTTGAACTACAAAGTAATCTTTTGATACTTTTTTTTTTTTTTTTTTTTTTTTTTGGGTGAATATTCAATCTTCGATAAACGTTGGGTATTCCTAAAAAAGGAAGAAAAAGAAAAAAGAAACTCTCAAATACTTCAACCAAGAGGTGGGGAAAAGAAAGAAGAAGGAGAAGAAAAGAACCTAACGTTCACGTTCATGATCTTCTAAAGAGGATTCCGGGTTGCTGCCTGCTTCCATCTGGTACAAGTCAACATACTTTCGAAGTTCTTCTTCCAATGCCACGATGTAATCAACGGCTTTTCGAAGGATCGTCGCCTTGGAATCGGTGTTTTGGGCGCATTCGGGAATAACACTCTTGAGTTCATCAAATCCGCCGTTGATCTTCTCTCGTCTCTTCTGTTCCGAGATGATGTGAGCCACACGGCGTGTCGGGTCCACAGGCTCCTTTGGTGTAGGCACAACCGAGGGAACCTTACGTGTCTGACGACCATGATACTTGCGTGGAGCCGAAGTTTGAGGCGCTCGAGGCGGGAGAGCACGTGCTGGAGGGATGATCCGAGGAGCAGGGATGGTCAAACTTTTGCTCCGCGTCCTGGGAGAGTTTTGGGGTTGAGCCTCCTGTGGCTGCGACTGCTGCGAAGGTGAGGATTGGGGCTGAAATTGGTTGTAACTGCTATTTGCAGGCAACGAGGAAGACATGGCAGCAGAAGTCAACTGTTGCTGTTGCTGCTGCTGCTGTCTCTGGAAGTGCTGAGTGATCGCGGAGGAGATCGCGTTGAATGAAGGGGTTTGGGCGGTAGAGGTGGGGATAAATCCGGAGGAATGGTGTTGATACATCATCGGAAGGCTTTGAGGTTGGAAGGAGGGTGTCGTTGGAGTGGTAGCTGAAGGTCCGGAATAATGAGAGGAAAACGCAGGGCGGCCACGGGTAGCCCCGGGCATGGCCATGGGCATGGCAGCTGAAGAAGATGATCCGGAAGGTGACGGGGAGGAAGAAGGCATCACGGAAAGTGAGGCAAGAGACGCAAGCGAGGTTTCAATTCCATGGATGCTGGTATTGTTGTTGTTGTTGTTGTTGTTGTTACCACCATTACCGCCTGTACGACCATGTGAGTGCTGATGGTGAGAGTATCCAGCAGTGCTCGAAGCCAATAGACCAGGCGAAAGCATGGAAGAAGTCATAGGACTGGTGTCTGAAGTAATTGATCCAGGCGATGAAGGCGATAAAGGGGAGGAAGGAGCAAAGCCGGTGAAGCCTGAAGGGATAACAAAACCCTGAGTGACCTGAGAATTGGAGAGGCTCCTATGATGATGCAGACCCATCATTCCGCCACTGTCTTGGGCTTGGTTGCGATCTTCGGACTTTTTATCATCCTCTTCGTCCATCTCGTCTTCATCAATGTCCTCGTCACTGATCATGTCATCAGTGTTTTTGATGTTGATATGTTGATGGCCTCCTCCGAATGATGGTTGCTGAAACATACTGGGACGATCTTGGTTAGTGCTGGCAGTGTTGCCTCGTGCGAAGCTGCCATTGTTGTCCATGTTACTGTCACCGTTAGCCTGACTGCTCTTTTTTCTTAAGCCATAGCCGTATCCCTGAGACTGCTGACGCTGTAATCTCCGATGTTGTTGAATTTGCTCCTGGAGCTGACGGACTTGCTGTGATTGCGGTAGGTGGTTCAGATTACTCGATAGCCCCAGAGCCGAGGCTGGCTTTGACCAGGACGGAGGAGGATTCATGTCTAAGTCAACAACAAGAGACGAGTGCATTGATTGACAGAGAAACCGAATAGTACTTGAAAGATAAAGAGGAAAAAAAGTAGAGAGATAAAAAAAAAAAAAAAAAATTGGAAGACAATAAAAAGAAAAACGGTTTTTGCGCTTCCAGGTTTATTATTAAAACTTGAAGAGAATAAAAAGTCGGTGAAGACAAAGACGAAACGGTATAGATATGAATGGATGACTAAATTTGAGAGGAAAGAAGGTAGATGGATCGGTAGATGGATTGAGTACAGGATCAAAGTTGTGTTTCTTGATAAAGTCTCAAGGATGGTTTGTAGGTGTGTGTAGGAAAAGGATTTAAAAGGACCAAAGATGGTCAGACAGGAAGGGGGAGAGGTAGGAGGAAGGAGGAAGGAAGGAAGAGGAAGAGGAAGAGGAAGGTAAGAAGAGGAAGAGGAGGAGCGAGAAGAGGTAGAGTAGGAGGGTAGGAAGAGGTAGAGTAGGAAGAGGAGAAGGAAGGAGGAAGGGAGGAGGAGGAGAGGGAGGAAAAGCGAGAGGCAGAGAGAAAGAGTGAAGAGCACCAACGAAAGGTAAAGAGTGAGAGAGAAAGAGAGCGAGAGAAGAATAAGGAAAAAAAAGAAAATCCTGGAAGCGCAAAGGAAACCAAGAAAGAGAAACAATTGAGAAAGAGGAGATTGGGAGGATGGAAGGTATTTATATTCGTTGGAAATACAATCCGCGGTGAAATGTCAGGATGAAAGTGGAAATGGGGCGATTTGATAAAGAGATATTTGTGCCACTAACAAACAGAGTTGGAACATTGTATTTTAATGCGCCCTCTCGGGAATCATGGACCCTTGTGGCAGAAAAGACCGATAACAAAATAACAAATAACAAATTACAGCTGAGAAAGCGAAAGTGATCAGTCCATTTAAAAACTAATACAGCTTTTTTTTTTTTTATTTTATTTTATTTTGTTTTATTTTGAATGCTATCTATCAATGATTACATTTATACATACAGAAAGTATATATATTTATATACATGAATCTATCTTGACTTCAAACGTGACAGCGAACAATCCAATCGAATTATCGAATTTATCTTTTATGGCTCGTCACCCCTGTGGTGTCAAAGGAAGGGGTGAAGGATGGGATGAGAAAGGAGAAAGGACCAAGCAAGGGACCATTGACATTGAGACATCATCAAAGCAAGGAGGGTAGGGAACACTTTTTTTTTTTCTTTTGATCATTGCATTGCATTCAACATTCATGGATAAGAAAAGAAAGAAAAAAAAACAAAGAGACAAGAGGAGGATCTCGGGGAAAGAGAGGCATTTGATAGAAAAAAGTCATCATGAATCCTTCTATCCCAAACAACTCTATCCATTTCAAAAAAGCCTTGCAGCCTACTAACAAAATAAATGATATTTATTTGCATTTATATCTTGTACATACATGTATATCTCTTTACTTGTTCTTCTGCCTTAAAGTAAACAAGTTCCACCACAAATAAAATACTGCCTCTTGTATGTCTTGTCTCGCATGGCAATCCCTTGCTTCACTAGCCAGTGCACGGTTTCTTCTCCTTTATTTCACTGTCCAATGCATTCTTGACTTTATCACTATCTTATTTTTTATTCTATTGCTGCTATTTCTTTATTTTATTTTATTTTATTTTATTCCATGTCTTGGTCTAGTTTCATCTCGTTGTACAGTCCATGCACAAAGAAAAGAAAAGAAAAAAGACAAAGAGAGATCGAACCGATCGAAAAAGATGAATGAAAGAGAAAGGACGACGTTTTTTTTTTTTTTTTTTTTTTTTTTTTTAGTGTGCTTTGATTAATGACTAACATGTTAATTAAAATGAAAGCCATATCCAAAAAAAAAAAAAAAAAAAAAAAAGGAGTAGAAAGGGAAGGATAAAAAAAAAAAAATGAATTTCGTAGATGGTAAAGGATGAGTAGATACGCTCAGATACAAACTTTCGCGACGACGTCTCCCTCATATCCTCTCTCTCTGCCCCTTCCCATTACGGATATCTCCTTTTTTGCCTTTGCTGGACATGTGGTTAGCATTTGCCGATTCTGTTTTCTCCCCCCTTTGTCCACAGCGCTTTTTTCTTGTCTTTGTTGTCAGTGCTCAAACTCATGCCATGCTATCAAATTTTCATATGACAGCGGCTGTGACACTGTGACACCATGACAAAAGGGACAGAAGGGAGGACAAAGGACATAATCAAATTAACACGTTTATTCTTCCTACTGTATGACCCACAGATATAGTCTAACATGTTCTTTATGATGGATTATAAATGATGTCTTGTTGCAACGAAGGGGGAGGGACGCAGGTGGGGAGAGGGGCCAAGAAAACATTCTTCCTTCCCGTAGATTGATCGTAGGTATCCTTTTTTTTTGCCTAGATTTCTCTCTCCCTCCATAACGTCTTCATTGCTGTTGTATATTAGTTCCGTCTAGTTGTGAAGACATTTGGAGTAATATGCTTATGCGTATATTTATATAATACATGTGTAAGTGTTTCTATTCAATACTCGATTGTATCCGTGTTCAAAAAAGACTTTGAATGTTTACTATGGATAGAGATAGGGAATGATCTTTTGATTGGCTGGATCGCATACGGAGTCATTGGTCACTGGTTCCATTCTGACATTTTGTCTGTCCCGCCCGCACCAATTCTCGTTACACACCCGTAAAAAAAACTTTGCTCTTGTGTCATGCGTGGCATTGGCTCTCAATTGTTTTCTTTTTTTTTTTTTTTTTTTTTTTTTTTTTTTAACCATTGGTAAAAAAATGCCGCGTGGAAGGCTGAGCTGACAAGGCAACGACATTACACGAAACCACAGCATTCCTTCATTCTCTTACAAAGAATAAAAAATATATATATATATATTGGAAAAACATGATATTCCTACAGATCTCTATGAAAAAATCCTGCACATCATCGATAAGCACCATGCTCCATGACACGTACAAAAACAAACAGGAGTAAAGCCCATTTTTAGTTTAATTAAAATCTATGGTAACGCTTCTTCCAACTGCACCATCTGTTTTTTCCCTTTTTTTTTTTTTTTTTTTTTTTTTTCTAGAGCTTGATGTCACCATGCTTCTTCAACATGGGTCGGATATACTCCTTGTATCCATCGCAGACCTCTTGTCGATTCAAAGGCTCAGACTGAGCTTTATCCCACAGTCGTTTGTATGCATCACCATCCGACGCACCCAATGCGGATGCCAACAGATAATCCGGATGATAAAACGCGTCCACTAGACCTACAGCATCATCTGCTAAACTTGCTACCAGCACTTTCACTTGTGCTCGAAGTGATTGGCATTGAGCTGGTGAGAAGTAACCATCCTCCACAAAATCTGCCAGATTCGTTTGAATGGTATGCAACGCGTGCAGGTGCGAGAGCTTCATCAACACCTTGGCCGTCTCGGGCTTGGCTCGACAATCCTCGTCGGCCTCGGGATCGAGAGCTTCCTCGATCGCTTGTAAGAACCAGAGAACCATGACATATTGCGCATGGGCATGTGATACCCTGTAGCATTCAATATTGTGGTCCGACCATGTTTTCTTATTACCGTGGCTCGCCTCAACTGCATCGTAAAGTTCCATCGCCAATCGTGCACAGCGGTGCTCAAGGGCTGCGATCTGTATCTCCGGTTTAAGCCAATCCTCAGGTCTGATGACAGAGCATGAAGATCTCGAGAACCGTTCACCATCTAGCGTCAAGAGCAGATACTTTGAGAATGGCGTCACCTTGTCAGGATCTGATCTGGCTCTCTTGAGTTCCTTCAGCAGGTATCGGGCCATTTGCTGCGTTAGCACGTAGTTGTCCCCCTCATACGTATTAGAGGGCACAATCTCTGCAAACATGTGCGCCAGACCTGTAAAATATGAATACCCATGTCCACCTAGCAACTTTCGGCATTCCTCTGCGCCCGTTGCTCCAATGGTAGTGCAGTAGGATTTCAATGCAGAGGATGTAGCATGGACTTCGGCCAGTGCATCAACCTTGCCACTCGATAGGCTGGTCATTAGATTGATGTACATATTCATCATGACCGATCCTGCAGCGTAGAGCGCATAGGCTTGAGCAATCATGGGGAAGAGACGGTTCTGGACCATGGGATAGTTGATCACCTGAGTCTCAAGGCCAGGATTCAACTCTGCGTCGTTTCGGCTCGTAGGATTGTTGAACTGACGACGCACAGTCAGATAACGCGTAGAGATTGTAGTGGCACGTGATAGGTACAAGGCCATCTGGCGAATCAGGACAGATCGCAACAAAACCATGGAGCCATATGACAGCTAAAAGAGAAGGGAGAAAAAAAAAAAAAAAAAAAAAAAAAGGATGTAAGCCAAATGGGAGTATATGGTTACAAAAGATTTGAAAAAGTATCACTTAAAAAGGGGCTTTTACCTTATCATGAGGTGGTTTCGTAAACACACCATCTCTGGAGACTTTGGAGAATCGCATCAGCATATTCTCGCGTGGAATGCGATACTTGTTGAAGCGAGCAACTATAACGAGGTTGGAAATAAAATTAAAAAGATAGTAGTCAGTCAATATTAAACTTCTCGGGTGCTCGTCCTTTCTCTTCTCATTCAGTTAATATGTGTGCTTTATATGAATCCTACAGCTTACATCCATTATCCATTTTGTTAAAGCCTCCATAGGCTTTAGGACCAATATCTCCGACCTCAATGCCCGGGAAAGGTTTGTGGTCCTCCAAGGATCGAATAGGGACTACAAAGACATGAGCACCATAATCTTTGCCATCAATGATCAATTTGGCCTGGACAACTGCATGGGTGCAGATGGTACCTAATCCACCAATCCACCATTTGGCGGCTGTGAAGGTGGTGCTGTTGATCTCCCATTCGTCCGTCTCCTTAATGAACGTGGCTGTGGTTTCAAGGTTGGAGAGGTTTGAACCATGACCAAGCTCTGTCTGGGCATAGCACCCAATGATCTGGTACTTTTGAGCAGGAACAACCCATTTTTCAATCTGTTCGTCAGTTCCTTGAGCATCGATTACAGGGATAAAGGCTTATTTTTTAAAAAAATAAATAAAATAAAATAACAAAAGATAAAGGAATGAATATCAAGATGCTTTCTTCACAAGAATGAGCTACATTGTAAGAATTCTGTCAATGACGAATTTTTTTTTTTTTTTTTTTTTTTTTTTTACCTCCGTTGTGTAGAAGAATCTTGCAATAGCATAAATAAAAGAAGATTTAATTTTATTCAATTAGACTTTTTTCTCCACATTTCCCCACAGGTCAAAGTTTTTTTACTTTTCATTTTTTTAAATACGACTTACTGGAAGCGGGTCGTCAATGGCCTCAACGACTGTCGCAAAGTCAAGGTGGTTTAGATCATTTTCCAACATAATCTCAGCTAGTCGAGCCGACATGGCAATGCCACGCTTGACAGCATCCGTATGATTCAACCATGCCCTGAGGAAAACACAAACATATTTATAAATGTTGCTGTTAGCTTGATTTTTAAAAAAAAAAAAAAAAAAAAAAAAAAAAACTTTTTTTCTTTTATTCAACGGGTGTCAGCAGAGTAAAAATACCAATCATCCTTGTTGAAGATGGGCTCACGAGCAATGAGATCAATAATATATCGACGATGCTCCACATTCGAGGGCCCATTATAGAGGAAATTGGTCATGTTGGTGACATCGAACGACGTCTTTGTCCTGGCATGGGCCAGATCCTTTTTATTTTGTGAGTCTTCTGTCATGATATTTCTCTAGTGTCAAGGTGTCTAGAGGAGGAAAAAAAAAAAAAAAAAAGTGCTGAAGAGGAATGAGAACTGATGAATGAAAGGAATGAAAGCAAATGATGGAGGGAAAGAGGAGAGAAATGAATGGGAACTATTTTTTTCGGCTCACGAATAACGACAGAGTTGGAGAGGTCCGTTTGTTTAGAGTGTGTTTATTCCAATGATGGGACGATTCGGTTGCCCAATGGATGTCAAGGGGAAAATTGAACGGGTGGATGTAACTATTCCTCATTCCAACCTATCAAATATCAAATCGCGTTAATTGAACCAGGACGTTCATGTAATCCAGCTTTTGTCAGTCCTGCCTGCCTTTCACTCTTTTAATCTCGGTTCATGATCCCATGACCTTTACTCATCCATAAACTGAACACAAACAACAAAGTCTCGGTCAAGAAAAAAAAAAAAAAAAAAAAAAAACGATAGTTCATTTGTCTTAGTTAGTGGCGGTTTTTCTTTTTTAATTTTGCTGTGTCAGAATCTGATGAATTCAACTGGCTATGCCCCACTCACCTTTATACACACACACGCACCTACATAGACTGGGGAACCTCGAACATCTGGTATCTTTGCGCCTCAAGCACCTGGCATCCCCTCATCTACTTGCATCTTCATCTGTTATACTATACTATACTATAGAATCATGTGAAACAGAGGTGACCAACACTGACACCTACAATACCATGTCGTTTACTTCTTTTTTTTTTTTTTTTTTTTTTTTTTTTTTTTTTTTGGATCAAACGTCATTTACAATGGATACAATGATGATAGGATGGGACCCCGTTCTTCCTTCTTCTACCTTCTTCTATGTCAGTATGTCAGTAATATCACAATAAAGAAAACAAAGCTGACGATAAGAAGCAAAAAAATATATTTATAAAAACCCTTTCATCCTTTTTCTTTTTTTTTTCTTTTTTAATCTCTTCCTCTTCATCCTCCGAGTATACAACAACTCAAGGCTTTCCCCTCCTACTCAAGTATTCAAGGCCCACATCTTGGACAGGATTTAATGCCAACAAGAAGATAAAGAGGCAAGAAAGAAAAGAAAAGAAAAGGAAAAAAAAAAAAAAAAGCCAGCAATAATAACAATGGAGTTCTACAGTTTCCAATATCCTCCTCGTCCCATTCCATCCGATCATCACCGTCCTACACGGTATTATTTCCATAATCTGGATCAGGATCGAATCATCCAAAGGAAGAATCATCAAGTCTTCTTCCAGAAGGAAGGTGTTCCCCCTAAAGTCCTGCCTATCACTGCCACCACCATCACCACTCCCACTCTCACTTCTACTACCACTACCACTAGCTCTAGCTCTAGCTCTACTTCTACTCCTACCTCTGCTGCTGCTGACTGTACAAGTTTAAGGGGTATCTCGGAGGTCAGGGTTTTGGACAGGACTAAATTCTTGATCGAATAATAGAAACAATCAATAACAATCATAAAACAGTAAACAGTAGAATTCCTCCCCCTCCCCCCCCCAAACTATCATCACTGCGCCTTACAATGAAAAATAAAAAAAAGTCTCAATTTTTTTTTTTTTTTTTTTTTTTTTTATTGTCAGTAAAAGAGTTATGGCTTCATTGTCATCCAGCAAAGATCTTCTTTTCCAAGCACTTCTACATTCCTAGCTCGAGCCTTAACACGTAGGTTACGATCATCTGTCACCAAATAGATACCAGAACCTTGGTTTTGTTGTCCCAAACCCTTGTTCGACTGCGATCCAACTGAGGGTGAGCCAGCTAGGGATGAAAATGACGATCCATTATTTTCCTGATGCCAGAAACATAGCCCAAGGATGAAGTCATCCACATTGTGATTACGCATAATCTCTTCATCTCCATCGTACTCCTCCTCATCTCGATCATCGCCATAGGTCGATACAGTACCCGCGGTGGAGCCTGTTTTTCTATGTTGTGATGAATATTGCTGCTGTTGCTGTTGCTGTTGTTGCTGTTGTTGTTGCTGTTGCTGTTGTTGTTGCTGCTGCTGCTCAAAATTAAAAGACTCGACTCGGAAACTCAAGTCGTTCATGTAGTTGCCTCGGCTAGTCTGGATCTTGAGTCGACGTGGCTTGGGTCGCATGGCTAGACATCCTTCAAGATAATTCAATGCTGCTGCTGCTGCCGGTCCAAGTGGCGCAGGATTGTTCTTGAGACCATCCAGTTCCGTAATCACTGCCAAAGGAATAATAACCGTCCATCGGTCCGCAGAAATCACACGTTGAATCACCGTCCAGTCAGCCACCAAACAGTTGGTATCAATCACCAATATCGCATTATCTGCAACCATGGCTCTGCGCTGATGCTGTTGCGAGGATCGATGTTGGCCACTTGCTGTCGGGTTCCGACGATCCACGTATCCACTTCGTCCACTACCAGTACCCTTGGATTTTCTTCCGGGACTTCTACTTTGATTGTCGTATGCAGAAGCCAAAGGTGAATTTCGAGCTCTATGATCACGCTGCAGCGACCCGAGCTTGGCATTTTCTCTTCCATTCAAACTCGACTCTCCCAGCAATGATTTGAGTTGGTCTCGCTTCGATTTGAGTTCCATAATCTCTGCTGTGGAATAATCCATGCCATCTGAAGAAAACAATGCACCTTCGTCGTCCTCGATCCCAGAATCATGGCTGATACTAGCATGGGACGATGACATGATGTTATCGTCTGTAGAATAGTCCTCAGTGCTCGTCCCGTTAAAAGCATTACGGCCGTTATGACGGCTGGATAGTGTGGATGACATTGCTTCAAATTCCTCGATCTTTGTAGTGTATCCATCACCGATCTTGAATGCATTCTCACAGAAATCAAACTCCACAATCTCCATATGCTATATTGAAATGAATGATAGGAATAATAAAAAGGTGAGAAAAGTTAAAATTTAACTTGATTCAAAATCCATCCATGACAAGAAAAAAAAAAAAAAAAAAAAAAAAAGCTCTATTAACTATACCATTGCAGCAATAAGACTTAATTCGACAAGACGTTTGATCAAGTGTTCTGTTGTCAACGATCCTTGCTTCCAGAGATTATCACCTTTCAATTCCATGTCATCCATGGCCGGTTGTGGTCCCTCAAACGTCTGCTTTCCAAAACGACAAGTGGGCAGCCAAGCGAGTCCACGCAACTCCCATTCGTGACCAAGAGGAGGTGGCGATACCTTGAATAACGGCTTCTCTTGCACTGTTGCTTCCTCTCGGTCCAATTCTGAACTCGCCGTGTGATTCGACATTTCCTCAGATAATGCTGAAAGCATATCCGATTGTTCAAAAGGTGACATTTTATTCCAGTGATGGTTCATAAACTTCGTCAATGTTGTCCAAAATGTCGGTAATGTCTCGAGATTCACCATCATCTCCCAATTATCAGTCATGTTGCTTCCAGATCCAAAGGGGCGGCTGGCCATCCATAAAAGGACGACATGGCAATACACAAGCCATCCTTGCTGCTCCTCAATAGACAATGTTGCCACCTTCTTCTGGGACTCTTCAACGCTGGTCAAGTAACGTTGCATTGCTTGTTCCATTGTCAATAAAAGAAGTTTGGATGAGTATGGAAGGGTTACCACTGTTGCCAAATGATCCGTTAAAGCGCCAAATGCAGTGTTGGACTTTGCAATCGCCGAGGAGCTCCAGTTGAACTCGTAAATAGCTGAAATATTGATAACAGCCATCATGAAGTAAAATCCATCCCATCGCGTCGATCGAGTAGAATCCTTCAAGCTCTGTTCTTTACTCGAATCGTCCGTAAGCAATGAGTGCTGGGTGTGAAGGACCTTCAATTGTTTCGAAAAGTTTCGAAGTCTCCTTTCAAAGTTATCGAGATTGATCTTCTCAAAGAGCATAGCGTGAAGTAACAAGAACGAGCCCTCACAGTCCTTGAAGGTCGTATTGACGAGGCTAGCCTGTCGAGTTTTTGAGCTGTTTTTCAACGACAAGTCCTGAAGTTGTCTGATTTGTTCATTTGCTGCAAAAAACGAGGTCAATGTATCACGTGCGTTCATAAAGGATGATCGAACTGTCAAACTAAAGTGATTATCATGTTTTTTAATGGACGCAAGGGAAAGGATATTAATACTTATTTCCCCCTATTAGATTAATTTTCGCCAGCAACGATGCTTTCAGGATAACAGGATAACTTACCTCTTGCTATAGTAATACAAGGATTCTAATCCTCGGCAACCTGCCAAGAGTGCAAGCTGATTATACATTTTGCCATTACCAGGACCAACATCAATCGCTTCGCGGTACAATCTTCGTGCCACAATCAACCAATTAGTAGGTGGCGAAGCATCATCATCCAACTTGTGCAACCATCGGTAACGTGCAAGGTCGCCCAAGATGCCAATGCATCGATGCCATCGGGGGACGTATGCTGTCTGTGCAAGACCGCCATTAGGTGTCGCATGCTTGGCTTCTAGCTTTTGAAGAGTCGACTTGAGAGTCCCATAAAATTCTTGAGCGAACGTAATGAATTGTGCAAAGTAATGTCGAATGGTCTCACTATGGTCTTCATCCGACTCGGAAAGCGATTGGTTGGCATGATCGGAATTCCTTAATGCTACACGAAAGGTCTCGATAAGCGGATAAATGGCGAGTTTCCAGCACCGAGTATCAATGTCATGCTTTACCGATGACTTGAAGTCGGCCTGTATTAACTGGAGATATTTTGATGCTAGTCTAGAAAAGTAATACAAACAAATATAAATAAATAAATAAATAAAAAAAAAAAAAAAAAAAAAAAAAAGATGAGTTTTGCATAATTCAATAAAGTTACCACACTTGCACGCGCCTATTGTGACACCAACATTTATACATCCTAACAGTAACACTCTTTTTTTGCTGTGTTGACATCCCAACAATTTCTTTTGGAAAATCACATTGTACCTTTTGGAGTTGTCCATGCGTTGATGCCACGCCAAATGGCCGCTTTGTCTACTATTACTGTCCATGTCATCGTCACTATCCAAAGTCCGACGTGCAGGCTTCTCCATCATCTTCTTTTCCAGCTGCTGGATATCTCTAGTCAACTTGACTAAACCATCCACATGTGAAGGCGTAGTTGCTGAGGGTGAACTCTGTTTTGAAGGTTGATTAGGAATAACTGCGGCGGTCGTCGTCGTCGGAGCAATAGAGGCAGATGATACAGAGGCGCCTTCATGACGCACTGACTGCGGCTGCGGCCGATTGGGATCATATAATCTATGGTTCTGTTGCTGTCTCTGCTGTTGCTGCTGCTTCTGCTGCTTCTGCTGCTTCTGCGAACCATGACTCGATCGCCTGTGAGCACCTAAATCATGATTATAGGTGTCACCTGGATTAGAGCGTGTGAATGACTGTTGCTGTTGTTGTGTTGTCGAGGTAGAAGGCACAACCGGGATAGGGTCTCTTTTAGGATCAAAAAGTCGGCCAGTTGATCCCGTGGGCCTACTAGAGCTGGTGTCGGAGGCCGCGCCAGTGTTGTTCTCCCTTCGAGAGAGATATCCCCGTGAACGCTCGACAGGTGCACTTGATACACAAGCCGCTGTGGACTCTGAATCATTTTCGGAGGCAGTTGTGCTATTACGGCGGGCTTTATTGCTACTGCTGCCCTTGCCGCCACTACCGCCTTTACCGTTATTACTGTAGGTAGTTCTGTTAGAGGCATTGTTGTTATTGGCGCCAGTGCCGGTGGAGGAGGAGCTGGTACCAGCGTTGGCTGAGTTTAGTCCATTGTGTAAATCTGAATTAAAGGAGGGACTCTTTTCAAGTTTCTTTGGATGATTGCTGCTGGAGCGTTGTTTTCGCGAGCGGGCAGGTTTTGCAGAAGTGGAAGCTGAGTCTGGAGGTACGTATGGAACTGTCAAACCAGGCTTTGCTGTGCTCATCACTCGCGGGTATCTGGGAACGGTAGGATAGAGAGAATGGGGTGCAAAAGGCGAATAACGTAACTATCAATATTAGGAAAATGCGGGAGGTGTGGTCCAATAGACAATAGAGAAGGGTTATTAAAAGGCGAGCTGAGGCTGCAAAAGTTTGTTATAATGGAGTGATGAGAATAAAGAAGAAATTGATGAATGTTGGAAATGGAAGAAAAGAGAACATTAAATCAAAGAAAAAAATAATAATGATAATAATAAAAACAATAAAGATTTGAAATCCATGAGAAGCAACACAATGCTTTTTCTGGGAAGTTGTCACACTGTCATGAGCCTTCAGTGTTTATATTTCATGGATAGCACCATCTAAAAAATATAAACATGTGGTGGGGCGCCGCAGTTGATTACAACCCCTGCGTAGTGTCATGGAAGCTGGTGGCAGGTGACACAAAAAAAGTTGACTACGTAAGGAGAGTTGGATATTAAAGGCAAAACGTTGTTTATCTTTAAAATGTGGTTTGATAGGCTACTTTGAGCAAGTATTCATTGAAGCAACATAGAATAGTGCCCATGTCAGGGTCAAACCATCATCAAGTGGTATTCGTCCACCATCTCGGACTGAAAAGTATTGCCATGCCGCCTCCTTGTCCAATGTGGCATAATTCATCATCAAGATCGACTTCCAACCATCTTCAATATATCCGACTCGGGACTTCAACAAACTCTCCCATTCTTCTTGTACAAACTTGCGTCGGCGCACGAGTGGTAACGCCGGTGTAGCCGGAATCATTTGGATACCTTGAATGCACTCTGCAAAACATAAACATGTTTTAAATAAATAGAAAAGTTAATAAACCTTAGCCATGAGCAATCTTGAGAAACTGATTCATATTTAGCAATCCCGACAGCAAGAAGGAATATTAAAAACCATGAGTGGGTTAAATAATTTACCAATGCGTGATGAGAAGTAGGTTGTGTGGTCAACCTTGTTTTCAAAAAGGATACCAGTCACTTTGTTGCCGATAAAGGCTCTTGGGTGGTTCATATTGTCATTCTCCAACAAAAAGTAAGCTTGGATAGACCTGCGCGCAATCGTCAACATCAACTGACCAAGTCGTTCCAGCTCGGGCTGATTATCCATTCTACCCCAAAGTGACATGGCATAGTAAAAGTTGATGTCTTCAGACGTCGATTCTTCGTCTTTGCCATCCAATGAAACGAAAATTCCTTGGGACCACGAGTGGCCCATAAACCAGTCAAAGGAGCGGAAGACAGGGAAGTAAGGATCGTCTTTGGAAGGATTTGCCACGTCGCGTACGAGGCTGTTAACGAATGCTGAGACATCGCTGGTTCTCCATTTAGGGTCTAAGTGACGGATAATCGCAGCAGTATGGATAAAGTAGCCATAATGATAGTGGTGATCACTAATAAAAACGAGGATAACCATCGTCAATGGTCAATCTTTAGACCTCAAAGTTCAATAAAACAGATCTGAGTTACTTACTTGTACCAACTGTTCCCAAAGTCAGCCAAGGCGCCCTTCTCCAATCCCTGTATACTAATTAGTCCTCGCCAGGTTTTGTCGTAAACCAAGCGATACTGTTGCTTATTGTCCAAAAACCGCTCAAAAGCCCTCTTGAGTTTCCAAAGACATTTCTCATACAAGGGTCCATTCCGGTCCCCGATTACATCAATTACGACCAAACTTAGGAGCGCAAATTTGGCAAGTCTCTTGCCCGAAAAATACATTGAGTCCAGATCCGCATCAAGATCGAAATCCAGCTCAGCGTCTCTCTCTGCTTGCTGTCGAATCTCGATTAATCGCTCTGACGTAACAACCTCTGACCAACTCTCAGGAAGGAGCCCAACTTTGAGCCGTTCAGGCTCATATAGAAACCAGATAGGTCCTTCGTATGCCACCATCTTACCTTTGGTCGTGGATGGAAGCGTCACTGATGTAGGAACTGCGATATCTGTGAGGATCTCTCGATGATGTGGCAGCGTGAAGTGGATAAACTTTTTACTAATGTCCCCAGCCAACTTCCAATCGATCCTATAGCCGCCTGCATCACTATATTGTTGAAATATGGTGAAAAAAAAAAAAAAAAAAAAAAAAAAGTTAAGACAAAACCGATATAGGATGCGCATGTCTATGAGCTATATATGTTATATGCTCTAGAGTTGTTTTTTACTTTTTCAGATTTTTCTGGAGGACAGAGAGGTGTCCTCCGGTGGTATAAACACCAACAGCTTGATCATAGAGACGCTCCGTTTCCACTTCGTTTCCAATTGGTAATTTAGCAATCTGGATCAATCCTGTAAACTTCCCTGAGGTGGACACAACGCGTCTTTGCTCCTTTTTTTCAAGCTGCAATGGACCATCTTTCACCCTTAGTGGTCTCGCATATAACAACCAGGTGACTCCATTTTCGATCAAGAATCTATACTTAACCCAGCCTTCATTTACTCTATCAGAACTCAGGTTTAAATCGCGCTCCAAGGTTCGTACTAAGGTTTCGGAATAGACCTGTGGAGTCAAATCACGATATATTCCTGTAATGAAGGCCATGCCCCTGACAATAGGGACCCGGATAAAAGACCTTGGGTTCTCTTGACGCCCCTGTGCTCCCTCGCTGTCAGGGAATAAGAGCATGGTGCATCCAAATTCTTCAAAGTCTCCGACACTCATCTGGTGATTTGTATCAAACTCTGCTGCAGAAAGCCCCATGCTGACTAGGAAAGGGTTGAGGTAATACTTGGAGCTCCCTGGAGATGTATCATCTCCCCAATTGTTCCCTCCTTCCTCGGTCGGGTTGGAAAAATCCTGTGAGGGCCCAAATACTTTCATATCATCATCGATATGTGAGATACCAAGACCTTGCTGCCCAAGGCTAGCGCCATCCCATCGTAAGCCATACGGGTGTGTCCAGACCGGGGCGTGCGAGTCATCAAGCATCAGGTTTCCATAAAACTTGTTTGTAGGAAGCGATCTGGCTCTATCCTTTGCTTGGATTCGCATCGGCTCTACCACATGATCATGGTGATCAAACATTGGTAATGGCGGCTCTTTACTGATAGGCTTTAAGATTGAGTCGTCGTGATTTAATGTCATCTGTGACAGAGACCGCTCTTTGTGGCCAACATCCGCAGGTTCAAACATTTTTACAATTGTTCTCTTTCGAGGCCGACTTTGATGGTTAATGATAATACTAATGGCTGCTGACCTAGCTATAAGAGTTATTGCCAGAATAAGTGGAATAAGTGTTAGGCTTCGCATTGTTGGAGACAATGGTCATTAATGCCCCTTCCTTTTCTTGAAGCAAAGCGAGAGACATGAAAGAAGGAGAAAGAAGAGATGGCTGGAGGGATGGTTGTGTAGTTTAACCAATGCTTTTACTTTGGGTACTTTGGTGTATTTCCTTGTGCAAAAGGAGTGAAGAAGAGGCTTTTGCCTAAAATAATGCAATGGGAGTGCTTTGTTCAGAAAGAGTGCAGTTGTCTTAATGCGTCAATATATATCTTTTCGGTATGAGGAAAAAGGGAAAAAGAAAAAACGCAAAATTTCTTTTTATTCTTTTTTAGTGTTTTAAAGTCTAAAATCCCTCTGTTGCCGATGATGTAGTTGGCCGTTTATTATAAGGTACTGCTGACTCTTCTGCAACAGCCCTAGGAGGTCTGAATGTTGATGGTTTCTTCCTCTTTATTTTACCTCCTGCAGTCTTCCCTGCCTGAAAATTCCTCCAACCCTGTACACGATCATCTCTAGAATCTTCCCACACCTTTTGTGCTTCTTGCTTTCGTTTCCGTTCCGAAATAACTTCATCCTGTTTCCTTGCCTCAGCTCCCTCTGCTTCCATTTCCTTCTTAATCAGCTTGCGCTTGCGTAATTCTGCCTCAATCAATAAATCCTTCGTCTTTTGTTTGACCAGGGACTTGTAAACGGGCGATGTAAAAAAAGGATCTGTCGGTGCAATGTTCAATGGTTGTGCTTTCTTGACTTCGTATTTGGCTTCCTCAATAATACTGTTTAAAAATGAACGTTTGCCTGGATCCATGAGATCCATTTCTGCCTTCTTGAGTAGATCAAAAGCATCCTGTGCTTTCGGATGTTTGACCTTGTCAGGATGAATCATCAGTCTATATCCCAAAAAAATAAATAAATAAACCTAGCTTTACTTTACATTTCTCCCAAAGATTCTTTTTCTTCCCTTTCATGACTTACGATTTCCTGCGGTATGCCATCTTGATGTCTTTTTCAACACAATTCATGTCCAGTTCGAGGATGTCATATGGGTCTAGCTTGAAGCATGCCATAATACGCTCTACTTCTGCATCTTTTTGCACAGCTGATGCTTCCACTTCCAGCATCCGTTCAATGTCAAAGTCGGCCATGCTTCCTCGCGTTTCTTCTTGTCACAATGGCAATAGTTTAAATATATTACAATGTCGTTCAGGGTAGAAAGTGTAGTAATGGATTGATGTTGACAAAGTTTAATTGCATCGTATTGCCTGCAAGTCACGTTTCGGCTCTCAGGCAAGCAGTCTCATGGGTATGAATTTTTTTTAAAAAAAAAAATAGTTTTACAAAGCAATTGGTTCACTAGCGCTACCTAAATGTCTAAGTTTTGAAGGACCACCGGCACTTAGATCTGATGTATGTCTTGACATTGTTGACATCCTTCTTGCGGCGCCCTCGCCTTGCCGTTGTCCATACATCTGTGAAGACGAAGGTGTCATTGGTATCGGCCGTAATACTGTGATTGCTGAAGGGTTGATTGAGATCGATTTTGTCTTATTATTGGTTTTATAGATACCCACAAGGCGATCCGCAAGCTCAAACATGTTGTTACGAAGTGAAATGATCACGAATTGTGCATTCTTTGTCCGCTCTTTGATATAGTTGGCCACAATCGAGACATTCCTAAAGTCAAGGGCTGCATCAATCTCATCCATCACATACAATGGTGTGGGCTTGTAGTGGTGCAATGCAAAAACAAGAGCAAGAGAACTCAATGTCTAAGTCATACATACGAGGATATTCAGCTTCAAGTTAGCATAGTAATTAAAGATTATAAAACAGCACCATCCCATGCACCATGCATACTGAAAAGCTTACCTTTTCACCTCCAGACAAGTTGGAGATGTTTTTCCAACTCTTTTTAGGAGGCATGACACTAAAGATAATACCTTCTGAAAAAGGATCCAGACTGTCAACCAGCTCCAGTTCTGCATTGCCTCCTAGCGTAATCATTTGGTACATCTCCTTCAGTCGTTGCGAGATGATCTGGAACCCTGCCATGAATTCATCCAGCCGTCGTTTTCGAAGCTCGTCATATGCTTTTTTAGCCTCCTCTCTCCGGACAGTAATCTCTTCTAGGTCTTTTGCTCTGGCCAAGTACTCTTCTTCACGCTTCTTGTACTCCTCCAAGACCGAGAGGTTTGGCTTGGCGGATGAAAGCTGCACCTCTAATTGCTGAATCTGTTGCTCTAATTCGTGCTTGTCAATCATACCCAAATCTGTTTCTGGAATCTCTTGAAGTTCAGCCACAACCTCATCCTCATCATAATCAACCTCCTGGAGAGTAAGCCCCTTCAATTGGTCACTCCAATGTTTGGTGCGACGTCCCACATCTGCTAGTGATTGCTTTAAATCATCCAACTGGTTCTTCATTTCAACTTCAGCAGTCCGAATCTTATTAATAACTTTGAGCTTTTCATCTAGCTCCTGCTTCATCTCCTCCATCTCCTCTTTCTTCTCTTCCATGGTTTGTTTGGCTTCTTCGGCCTTTTTACGGATGATGACAGCTTCTTGCGTCTTTTCCTTGATTTGCTTCTCTAATTCCTGCAGATCCTCAGATACCTCTGCTAACTCCTTCTCATGCTTTGCAACCTGAGTTCCAAGCTTAACCACGTCCTTCTCGGCCTTGTTCTTGGCTACTCTAGTTTTGGTTGATTTGTCTCCTAATGCTTCAATTTGTTCTCTCAGTCCAACAACTTTAGACTTTTGAGCCCTAAGTTTGACACCTCCTGCATCTAGAATCTTGTTCTGGAGATCCTTGATCTTTTCTTCAATCGATTGAGCATTCTGTTTGATAGCATCCATTTCAGCTCTAAGTTCTGTTGCCTTTTTAGACAGTTGTTTCATCTTGGTTAAATCCGCGGGCTTCGGCTCTGCTTCCTTCTTTAACATCTCGACACGCTTCTCGCTTTCTGAGATGCGTTTTTGATTTGAATCCACATCCATCTTGAACATCGACAAGCGCATCTCCATCTTTGGAACATTAGCCACAGTCGAGCTAAGTTCTCGTTCTATCGAAAGTTTCTCTTGCTGGAAAAATCTATACGCCGTTTCTGCCTGGTCGCGTTCGTGTTCAAGCTTCTCTACTGCCTCAGCTGTATACTCGCCTGTAGACAATGTTGAGCTCATTGCCCCGCGCATCACACGTGTGCCACCTCCTGTCATAGTTCCAGACTTGTCAATTAGCTGTCCATCTAATGTTACCACTCTCCACCGCTGTTTTCCATATGCGATCCTATTAGCCTGCCTTAAATCGTCCGCAACAAGTGTATCCTGCATCACACTATAAAACGCGGGCGCAAACTTGGGATCTGCGGGTCGAACAAGATCGAAAAGACGAGGAACATTTTCAGGGGTCTGGATGGGTCTCAAGTCCTTTTTGGGAAGTTGATTTAAAAGAATAAGTGAAACACGGCCTAGATTACTCTTGCGAACAAATTCGATACACTGTTGTCCCACTTCAACATCATCTACGACAATATTCTCCAGAGCTGGACAAGCAGTCGAAATTGCTACGTCATACTTGTCATCAATAGCGCCTAAATTGCCGAGACGGCCATGAATGCCATTGATCCGCCCAAGATCTCGTTGCCGCATGAGATTGTTCAGTACGGCAGAGCGAGACTGCGTCTTTTGTTGAGACGCGCGGGCCTCCTCCGCACGGGCTCTAGCATGGTTAGCCCTATCTCTCAGCAGTACTTCTCTTTGAGCCATTTCCTATAATGAGATCAGTGCATAAAAACAGAAAAAAGCGTGAGCTGATTCACGCCTCTTTACTGCGCATATGGATAGCTAAGGGCGAGAGCTGCAAGTACGTCCATTCCTACCTTAATATTTCGTTCCATATTTGCAATCTGTCCTGCAGACGCCTGGATATTCTCCTTTAATTCGAGAATCTCAGTCTCTTTTACTTCTTGTGCGTTCTTGAGTGTCTTCAAACTCTCAAGAGCATTCTCATAATTGAGTCGCTGGTTCTTAGCCTTTTCCTCAAGTAGATCATATTCAGACTGAGCCATGTCAATTTCACTTTGCTTGCCTACAATCTTGGCTGTCCACGGCGCGAGCTGTTTTTGATGTTCCTCAATCTGCTGAGTAAACTCTTCTGTTTTGCCCTTGAGACTTTCACGAATGTTTTCCAGTTCCACTTCTGCAGCCTCTAAATTTTTTTCAAGCTTTTCGAGTTCTGCTTGATGTTTGACAAGATCTGCTTCATGGTTGCGGACCCAGGATTGGTTGTCAGCGAGTGAGTGTTTGTCCTAAATTGTAAGATATATAGCGTATTGTAAGCGAGAGGTTTTCGTTCTTAATGGCGACGACAAGGAGTTAGTGGTAGTGATAACCAAAGTGATGATGGATGAACATACAGCGGCAAGCGATTTTGTGATTTTTTTCTCTTTGCTTTTCAAATGCTTCCTGTTTTCCTGCATCTGGACGTCTTCACGATCGATTTTAGCTAACTGTTTGAGAACTTCACTTGTCTCTTTGTCTATTTTCTATTGATTCAGGGTGGAGAAACATTGTGTTAGTTCCAAATTTATCAAAAATACACACTTGATATTTGCAATGGGCAAAACTTTCAGAAGTGGTTACCTCATATTCCTTGACTCTAGCATTGTGCTCTGTCTCCAAAGCCTGAATCTCATCTCGAAGCCCTTTATGTTTGTTCTGATCCTCCTCAAGCTTAGCTGATAGTTGAGCCTAATGTGTTATCGGATCCAGACTGATGAGTACTAGTTTGTAATAGAATCGAAGAAGCACACAGCTCTGTCAAGTATATACTTACAACTTGTTTCTCCTCTTTTTCTGCCTTTTTTTTGCATTCCCAAAGGTAAATCTGATAAAGTGCAGACTGCTTTAAAGCCAGGTTGTTCCCGTCCTTCAAAAATGACTCTGCTTCCCTTTTTCTTTCCTAGTGTGTGGGGCACAGTTAGAATATTATGCTTAGATTAGCAAAAAGATAAATAACATACTATATTAGCATGCCTTAATACTATAGCAAGAAAAGAATCTTACCTCCAAACTGTCTTTCTCTTTTTCGACGTACTTGACCCTTGTCAATCTCTCTGAGCGCTCATCATTCAATGCCTCTAGCTCCACTGCAGAACTTTCAATAGTCTCTTTGTATGCTGATGTGCCGATAATATCTTCTAGATATTCCAGTAGACCATCTTCATGGTCATTCTGCGCCTTAGCCTTCATCTGAGCAATCGATTCAACTTCACCCTGTAGAATTAGGAATCTTTTATGATCAAGGTCAATGCCTCGGCCCTTCAAGAGTGTTGTTACAGCAGTATAAGAACTCAAAAAGTTGTTCACAAAGTATTTGCTAGAGTTGTTCTGGTAGGCCACACGAGACACCACCAAAGTTGAACCTTGAATTCGCTCAAAATTATCAGGCCCTGGCTACGAGAAACAGAATGTATGAGGTATTGAAATGACTGGTAAATATTTACCATAGTGGTCGATCGATTTCACTGCAAATGGGGCACATTTCAATAAGAGATGAAAAAGCAGAAAATAATGTATTACCAGGTCCATGATCTCGCAGAAATGAATCTCCACAGCACAGCTGTCAATATTTTCAGCACCTGATGAATTGTGAATAAGCTCTGAGAGCTTCCCTTGACGCATCTTACTGGCTCTGTATCCGAAAACGAAAAGCAATGCATCAATGACATTACTCTTGCCGCTGCCATTAGGTCCTACAATGGATGTGAATGACTTATGAAAGGGCCCAATTTCCTGACGACCAGCATAGGATTTGAAGTTAATGAGGACCATCTTCTCAATCACAAGGCGTGGTGCGATCTCCACAGTAGACTCATTGATAGCTTCTACTGTGACAGCTGAGTTACGTTTTGAAAAGGCGAGAGTTTGACGTGAAGAAGATCCGTTTGGGGTCTGAGTTTGCGGTAGGGGCGTAGCCGGTTGGTTATTGGTGATGGCTGATTGCTGAGACGAGGAGGAAATAGTTTGAGATGTCGGTGCAATGTTAATTGCTTCGGCCATCTCCTCCACGGTGTCCATCTCCTCCACGGTGTCCATCTCCTCCACAGTGCCCATCTCCTCCACACTCTCCACGTTGTCCACGTTATCCACGCTGTCCATGTTGTCCACCTTGTCTTCCTTGTCCACGTTTTCCATGCTGTCCATGTGTAAAAAAGGAGAGGCTGGAACTGAAGAAAAACAAGAAAGGAAGGCGAAAATGCGAGTCCCTGGGAGGAAATAAGAAACCACTAATATCATGTGACTATTACTGGAATTAAGAGATCTTATTGCATCTTCTTGATAGTGAGCCACACGAAGAAAGAAAAGCAAGAATGAGAGAAAAGAAGGGGGGAGCAAAGGACGGGACATATATGGTCCCGGCTCTCGGATAATAAGCTTAAGTCGTCATACTATTCAACTTGGTCAGCTAAAAAGGATTGAGCAAAAAAGTCAGGGTCCAAAAACAGGAATGTTCAGGGCCCCGCTCTTTCCGCTCTCTTTGTGGGGGGCCGTATGGAGTCCCAGGTTGTAATGAGCCTATTCTTCATTAGACAGTGATACTGTCGAGTTTGTAAATCGAATTGTCATCTCCATATTTTCTTCTATGATCATCTACTGTGAAAACTACAAGACTTCATAATTATTGACAGAAGAATAGAGGACGAGAACGAACAAAGACTAGCGCCTGCGAGACAAAACTTCAGATGGAGAAGCAGGTCTGCCAAGTAGACATCCTTGAAAAAATGATATCTTCTTTGAAAAACTTTGAGAGACTGTACTCGTAGTTACTTTGATACTTGTGATGTATACGCTCAATTCAGGGCCTGGTGGAATGAATATAAACAGTGTATCGTACTGATATACAAAACATACCAACATGGGTTTTCTTTTTTTTCTGAAATAGAGAAATGAAAATGTTGACATGATAGCAAAAAACTATATCAGCCCCATGTATATCACTGCAAGGAATATCTTGCCTCAAACGAAGACGCTCACCATACAATGGAGTACTTCATTTCGTAGGACTACTTGTAAGAGAAAAATACAGCTTTGGTTGTTTCCGTGTTTCACATGTTTTATTGTCGTTCACACTTTTTGAACATGGATGTTAAGTATTTTAACGTTGTTATGTGGGATACTTCACAAAGCATAACGATTGTCATCCCTTCCAATACCACAAGAGTGTTTACATCTCGAACATTTCCTGTTGAACAAGAGGAGAT